GTATCTAGTGCTGTAAGCCGTATAATGCTCCGTGCAATTTCCCTTTTCCCTGGATAGATTCCAAGAAGAGGCTGGAGCCGCGAGGACCTCGATGACGGAATACTGGAGTGTCCCGGATATGGGTTGTAGAAGCTATGACACGGGATCTGAAGCAGATTGAGTAAGTTGCATGGTATCAAGGTGGCACAGGAGGAGGGGCAAGTGTGGCAAGTGGCTGGAAAGTTGGAAAGGGCTAAACCGACAGTGAGCTCTTGCCCAGGCTGCCTAGGATGTTGCAGATCTGGGGACGGTCAACAACGGACGAGACAGGGTTCCCAGCTCGAGAAAACTCGCATAGCAGCCGTTGTTATGACGTTGTATCAGCGACTGTGGGAGGAGCGAAAAGAACCGGGACGCAGATATCTACTACTATCCAGTGTTGTATTCCTGTACCAACAAGTCCGTGTCAATTTCGAGAAGGACACCAGAGACAATAGTCTCTGCTAGTGGTTAGACGGTCTCCTTTCACCATTTTCCTACGTCGGTATCTTTTTTGTTAGCCAGAGAACAACCGTCACTCGAGGAGGTGAAGTATGAGAGCAGGTGTCGGCTCCAGTTACCTGTAATGATACTCCACCAACGAGAACGAGGTATGGTAGCTCCATGCTCTGTGGCTAGGTATGGAGCCAAACTGTGTCACACAAAAGTGGCCGAGTCCACTCAGAAAACGTAACTTTGGACGTGTGAGCTCAATCCGCCAGGATAATACCTGTATTCGTGCAGAATACCGGTATTCTCACACGGGTAGAGCTGCATGCTTATCCGTGTTGACGCGTAGAGGAGGATTCGTACAAAATCCCACAGTTCTTCGTACCGGTAGAGCAGTCATGAAGTGTAACGAGTGGCTCCATGCTGCAGTAGCTCGAAAAGAGGAGGAGCGTGTGGAGATAGCCGACCTGGCTAACCGCACCCACCGCCACACCTGACATCTTGGATAGAGTCAGGGAACACACGCCAGGTCGCAGACCAATGCAGGCCTTGCGCGTGGCCCCGCTGGTGAGAAGGCCATGCCATGCCGCTGCCTGTCCGTTTCACCAACTTGTGGGAAACCAAGTGGCTAGTGCGCCCCCTGTCGCCTGTCAATGGAAGACCTTCCCCTTCCCCCTTCCCCTGGCTCTCCGCGGCCACGCCTTGGCGAGAACCTCAAGCGAGAGCTGTGGCTGGTGAGTCCAGATCGACCAATGTGCCTGAGAATCAACTTTCCGATGAACTCTCGCGTTGCTTTCAAACCACCATTAATCTACACCCTACGCTTGCGAAAGTGTGGGTTCTTCAAATCCTGTTCGCCCCCTTGCACTGGCTTTGCATCGTGCATCGATGACCATGATCTCCTGGGCAGTTTACCGCATTGAGCTGTCTCCCGAGCCAGCTTGACACGTCTGGACGCTGGACGCTGGAAAAGCGCTTGCTCGTGATGTAAGGGAGCTCTCCATTCCATGGATCATAGCTGTTGTTCATGTTGTTGACGGTGTCCATTAATTCCCCGGTGACGTAGCTTTACTTCCATATTCCTCTGCCAGGGGAAAGCCATATTCTCGTGCGTCCATATAACACCAATATGGCCTAAGGTAGCTGCATACATACCATACCATACCATACCTACTTTGCATACACATTTCCCTTATTGAAAATTCCATACGAGTATTGTAACTCGTTACCATCAAAACAAACCCATTGCAAATAAGTATTGTACGAACCAGAGTTAAAACTCGGCATCGAAGAACACAACACATCCAGACCACAAGCCAATATGGCGGACACAGCAACACAAAACGTACCTAGTACGCCTAAGAAAAATACTGATGTGGAATCTACGAAGGATTCTGCACAGAATACTGCCAACTCGAAAGTTTCAGATGCCAAAACACAGGCTCCGGATGCTGATCCAACAGAGAATGGGACTCAAAACAATGAGTTCGACGAGCAGACCGACTCAGGTGTTGACGGACTAGCTTCCAGCAACGGTGAAGCGGAGAAAGAAGAAGGGGATGACGAGGCGAAAGAAGAAGCCGACGATGAGGCGAGTGAGGTGCTGCCAGCGGGCAGCGTCAACAGCAAAGGAGAAATAATTTCCGAAGCTGGTGAGGTGATTGGCCGCATCAGCGGTGAGAATGCCTCGCAGCTCGAAGGCAGCATGGTAGACCGGGAAGGGGATGTACTAGATGAAGAAGGCAACATTTTAGGACATGCTGATCTGGATGCCGAATCTCTCCAGCAACTGGATCCTAAGCCAACTTCGGAAGCAGGTGATGCGCTCAAGTCTCAAGATGGAGAGACTGAGAAGCCAGACGCCTCAACCGGTGAGCCGGATGCCGAGGAGGGTACCGAGAAGGCTGATACAGATAATGTTGAGGGTGGTGATCTTGCTGAAGAAGCGAAGTCAGTATATCTACTTCATTTTTGGGATATCAAGCGCTAATTTGTGACCATATAGACAGGATCTTGAAGGCACGGAGAAGCCCGACGTCGAAGGAGCGGACAAGCCTGATGTCGACGACGTCAAAGATGGAGAGTCAGTCAATCCTGATGTTGAGGGTGTTGAGAAGCCAGACATTGAAGGCTCTGACAAGCCCGGTGTTGAAGGAGCGGACAAACCCGACGTTGATGGCGTAGAGAAGCCTGATGTTGAGGGTGCAGAGAAGCCCGATGTTGAGGGTGCGGAAAAGCCCGATGTCGAAGGAGTCGACGCAAGCGAAAAGCCAGGTATGTGGACAGTATTCTCTTTCGAGTCCTGAATTTTGAAGTGCTAACTCAATACGTAGATGGAGCTGACGTTGATGCACCTGGTGCAGAGGACGTCAAGAAGCCCGAGCTTTCAGGTCCATTTGGTGTCCAAGACAACGGCGATATCACCGATGCCACAGGTGTGGTTATTGGCAAATTGGCTGATGGCACTCCACAGGATCTTGTAGGAACTTCAATCAAGGATATTGATGGAGAAGGAAACCTACTTGCCGAGAACGGAAGTATTCTTGGAAAGGCAGACCTTAAATCTGAGCTTCTCGACAAGAAGGACGAGGCAGAGGCTGCTAAGCCAGAACTTGTCGGTCCATTCGACGTCGAGGAGAGTGGTGAAATCAAAAACGCTGAAGGCCAGGTTGTTGCCAATCTTCCTGAAGGACAAGACCTGGAAGGGAAATCTATCAAGGACATCGACTCAGAGGGTAACCTCAAGGATGAGAAGGGCTCAATCATTGCCAAGGCTGAGCTCCTCCCAGAGCTGCTCGAGAAGTCTGAATCCCAGGCAGAGGGTGCTGATGCCCCAGAAGGCGCCGAGGCTGAGGGTGCTGAGGGTGCTGAGGCTGACGGTGAGACTCCCGAGGGAGAAGCTCCAGATCTTTCAATCCTCAAGGGAATGAAGGTCAACAAAGTCGGCAGAATCGTGGATGAGGATGGAAACCCACATGGTGTTTTGGTCGAAGGCGATGCTAAGAAGTTGGCCGGACGCAAGGTCGACGGCGAAGGCAAGATTTGGGATGATTCCGGAAAGGTCATCGGCCGAGCAGAACTTCTTCCCGAGGACGAGAGACAAGCCGAGAAGAGCGGTCCGTTTGAAGATTTCCCAGATAGCGTCCTTGATGGTAAGGGAAATGTCATGTTCGAGAACAAGATCGTGGGTAAACTCGTTGAGGGTGATGCCAAGGCTTTGGAGGGCAAGAAGGTTGATGCTGATGGTGATGTTCTTGATAAGAACGGCAACACTCTTGGTCGCGCTGAGCGATATCAGGAGGAGGAGGAAGCTCCCCCAGAGGAGGAACAACCAGAAGACTTGTCGGCTCTTGACGGCAAGAAGGTCAACAAGGCCGGCAACGTTGTTGATGATAACGGAAAACTTTTCGGTCGCGTTAACTCTGGCGTTCTCTCTAAGCTTGTTGGAAAGAAGTGCGACGCTGAGGGTAAGATATGGTCAGAGTCTGGCAAAGTAAGCTTCTCCCTACCCAGTATTTGTGAAGTTCCTGTCTGACTTGTCTTAGGTTATTGGAACTGCCGAGCTCATTCCTATGGATGACAGAGATGAAGTCTCCGAGTCTCCATTCGAGGACTTCCCAGGAGCGACAGTTGACTCCAAAGGAAATGTCATCTTTGAAGAGAAGATCGTTGGCAGACTCATCGAAGGTGATGCCAAAAAGCTTTCAGGCAAAAAGGTCGACCAGGATGGCGAGATCGTCGAGTAAGTTATTCCTACTTGGTGATATTCGCTTAACAGCTAACCATTGTACTCAGTCGTGTCGGCAATGTCCTTGGAAAGGCGGAGAGATGGGAGCCAGAGGAGCCCGAAGAAGAGGAGCCTGTCAAGGTTGACAACTCGGCCCTTGCTGGCAAGCGAGTGAACAAGTCCGGAAACGTCGTGGACTCCAATGGTCAAATCTACGGACGTCTGGTAGAGGGTGACGCCAACAAACTTGCTGGTAAAATGTGTGACAAGGACGGAAACGTGTGGAACGAGGGCGGAACCATTGTCGGTCGCGCCGAGTAAGTCAACCGTTCCCAAGACACTTCCCAGATCTTGTATTAATGTGTTCTAGGCTCGTACCTGAGAGCGAGAGAGAGGGTGAAAAGGAGGGCCCATTCTCTGGCTTTGACAGCCCAACGGTCACTAAAGATGGCAAGGTTGCCGATTCTAAAGGTACCGTAATTGGACGCCTCATCGAAGGAGAAGCCGCAAAGCTTTACGGCAAGCTCGTCGATGCGGATGGTGATGTACTAGACAAGAACGGCAACACTCTTGGTCGTGCTGAGAGATGGGAAGAGGAGGTGAAAGAGAAGAAGAAGAACCCTGTTGCAGGTCGCAAGATCAACCGCGACGGTAACGTCTTGGACGACGATGGAGATGTGATCGGTCGTCTCACCGATGGCGAGATCGGCAAATGTGTTGGGAAGGAAATTGACGACGATGGTGACATTACCAACTCCAAGGGACAGACCCTTGGTCACGTCAGTCTGCTCGAGGACATTCCAGAACCAGAAGCAGAGCCAGAGCCTGAGGTTGAGGAGGAGGCAGAGCCCGAGCCCGAGCCTGAAGACCCTGAAGAGGTTGAAAGAAAGAAGCAGCTTGAGCAAGACCGAAAGCTTGCCAACCAAATGGCTGGATGTGTACAAGGTTCCCTCGACAAGATCAAGCCCATCTTAAAGATGATTTCAGAAGTAAGCATTTTGAGTTACTTATAGAACAATTAACTAACATGAAAATAGAATATCGAGGCTGAGGAACGAAAGCCAGAGGGGGAGCGCGACGAGCAGAAGCTCGTTGACAACGTCAAGCCATTGATCGAGGAAGGTGGTCAAATTCTCCAAGAAGCCAACGGTGTCATCCGAGGCTTGGATCCTGATGGAAGAATTGCTGCAAACGCGAAGGCCAAGACTGCATCTCGCGAAGCTACACCAGAAGAGTACCACCTCGCTGATGTACTCAAGGACGTAAGTTTGAGAAGAGCATCAGAGTTGAATGTGACCATGCTAACTCGATATCGCAGTTGACTGAGAATGTCACAACAACAATTGACAAAGCCAAGAAGAAGATCAATGGCATGCCACACGCAAAGAAACAGTTGAACCCTCTATGGGGTCTTTTGGCAGAACCTCTTGGTCAGATTCTTGCTGCTGTCGGCCTGTTGTTAAGCGGTGTCCTCGGCCTCGTGGGCAAATTGGTAACTCGCCCCGATTCCCATTATTTTCTTTTCGCTAACCTTCTATCAGCTGAGTGGTCTGGGTCTTGGTGGACTGTTGGATGGCCTTCTAGGTGGGCTTGGCCTCAAAGGCATCCTCAATGGTCTAGGTCTTGGTTCCGTCACCGGAGCTTTGACTGGTAAGAAGTAATGGCATGATTATGATAAATCTCTGTAATATTATCTGCTTGGGAAGGGAGGTTTAGCGTTATGTATCGGTAAAATTGGATAGTGTATAAATTGAACGTTTATAATACCATGAAATTATTTTGTCTGCCATTTGTCTCTTACATATTCACTTGCTGCTTTTGGCGCTAGCAACAAAACACCAGTTTCCGTTAAGAGTCAGATGTTTGTGATGCAGATGTTGAAAAATGAGGCCTCGTAGGAAGGGGCTGGAGACATTGGCTGTCAACATTACTCCGTATCTGATGCGCGTTTAGACATCCGTGAATCTGAGGAGAATCAGGAGGTGGGAAGTTCGTGTCCGCTCCATATTTTTTGACGTTCAGACCAATGGCAATGGTTGATATCACGTGATTATGACCACGCTCTCTGAGCGAGAACGCGTACTACGCGTTTCAATTCTCTGAAGCATATTTTCTCTAGCATAACATTGACAGAAGAAGAAAATGTCGGAACTGAGGCTGAACTTGGCCACAAGATCTCGATCATTGGGCTTTGTAATGCTAAGCACCAAACTAGGGGTCACGACGATACCTATCTCGTTGTCACGTTTTGTCGATGGGAAATACGCAAGAGAGCTTGGGTATTTTGTTGTTCAAGGCTTCAAATTAAGGTTCTCTATCTTCTGATAGCCACCAATTAACATGTACAGATTCTACTCGTAAGCGCTACATTCCAATCGCAAACTTATATCTTCAGTTCCTTTGCAGGGACCTGCTCGTGCTGGACAACAGGAGAGATTTTGTCCTCGTGGCCGGCAACATTGTCAACACCAATGTGTGCGTGGTGTGCATCCTCTACATGCAATAGATCTCCACCCTTTTCAGTGTGGTTTGCGCCGCCAAAGAGCACGTCGATCTCTTCCAAAGCGACAGACTTGGTTTCAGGGATCATGAAGTACACAAAGACAGCGAGGAGAATGTTGGTCGTCATGAAGAAGAAGAACGATTTTCTATGCGAGGTTAGACAGGAAAATTAGATCAGGGAGGCAAGACTTACAATCCACAATTGGCGTAGAAGGTTGGGAAAAACTGGTTGAAGATGCACTGTGCAACATTCTGCATTTGAGAGCACATTCCCACAGCCTGTGTTCTGACATTCATGGAAAAGATCTCGGCGGTCCAAATCCAAGTCGTTGCTCCCCAAGATGGCTTGTAAAAGAAGATGAAGAGGAAGAGCATAGCTGTAATCGCGATACCGACGGGTTGAGATTTCGTTTCGTTGCCGGGTGTCTCAAGACCGATGATGGGGACGATCAACATACACATAGCCATGCCAATGGCACCGACAATGAAGAGGAATTTTCGACCAAATCTGTCCACAGTCCAGGTTGCATTCAAGGTGAAAAGAATACCGCAAGTAGCGTTGAGAGCGTTGATAAGATTGATGGTGTCAATGTCCTTGAAGACTTTCTTGTAGATGGTGGAGGAGTAACTGTTGAGTGTTCCCTGTCCGGTAAGCTGCTGACCAACGTTGATGACGAAAGCAAGAGCCATTCTCTTTCTGATAGACTTGTCCTTGTACAATGCCGAGTAGGACGAAGAAACGACTTCCCTCTCGTATGTGATAGCTTCGCGGATAGTCAAAAGCTCGTCTTCGACTTCTTGTTCAGTATCCCGAACTGACCTGAGAGCAGCTCGTGCCTCGTCGATACGGTCTTTCTTTGCCAAGAAACGGGGCGATTCGGGCATGAAAGGAAGTTGAACGATGATGATGAGTGGGACCAGCATTTGGAATATCACGACCATTCTCCAATCCCAATCACCTAGAGCCTTGGAGTGCTTGGCTGTGGCATATGCGACCCAGTACGCGATGAAGGATCCAACCGAATAAAACATCTGCCAGAAAGACATCACCTTTCCTCGAATGCTTGGTGCGGTCACTTCTCCGATGTAGCATGGTCCAGCGGCTACATATGGTTAGCCAATATACAAAACGGAGAGATTGCGGGTTCAATTACTCAAAGCCATTCCTTGTCCAATACCAATAATCACACGACCTAGGATGAAGACGCCGACTTGATGTCTTGGTGCGAAGGCTTGGATGAGAGTTGCAATGACGGTAATAAAACAACCTATCCCCATTCCCCAACGTCTACCCAAGAAATCGGCCTGTCCAAAGTTAGCGTCGACTACTACGACACAGATGCTGGAAAAGCGAGCTTACAGTAGGTCCTCCGATAAACCATCCAGAAACAATGGCACCGATAGAATACGATGTGTTGATCAATCCTAACAGATTGCCTTGCTGTACAAGAGTCAGTGACAGCCCAGCAACATGTCTGCGATTCTCATACCGGCTTGTTGAAATGTGATAGCCAGTGCTCATTCTTCTGAACAGCATTGAAGACTGCGGCGTCATATCCGTAAAGAACCATGCACCCTGCGGCTACCATAGCGATGTACCTTTTCGGTCCGTTAGACATTAATCTCGTCGACAAGTGTTGATGCTACGTACCAATTGTACATCCTAGATTTGGACACCATCTTTGCGGTTCGGTGAAGCAACTAAGCTCCAGAAGACTTATTGGGTGGGCGATTGGCAAGTTCTCCGGGTTAGACTCAACAGACGGTCGAGTTGATCTGGGACGATTGAAGATGAAGAAGGAAAGCTGGAGGAGGAGAAGGCACGAGATAAGTATTTGAAAGATTGTCAGGGCCCACTGCATTTGACAAGCTCCGGGTCAGAGACCACAAGCATTTCGTTCCCTCCAATCCCACCCTTGCGTTTGAGCTCAACTCCGCATGTGAATTGGGGCCGTATCTCACCCCGCGAGGGTACCCACAGCGTTCAAAGGGGGCTCCAGATGCAAACGATCTGGAGTTGTGGTGTTCTCCAGGTCTGCTCCTAGACCGTGTCCTATGTCTGTGCCGGCGGAAGAAATATAGTGTTGTTTCTCCACGAATCAGCGGATATCAAGTGCTTAATACAAGCGCTTCGTCCACAGCACGTTCCACCAAGTTTGCCATGCCGAAATGCACCAATCCTGCCATTTTTCGCTCGGCCTAACGACCACGCTTGTGCGAATACCCCAGGTTGTGGAGGCGAGCCATGGTGTTTCTGGTCAATTACATTGCGAGCCTGTCTGTACCAAAATGGTAACCTGGTACGAAGCCATGTGGCGCCGTGATGCTCGGGAGCGTGTTTCCATGGCTCTGCCTCGCATGTGACCTTTATAGGCGTCCGACGACGCTAATATCAGACATTTTGTTGGAAATAATGTATCGATTTGGGAGATGGAGGCACAGCTGCGACTTCCCAACCTGAAGAGACACAAAAGCTTTCCCGTTAGTCAGCCAATGTGACCTTGTTCCGTTGCCCGGCCCAGACCCACGGGACCGGCTGAGGAAGATGGAGACGTCTTTCCCCAGCTCCCTTCCCCAGAAAACATATCAGACAGCTCATAATTCTTCCGTCTTCATGACTCCACGACTCCACGCGTCCCCACGACTCCGCACATCTCCGCCATCGAACAATTGCAAGCCACTCCGGCGAGCGCGGATGCATTAATTAGATGGTATTTCCTCTTTGGCAATCTAAACGCCACACACACTATCATTTGATGCAGAGCTGTTGCGATTCGCCTGAAAACGAACCTCAGCATGTCAATGTGCCATAGTTTGGATTCTTTATGGCGTAGTTTATGAGATTGCTAGGAACTATCTAGCTAGTGACTTACTCTTCGCTTGACACCGAATTTGTCAACGCCTCCTTTCTTTTTTGCCTTACTTCGCTATTAATTTGATGACAACAATTCCACTGGCTTGTTTGTGATGGCGGTTTCTGTCATAGTCTTTCACTGCTCGCACTTGCGATTTTTTTGTGTCGACTCTGTCTGCCAAATTCTAGAGATGTCGTTGACTGGTGGCTGCGATCAAGCCTTGCCAACCAGACAAGCTCAACCAAGAACGCGGGAATGCAAAAAAGCGGCTAAATCCAGTTTCAATAATCCCGTCCCAAAGAGGAAAACTCATGCTCATGTGTTCAGAGGCAAACAATGAAATCAACTTGCTTTTTCGCCAAATTTTCGCGAGATATGGTTGATTGGGATTTATCGTCAGAAAAAAAGGAGAACCATACATAGCGCAATTTTATACGTTTCAAGCCTAGACTTGACGGAGAGTTCAATTTAAAAATAATACTATGTACAGAGAATATATACGACACGATTACAATAGCACCACATCGAGCCAGCTCATCTTAAATCTAGTAAGTAGAGTCAATCCAGCTAGAATCCTTCCAGAGCTTGCTTTGTGTCATTGCAGCAGTAGCCTTGGTGGTGTACAGTCTCTTAGAAATATCTGATCCTGCGCCAGAGTTGTTGAATTCTTGGAAGATTCTGTGTGTGAACGGTCAGTAATACTCTGAAGTGTTACGGTATTGGGATCACTTACGGCGTAGCATTTTCGGCCATGGTTGTCCAACCTTTTGGTGCAATTATGTCGGACAACACAGAGTTTTGGTAGATGACCCTTGCAAGGACTCTCCAAGGACGGCCAAGAAAAACGGACTGCTTCAAACTGAAGCCCTTTGCAGCCACAATACTGCACTTCTCGAAGACGTACCAGGTGGTCTCTGTCGCCTGCGTACGGCTCATCGCTGTGATAGCAGATGCTTTCTTTGCAGCAATGGTGGATGCTTCGAACCACGCAGCAGCATTTCCGAAGATGAAATCCGTGGTTCCTTCAATGTAGCAATTTTTATAGTACTGTGCACCCGATTTTGCGTACAGAGTATCTTGATTCCCAAGGAATTTACAACCGTAAAAGCCGAGATTTTCGGCATTGGCAGTCACTGCAACAGCTTGGCTTGCGATTCCAAAAGAGTTTTCGAAATTTACGTTGTAAATCTTGACATTACTCCCGACAAAGTTTACTGTAGATGATTTGTCGAGCGTCCCTGCTTGTGCTGAGCTCTTGCCGCTAGTTATTGTCGCCTGATTCCCCGCAAAGTTAGAAGTGCTATCAGGCAGTCAGTGATTCCATCTGCATAAGAACTGGATTACTTACTCGGTAGTACTTCCATATATAGTTAGTTTACCGGCATAGTTTACTGTAACTTGCTCTTTGTAGGTACCAGCACTCAAGAAAATGCATTGAGCTGTGGTTTTGGAACCCAATGCTTTGACAGCATCTGCAAAGGTGGAATAAGCTCCTGAACCACCAACAACAAGACAGCCAGCTGGACTGCTTGTACGAGATGTTCCGGCTGCGCGTGACTCTACTAGAACTCCATTATCGACGGAATGTGGTGCTGAAGTACTTGTTACCACATCTTGGGCCAAATCTTGCTGCAAGGCCCGCCCTGAAGTAAGCGAGATGAATGAAGAAACAATGAAGAAAGGAGAATTGAATTTCATCTTGGGCAATAAAGATGGTTGATCAAGAAAAGAAAGATAATGGAAACTAGAGGTGCATTTCGAGTTCAGACATTTCTTCTCTATTAATGAACTTTACCTTTTGAACTTGCCAATATTCCTATGGGAATGCACTGGGACGTTTTGGGGTGGCCAAGTAAAGTTGTTATTTATCCCAGATCTCCAAGCATACTGCCAAGAAGTAAGTCAAGCCCCGGGTTGATTGTTTGCATGTTTTTGTTTGCACAAACACCTTTGATTAGACGCAAGTACCTTTGCGCCAAGCTGGAAGTTTCAAGTAGATCACCCACACTGGTTGCCTGGAAGTTTATTTCCCACTCAATTTACAATGAACCAATCGCAAATTTATCCGTGCAGTCATTTATATATTGTACTATATTGCTATGTTTGGGAGGAACATAGCTTGAAAGCTTCACAATTAGTGAAATTTGAAACTTTTGCCATTACGAATGCACCATAAGCCATTGTAAAAGTATTTTAAGAGGCCTTCCTGCCTCAAACGTTATTTATTACATCTGATTTCAGTATTTCTACATGCGCATTCAATTCTGACATCAATCGAGGCTCACGCCAATTCCAGCTACTTCATCACGCATATTCGATCTACACTATCGTGTCCCAAAGTATCATAATCGAGAGCCGAGCTTCTTGAACGTGATACTGTTAGTTCCTATTCAAGACAAATGTATGAGGAGTTTGTGTGATCCTATGACTTGAATTGATTGGCAAGGCAGTGGCCAAGGGGTAAGCGAAGCGACAAGAAATAGCAATTGCGACTTCAAAGGGAAATGAGTGTACATGCCAAGATGACCTGGAGAAATATTCTTGAGCCTATCAAAAATTCTAAGAACTGACAGAGCACCTCGCTTTTGGTGAACAATGATATTTTCTACCCAAACTAATTTATCCGAATTTTTCAAGTATTTGCACTATAGCTTTTGTCTCTCTAACTGGTAAATGTCTTCCTAGTGAAGGAGCGTTGGAAGGTATTTTATAACATCATTCTACTTGGATTATATCCCATTAGTCAGGCAGACAACACCCTAAAAATTCTTATTTAGAAATTACGAAGGGTGACTGTGCCAACCCTATGTAGATAAAAAAAATTCAAATAGGATTTTGACTATAAGCAATTACACTATAGCTTGTGATAAATAATCAGGACATCTCAATTAGGCGTCAAAGCAATGTAGAAGCTTTATAACAATTAGGCGTCAAAGTAACGTACAAGCTATATAATTTCTAATGATTTCGTTTTGTTTATACTTAATTGTACATCCAACATAACTCAGCTCACTTGCAATGTAATTATTATGAACCATGAAGAACAATGAATTTAGCTTGTTAATTATAATTAGTAGAATGGTTTAGATATATTTTGTATTAAATTTAAATACTTATAGAACCATTTTATTAAACACATCATCAGAATCACGTCTGTTGATCTTTGTTATACTGATTTCTTCACTTCATTTTAAGGATTAGCTAACCACTTTACCTGATGCTTTCACCTAGCTCCTTCAAGTTTCTCTTTTGTTATGTTTTGAAACTATCTATTCGTGCATGTCTTACATTTCGATCTATATTGTTCATAATTTCTACTAAATTTTTTTGTTGAAATTTTTCTCTTAACATTTTGAATTGAACCATCTGAAAGCACTAGTTTTAACCAACATGGGGTCAGCTAAAACGTTGTTCTTCTTTTATCTGCTTCACATCATAAATCTACGTGAATGTTTTGAACCAGGACCAATTCAGACATGGTTTCACAATAGCAAAGTTCAACAATAGTAAGGATGTAAGAATAGGTATTCAATGAATAAACTGGTGAATACTATCACCAAAAGAGAGTTTGGGATGTTTAGGACTATAAATAAGATCATGCGCAAAACAGATATGTCGTCTGAAAACGGAAGAGACACTCTTTTGAATTCCCAAATAAATTACTGAATTTACATTTGATCTGTACCAAACCTTGTTCGGATGATCAAAAATGCTTCCAGCAGACCTCGAACAACCTCGTTCCGTGTCAGCAAAACCAAAAGCGAACGTCAGCATCAGAGAAGCGTCTGCAGTACCAACCGGTGATCTTCTAGCTGAAAACGCGTCAAACGTCGCGCAACAGCGAGAGCTTCCTTTGGACTTGGACCACCACAACACTTCTTCGCGCCCTGAAAGCCGACCATCCAGGCTGAACTTCAAAAAGAAGACACCCAGAACAACAGCGAGCACAAATCAGACCTCAGTAACACCTTCGGTAGATAACACTCCTTCATTAATCCCGAATCCAAATGCTCCGCCGCTCACTCCACCACATCAGGTCCTAGACAACGAAGATCTTCGGACACCGCCTGGAGCTCCCAAGGCCGGTAAAGATGAATTACAGCCATGGAGAATGAAGCAAAAGAAGAGGAGTGCGCCGAGCGAAGATGATACTTCGACCAGTCAGGAGCCCAAGCGAAGGAAGGTGACAAGAACAATGAAAAGCGCCAGACACTCAGCTGACAGAGAGAAAGGGCTTTGACAGGAGGTCAGATTACGATTTAGCATCAAGGCTATGGTGTCTGGGGAGACTATGTAAGCACTGGATTTCGGGAAATCCCTGGTCGTTTTGCTGTATATCAGAATCTGTGTTACCAGTTGATATGAACTTTTCAGGGTGTATAACCTGTTGGGGTGGCGTTGCAAATGGAAGCTCGCTTCGCTGAATAATTCACTTGGTTTTATTCAGAAGTTGTTCAAGGCGGTCTGTAGGTATGACACTATACTTGGTGAATTAATTATCGTATTAGAAATGTGAGGATTGTGAAATGGGGAAGCTACAAAAGAGGACATCCACCTATTGTGAGGACGATTCCTTCGTTTATCACAATACAAAGGACTCACCACCAACCTTCACTTATAAATTTTCAGCGTGCGCCCTGACTTGAACCTCTGAATTTCAACACTGACAGCGGAAACATTCAAAACTTGAGCAAGCTTCAGACGTCATGCCCACTTTCAAGAAACAGCATTCTGTGAAGTCCCAAAGAGGGCAAAAAAGAACAGCGCAAGAAACAAGTCTTCTGCCGTCCCAGACTGTCATTCCATCACATCCTAGAACTATACAGAGGTCGGTCAGCCGTTCTCGATCAAAAGCCAAAAGATCGTTCCCATATGCCAAACCTGATCCGTTTTTTGCAACACACGACTGGGAGACCGCACTTCAAGGCACCATCACACCGCCATCACCAATTAGCCGCTACAGCCTAAATAATTGGTCTATTCGACGTCCACGCCAACAAAATGCTCAGTCAAATGTCATGAGCAAATTGAACCATGAAGCGTATATTGAAATCTACACAGATCCGCTAAATGATAAACCCGTCCCAAGATTCCGCTTCACACGACCACGACTTCCGCTAGTGCCAATATACACAGACACTGACGATGGGCTGAGAGCTCTAAGACCAGCAAGACGCCTGACTCAGGCCCAGGAAGAAATGAGATGGCGTGCTAGACGGGCTCAAGCGGCGGTGGATATCGTAGAACTACCTGGGGATGAAAATGACGACAAAGATTGGAACAAGGAGAATGAATATGCAGGACCACAAAGACTTGTCGGTTGAGGCTAGAACGAGCCAGTGCGGGCTAGAGATGGATTTTACATGCCTCACAAGAAAGAAATACTGTATGGGTTATATTGTACAAGGACAATTACTGTACAAGCAAGTTTTGCAACGACGTTTGCTTGTTGATACTAGACGCCTGTTGTTCTAGCGAGGAAGACATGGTGTATGATAGTATAGAAACACCTGCCACAGGGTCCAAGCCAATGAATTATTAATGTATACTTCTGCATATATCCACCCAGCGCACAAGCTTCCATTAGACGTCTGGAATCTTGGTTGACTAGAGGTTATTGTGTTTGTTGACAGAAGTTGTGGGTGATTAATATTGAAGGAATTGCCACGGTGTATTCAGAACTTATGAACCCCGGCAAAGACTCTTGTTGACAGAGAAGTTGATGTCTCGAGGGCCCATTTTTTGAAGAAAAGAAATAGGCAACAAAACGATCCACTATGTCTCTCTTTTCAGAGGGTGCCATGTCTTGGTAAATCGGATGTAGCAACCAATTCAAGGAAATAAATTCGGAATCAGGCGTTTGACTACACGCTGGATATTAAACTTCTGTATTCAACTGCAAAGGAGATGAGAATAAGACAATGCAACCCACGGATAATGAAGTTGCCAATAGTTTTCTACCAAACCAAAAGAACCACATACACGTCTACTCATAGACTTGAGCTTTGAATTTGGAGGCTCTTAACACTGTGAAGATTCTGCTAGCTAGGTTAACATTAAATCATAAAGGTCTATCACAACTTATTCTCATCCATATACTTCCACCGGATTTCGACTGCTCTTCTATGAGCTTCTAGCTCTTCAACCTTTGCGAGTTGCATGACAGCACCTCCAACGTTCCGCAAGCCCTGTGCAGTAAGTTGAGAGGATGTAATGTGCTTGACATAAGAGGCAAGATTGACGCCAGAATATTGCTTAGCGTATCCATAAGTTGCTTTGTTCATTGTTAGCAAATGATTGTATTCTGAAGAAAATGATCACTGGGAGAAGTGGGAGAACATACGTAAAGAGTGATTGACACCAGCCGAGTAGTCCCCAACACTCTCAGGCGTCCATTCGCCGATGAACACACTACCTGCGTTTTCAACAAGGGGGACTACACTTGCGGCGTCTTTCATCTGAAGGATCAAATGCTCTGGAGCGTACTCATTGCTGAGTCTCATAGCGTCTTCGATGCTTTTTACGACCAGGGTAACAGAGTGTTCAATAGCGCCTCGGACAATATCAACCCTCGGCAATGCCGTAGCCTGCTCATGTAGTTCGTTCTCGATTGCTACAAGCTGGTCCTCGGATAGATCAATGGCAATCAAGATTACTTGACTGTCCACGCCGTGCTCAGCTTGAGAAAGAAGATCAGAGGCAACGAATGCTGGATTCGAGTCTTTATCTGCGATGACCAAAACTTCCGACGGTCCTGCTGGCATATCGATACTAACGCCAGCGTTCGTATCATTGCTAACGTACATTTTTGCGGCAGTCACGAACTGGTTACCGGGACCCAAAATCTTGTCCACCTTGGTAACACTTTCAGTCCCATACGCCATCGCAGCAACCGCTTGAGCTCCACCTGCTAATACAATCGACTCAGCGCCAACTTTGTGTGCAACGTAGACGATCTCAGGAGTTATGCTGCCATCGGCGCGAGGCGGCGAAGCCAAAACAATCTTCTTGCAGCCCGCCACCATTGCAGGTACACCTAACATGAGCGCAGTGCTAGGTAGAACCGCCGTTCCTCCTGGGACATACAGTCCTACACGCTCAATTGGCCTAGAAAACCGGCTGCAAACAACTCCTGGCATAGTCTCGACTTGCAAGGGCTTTTCTTCCCTCTGTGCAGTGTGAAACTTGCGGATATTTTCAAAAGAAAGGTCGATTGCTTCAATCGTCTCAGGAGGCAGATCCATCAGAGCTTGCGGGAATGGCGCTTTCAGGACCGGGGAAGTGAGCGAAGTCGCCTTCTCGAATTTGTGGGTGTAACTTAAAAGAGCCTTATCCCCTCCTTCCCGAACCTCCTTTATAATTGGATTGACAATGCCCATGATCATCTCAGTTGATTTTTGAGAAGGTCTCTGCAAAAGCTTTCCGAGATCCTCGTCGGAGGTGGTAGCAGCATTGTATCTCTTCATAGTGATTCTTCCATTTTTTGTGCCCGCCTTGTCTGAAGGAGATTTAGGTACTGAGGCTGCTTCCTTAACGGTTTCTTTCACATTCTCGGGTTTTGCGCCATTAACACCATTTGTAATACCTTCCTTAGCAGCCCATTTCCCTTTGGCATCACCTTGTCTTCTCTTTACCTTGTTGCTTTTGGCGTCGAGGCTGCGTTCGATGTCTGCCAGACTTACGCCTGCTCCAACAGCTTTAGTCAAAGCAAAGTAAATAAGATCCGCCGCTTCGAAGGCCACCTCGGTCTTGGATTTTGCGTCGCATAGTTCCTCGGCCTCTTCCATAATTTTCGCACGCAACAACTTCTCGTCCGAAAATAGTCTGGCTGTATAAGAACCTTCAGGAGCTGAGGCCTTTCGAGAAACTAGAGTCTTTTCGAGTTTGGATATACCGTGAAGTTCACCGAAACATGTCGACTGCGGAAGGTGGCAGAAACCTACAACATTAGCCAATTCTACCATATCAACTACCCACGAACAGCACCTTACCTCTACCTTTCTGTCGAACCACAAACTTCAAGCAGTCCTGATCGCAGTCTAGCGAGATTCTCACTATCTCTTGTGTATCGCCAGAGGTGGCGCCTTTATACCACAATCCACGCTTACGACTTTGGTACACTCCCTTACCAGTCTTTATCGTCTCTGCTACGCTCTCTTGGCTACTATAAACCAGCCCAAGCGCAACACCACTTTCATCAGTGACTACCGTTGGCAGTAGTTTGTCCGGCCGGTCTGAAACCCACAACTTGCCAATAAGTCCTGGAACCGAGACCTGATTCTCCTTTGGCTCTCCAACTGTCAGGCCGGTGGCTGGTATTATTGGAACAGTAGATGTTTCGATTGCAAAATCGACATATGGTTGAAGGTTGGACGTAGAGGAAGTCGCGAGGAAGACAGGAGAAGTCTTGTCTGCCACAAGTCTCTCTAGAAGTGGCTTCGAAATAGAAAGATCCTTTTCCCCGACATCAACTAGAACGCCGTTTGGAAAGGATGCCGTCGACGAGTTGTCGTCCGTTGGGGACAAAACAGGAACAACCCTGTTCCCATAGCTCTTCAACTCTTCGGCCAGCGAGAGTTTAACAAACACTCTTCGAGCGCCAGCGTCCAGACATGTAATAATGTCGTCTTTCGAATCAATGGCAGTGACATTGACGTAGGCTTCGACCGAAGAGTGTCGCTGCAGGAACTGGAGAAGGGTGTCGAATGTTTTCTCGTTCGCTGAGAAATATACACAACCAAGATATGATAATTGCACTCTGGTCAACCCCTCCACTGCTTCAGTTGCTCCTTTTTCGAGATTCACCAAGGGAAGAAATGGCAGCGGAAGAGTAGTTTCCATGATTGTGTGCGGCAGATTGTTCAATGGCAAAAGGCCAACGAGGTATCTGGATTCGAGTCTGGGAAAATTGGTGAGTCAAGTCAAAGTCAATACGCAATTTACATTTTTGGGCCCCTCAACCGACAACGGATGGCGGGGCACTAATTGAAGGGTGCTGTGGATCTCAAAGAACTTCTTTTCATGGTGTCTGACTGGCCCATTTCCTCCTATCCAGCTATGCCTACCTGCATGGTCTGTGCTGAGCATCGCGACCTTCAGTTTGTCTCAACGCGAACCGGTCTTCATTCCACAACTTTGCGCCGGCGTCAATTCGTGCTTAGGCATACTCCATCTCGAACTTTGTCTGCGCTATCCAGCCATCAGAAGTTATACCAGAGCTCCTAGGACCGTACCGAAGACTGTTCCGCGGGAGCAGCCTCACCTTTCACCATGGCCGAAGTCAACGGCGACGCTCCTCAGACAAATGGCCATGCCTCTCCACCATCACAATCCACTGCGACAGTTGCAGCATCCTCCCAGCCGGCTACCGCACCTGCAACCGCTCCAATCCACTCCGTGCCGAATATCTCTATACACGATTCCGGCCTAGGAAAACGTCCTCGAGACGCCCGGCTCATCCACATGCTTCTTTCTTCCCTCCAGGTATCAGCATACCAGGAACGTGTTCCTGTACAGCTTCTCGATTTCGCCTACCGACATTCGTCCTCGATCCTCTGTGATGCTCTTCATCTTTCATCGGATGCGTATATCTCGCAGACAACGCGAGCGAGAGACGCTCCGCCTGGAGGAGGGATGCGAGATGCCGACGGACAAGTCAGTTCTGTAGCGGTTCAATTCGCCATTCAGTCCAGAATGCAGTATCAATACGGTGGAGGTAGTGGAGGAGGCGGACTAAGCAAAGACTTCCTCTTAGAGACGGCACAGAAGAGAAATGCTGTTCAGCTGCCTAGGGTTCTTACACACGAGTGGGGCGTCCGCTTACCGGGAGAGAGGTTTGTGCAGACTGGTGTTCCATGGGGTATTAAAGGCGAGTGGGTAGCTACCGATGACGACGATTCTGGAGATACCGAAATGGGAGGAGTTGATGTGCCAGAGGAGCAAGGTGTAGAGGGGGGCGAGGAAGGCGAGGGAACCATGGAGGACCTCTTTGGGGGCGACGCAGATATGGACAAAGACGAATGACTGTAACATATTACATTGGGCATATGCGGTGTTAATGGCGTTAACTCTGCTTTTGAGGGTCAGGAAAAAGCTATACCACTGGAGTTTATACGGCCAGGAGAATTTGAAAAAAGAAGACTATGGAGCATGAAGTGCGCTCATTTGTTGCATGTTCGCTGAGCGCAACCATTCTGACAGTCGCCAAAAGGCAATTTGAGGAGGACCTCGTGGAGGATTTTACATAAATCAGGAGAGCCGTCCACAGCGACGCAAATTTGTTGCTTTTTAGGACCAACTGCAACCGTTGTCTAATTCTAGCCAATTTATCTTTAGCAGTAATCTAATCTTAAGACATAAATCAGGTGAGAGTTAGATGTCAACCTACTTCAACCATGTAGGTTCTTGAATGCGAAGTCACGTTCCGGGGTTCTTTGCAGAGTAACCTTGGACCTAACATGACATTGCAGCTTCAACTGTAACATGTGCTGTATGACATACTATTCCCAGAATTAATACAGATTACAGAAAGACAACTAGAAAATACATAAAAGATTGAGGCTCGACCCGGAGAAGCACTGGGACATTTATAGCATGGATATTAGCGGCTGTTCCGCGATTCTTAATAGCCATGATGTCGTCACGGTGATCCTGTACTTATGTAGCGAACTAGCTAGCTCTATACTTACTGTCTTGCTCTGATATATTCTGCAGAAGAGCTAGTACTGTTCGATTATATTCGTGTCACATAAACTAAATATATTTGATCGATTAACGACGCAAAATTGCCCTGGTCTCATTTAACGACTATAAAACAGAAATTTGTGAAACAGAAATATATCCGCATTCTGTTACGAGTATTAGCAGGTTAAGCTAATCATAGTACTAAGCTTCTGAGAACGGTGCCACGAGGGCAATTTAATAACTTATTGCTATATATCCAGCAACCCGAAAATGAGCAAGTGTATTTTTGATGCTCGTTTCCAACTCCGTGAATCTCGGTCTTAAAGAAACAGAATTCCAGCACTAGGATACTAAGTTACATATAAGCATTATAATTTGAGCTGCCACTCATACCTTCGTATAAGTACTTCGTATCTGATAATTCACTTTTTTCAGGTCGAATGTCTCAGATGACACAGAAATCTCATTGAACTGTTATCCCCTATCAAGAAAAGGACACTTTCAAATCAATCGGACCGAATTAGAACAAGATATCTATTTTGCAAAGTCTTTACACTTAGGATATTAGAAGACCATATTTACGAAGCTAACTAGAGATCTAATAGAGTTCGAGGTGTGAGTAAATTGGGAGGTTATGGGCCTAGGATTCACATGAGCAAGTTTGAATAATTGAGGACTTAAGAGGACGATTTCTCCTCGCTTGTTATTACCTTTTTTCATATTGCAGTTTTCATGATTATGTAACAATATGTTGTTCACTATCCTATTATTAATCGTGTAATAAATGACACTTTCAAAATCGCGGCCGTAGATGTCTCGTGAGGCTTAAATAAGATTTATATGTACAAATTAGACTATGTTGAAATCGAAAAATATTGTCTTAAGCGACCATGACCTATTCGCCAGCTGTCCTTCAAAGCCACTTACCTGTTCTAAAACCAAGCTAGTGAATGGTGTGCTTTATTTACATTCACTCCTGCACATGTCATTCACGTAAAGTACGCTAGTAATTCATCTCTCACATTTATAGATATCTATAAATACTGTACCACCATCCTTCCTTGTTGATAACAAAACATCCCCACTTCCCAAAGCGACTACGAAACTGCAAGTGAATAGTGTAAATTAGAGCTGAATTCAAACGTATGAGCGATTTTACGAGGGTTCTTCATCACTACTGCACCGCTTAACTTCACCTTTACACGCTGTACATCGCTTCGCATTTCCTACCAGACAGTCAGTCATCACAATGACTACCCCACAACTCTCACCACTTCCTTCAGAGCGCCCCAGTAAAAACGCACGAACACCACTGCCTTCTGGGGCAAGCTTACATCCGAATGGTCCCATCAATAGTGCCTCTTCGAGTACTACTCCCAGACGTCCCGTCAGTGGATTTTGGAAATCAGTGAAACATGCTCCGAAAGCACCTATTCCAATTGCGACCACCACTTCAAGATCCGAAATCGACTGTCTGATAGACACTGTTTCGGGAACACCACTCGAGCCTATTTTGAGATCCCTCTCGGATTTCATCATTCAGAACCGCGTACAATACGACGATCTACTACGACGACAGAAAAATGCCATGAAGAAGTACGTTGTCGAGGAGCGCGAGGTCATGGAAAAGATGTGCACCGACTGGACTGACGAGGTCGAGAACGACATAAGACTCTTCATAGCAACAGAAATCACATCTGATCGGGATCAGTCAACCATTCCTAATTCTGATTCAAGCTATCGAAAGGTTGAAACTGCTCATGCGTTATCTCCTAGTCCCGTGTTTTCTATTAAAGTAGAGCCTACAGACACAATAGACTACCATCAAGATTCGTTGCCCGAATACCGCCCAGTCACGAGAGATGAAAGAATTCAAGTCCGAGTAGCCAACTTGCTTCGGAATTTTCAGCAAAGGTCATTAAGATTAAAGAAGTCTGTTAGCCATAAGTTCTCCCACTTCGCTGCCTTCGACAGGAAAGAGCACGAGAGAATTACATACGAACAAGAGCAGAAGCTTCGCAGCCTTATTGAAGGGTTGATAAATCATCAGGTAAGATGCTTCCCCTATATCTAAGCCCGCTTTCTTTGCTGACTCGAGTAGAACTCACAATCAAACAATGACTTTGCAGCCCAATCGCCTATGACCTTGCCAGTGAGAGACAAGAGAAACATTCGGGGGAGCGTCGATTTAACAGGCGATGAGGTCGATGCGACTATGGATGATGGAAATACTAAACCGGCTGAACGGGCTATACGTGGAAACAAGTCCAAGAAACGCAAGGTTTCCGACCGACCTTGAGCGATACATGCGGAAATGAGGGGGAGGTGGAATTTTGAGTCTACGCCTTCGATTGCGAGTTTGTTTGGAGATTAGAGAAATGCTTAGTTACCTGTTTCGCATCATTTAGATAGGTCAATTCTGTTGAAGAATTTAGTTAAGATGAAATAGAACTGAAGACAAGAAACTTACCTATGTTTGAGCCTCAGGTCTGCCAAGTGCTGAAAATGATCAATTAATGAAATTTACTGAGCCAAAGTTGTGTAGCAGGTGCAATCTAGAATAAAATTGGTAAGCGATGCAGGACTGGGAAAGAAAATGGATCTTCGTTGGTCTATACCTACATAGGCGAATAGTAAATCAACGAGAACGATCTAACGTAAAACTGGCACGTCATAGGCCAAAAGACAAGCCGAAGAGAGCTAAACATTGGCTTGCCGATTGAAAATAGCCATGGGCGCTTCAAAGAATCTTAATCCGGGGTACTGCGTGACCAGTTTGATAAGTCGCAGTGTCAAAGCAGTCTAGAGCTATATTCATTCAAAATGTGGTATATTTGCTGCTTAAATGCACCTCAGATTTGGGTGGTTCACCGAAGTGGGCATTATCTGCTACACATTTTCTCATCTCCTAACTATGATCTTCTCGCAGATAGCACCAATGATATGGCGCTTCAACAAACTCAAGATCTCATTCGATCTCGGCTGTGGTAATACAATCTTTCTTCTGCCTCAATCTTTAAACCTCATTCTTTTCCGTCCATTACGTCTTTGCTAGCGAGGAAAGAAACGACTGTTGTTCACGGACCGCATGATATCCACCCTCTCCAGCCATCATGCATTGACCTTCCCAAAATGATTTGCACAAACGTGATAGTGCTAAACGCCGGCTGATTTAGCAGAAACAGTAAAAGGAACGATGCTGAAAACCCAAATAATATTTCGTATAATCCTTAACGCCCCTATGCAGCATCTTTTTGCTCTTTTATGAGTAATTTTGTGTTGATACAACTGGAAGAAAAATAAGTGTTTAGCGTCTTTAGTTTCGTGGAGATCTGCAGCGCGTTAGAAAATAGTTTGTTAGTAGAGCATGGAACACCCTTACGTTGGAGAAAACTGAGGACTTGTTGGGGAATAAGAGGGTGAAGTAGGAGAATACTTCGGCGAAGTAGCATTCGCCTGCGCTGCTGCATACGCAGGGCTCGTAGGACTGAAACTTGGGCTCGTAGGACTGTAAACAGGACTGGTCGGAGACAAGCCAGATCCAGGAGAAGTCTTATTTGCCGTGAAGTTGGGAGACGTGGGACTGTAGCTTGGGGATGTAGGACTGTAGCTTGGAGAGGTTGGGCTGTAATTTGGCGAAGATGGCGATTGGCCATGGAAAGCTGGAGAAGTGGGTGAATAGTTTGGAGAAGTGGGCGAGTAAGATGGCGATGTAGGGGACACAAAGCTGGGCGAGGTGGGAGAATATGCTGGCGATGTAGGTGTGAAGGCCGGACTCGAGGGTGAAAAGCCAGGACTAGTCATACCAGGAGACGTGGGAGAGTAGCCAGGAGACACCGGAGAATAGCCAGGAGATGTTGGCGTGCCGAAGGTGTTTGGGCTGACAGGAGACCAGCCTCCTCCAGGGCTTCTAGGATTAGGAGTTCCAATTCCAGAGCCATATCCACCATACTCGGTCGCGAATCCACGGTTTTCGTCTGGATTGGCGCTCTGGACAGGTGAAAATCCACCACCCGTGTAGTCTGGCGATGAACCCATATATCCAGCTTCGTTCATAGGAGAACCATTGTCGTAGGGTGTGGCAGCACCATCCGCACCCTTAGCCTGAAGACCAGGTACAAGATTCATTCTGCCATTGTCCGAAATGACGGTGTCCAGCATCACAGGATCAAGCAGAACTTCAAGCTCGCCAGTTCCCATAGGTGCAAGCTGTCCAAGCATGACGTTCTCTGAAATACCACGGCAATCATCAAGTTCACCAATAGCGGCAGCCTCGAGAAGAATTTCGACAGTTTCTTCGAAAGAACATCTCATCAGCGCGCCAGTATCAGCGCGGTTGATACCGTGACGGGTGATTGCCATTAGAAGACCGCGAGAAGTCATTACATCGACCAGCAGCGCAAGATGACGATGATTGACATAAGAACCATCAAACGCAAGGACTTGAGTCAGTTCTCGCATAAGAGCTGATCTAGCAGCTTCGATACCGAAGACCTCGAGTACTTGGATGAAGTGGTTGGTGTAAGTTCTAGTCGTGTCCACACCGGGGACTGTCAAGACTTGCGCAAGGGATGTTCCGCTCGTGTCCAAGTACCACTCGGTGCATCTGTCATCGCTCTTGCTTGCCAACAGCCCTCCATCAGGAGTGGTGATCAGCTTAGTTTCCTTGTTCAAGAAGGCTCTGTCAACGCCAGGAACACCGCGAAGAGTGAGTGTATCAAGAATGTGGGCCTCCAAACGCTTAAGCATAATATCTTCTTCGATGTCATCATCATCGTACTTGCCATCACCCGCTTTGATCATTCTGATACGAATGACTTGTTTTTCAGCATTATTGTCACTGAAAATAACAGCAAGATCCTTTGGATAATTCTCCTTGATCTTGATGGCAACATCTTCAACCCGCAACCCCTTGTCTAACATTTTTTGACGGTCGAGAATCAAACGGAGTAGCCATCTAGATTGATTGTCCAGAGAGTCGTGATGTTCTTCGGGAATGATGAAAAAGGATTCAACCATGTCAAGATCATCAGCAATCTCAGTTGACTGAATCTCAGGATCATGATAAATCTCTGTTGCTTGCATGACTGAACGAAGATTGGTGTGCTCAACAGCGCTGCGGAGCAACTTCGCAGAATCTTGAGACGCATCCTCTCCTTCCTGGTAGACGACCATAGAAGGTGTTTTGATGTTCGATGCAATGTTAAGAATTTCCTTTAGACGAGGAACACCGAGTGTTACGTTCTTTGAAGAAACACCAGCGAAATGGAAAGTGTTTAGGGTCATTTGCGTAGCAGGTTCTCCAATGGACTGTGCTGCAAGAACTCCGACCATCTCTCCAGGGTTCACCAAAGATTTGATGAACCTAGTTTCGATCTCGCCAAGTACGTGATCAAACGCGAGTCTGTTCAGTCGCATGTGGCACGCGATGCGCTTGAAGGCTAACCGGGATCGCAGTTGGGCCTTGATCAATAATGTTGCGTTGAGCTGTGCCTCTTCCGACAACTCATCCTTGCCGCGAACAACAACTAAGCGATCCAGAAGACCCTGGACAAGAGGTATGACAACTTGTGGCGTGAGGTCGGAACGCTTTGTAATATCGATCTTAAACAGTCTCTTTGCGCTGTCAATTATGCGGATGACATTGAGAGGTAATTGCATCTGCTCATCGTCCTTCTTCTTGAAATTGACATCTCGGAGCATGTCACGATCAGCAACAAGTTGCTCCCATTCCAGGTCCAATAATTTTTGTACCTCAATATCACCACTAACGTCAGCTGCGTCTGATAAAACCTCAGAAGAGATAGCAGGATTACGATCGTCCATAACATCCAGTCGGAACCTATCTTCAAAGGCCTTGTCTGACAGATTGATGTGGTCGACACGCTGCTTCTCGATGATTGTCCCATCAAGACCATCTTCTCCATAGACGAATTGAACAATATCGCCCAAGGAATTCCTAACAGTACCATCGTATTTGGCCATTACGTCCTCTAGAGCCTTGACAAGACGACGTTGGATATACCCGGTCTCAGCGGTCTTCACAGCAGTGTCAATAAGACCCTCACGACCTGCCATGGCGTGGAAAAAGAATTCAGTGGGCGTCAAACCACGGAGATACGAATTCTCCACGAAACCTCTTGATTCGGGCGAGTAATCGTCCTTGGTGAAATGTGGAAGCGTACGGTATTTAAATCCGAAAGGAATACGCTTCCCCTCAACAGACTGTTGTCCGACAAGAGCCGTCATCTGTGAAATATTGATAGTAGAACCCTTGGAACCAGAGCGAGCCATTTGAACAGCGTTGTTACTGTCCTTGAGACTGTCCTCTGTTTTCGTTCCTGCCTTGTCACGAGCAGTGTTCAAGGCCTTGGAGACTAAACTCTCAAATGTTTCACGGACGTTCATACCAGGCAATGACTCAAGTTCGTTTGCTGTGGCCTTAGCTGTCAACTCCGCAACTTCATCTTTTTGGACCTGAATAGCACCCTCGATCTTCTCAATCGTCGACTTATCGGGAATTGTATCACCAATGCCGATACTGAAACCGTTATGTAGAAGCCAGTAATTCACCACTCGCTGACATCCGTTGAAGAACGCCATGGCAGCATCCGGGCCTTGTTCATTGAAAATGATATGAATAATACCACCACTAGAGGCACCGACATTCTTCTTCGTAAGGAGACCAAACATAAGCTCTCCCTCATGTACTAACAGACCGTCATCCTTCAGCGGGGCGTCTTCCCGAGCGTCATTCGCTGTATGCAAGTTGACAATTTTGGGAATAATCATACTGACGATTTGTTTTCCGGTCCAGCGAGGGCGAGGCTTGAGAATAGCAGGTTGGGGAATAACGCCATCCCACTCGGGGACCCACAGAAGGATGTTCATGAGATGTTCCTTGGTAATGAAGACATCTCTGCGACACATCTTGTAAACACCAGCCAGGGTGTCCTGCACGATACCCATAAGAGGTCCATTTCTCTGCGGCGAGACAATGTTAAGAGGCACCATACACAAATTCATGACTTCTGCTCGTGTCTCTTCTGTCTGAGGAACGTGCAAATTCATCTCATCACCATCAAAATCAGCATTGTAAGGTGACGTGACAGACAAATTGAGTCTGAAGGTGGAGTAAGGCATGACCCGAACTCTGTGTCCCATCATAGACTCTTTGTGCAAAGAAGGTTGACGGTTGAAAATAATAAAATCTCCATCAACAATGTGCCTTTCGACCTTCCATCCGTATTCCAAATTCACACCAGCAGAGTTCTTGTTGTGGCGAAGATCGATTCGAGTGCCGTCAGCTCGCATGACATACTTAGCACCAGGATGATCGTTTGGTCCGTTTCTCACCAACTTCGACAGGTGATTGATATTATAAGGCGTCACAGTTTCAGGGTACGTGAGTGTCCGGGCAATACTTCGAGGAACACCGACCTCATCCAGAGACAAGTTGGGGTCACCGGTGATAACGGTTCGCGCAGAGAAATCCACACGTTTGCCCATCAAATTTCCACGAAGTCGACCCTCCTTACCCTTTAGTCGGGCACGGATAGATTTCACCGGCCGGCCTGATTTTTGCAGTGCTTGAGGTGTTCCGGCAATATCATTGTCCATGTATGTTGCGACGTGGTATTGCAATAAGGCTTCGAAATCTGAGAGAATGTGTGCTGGTGAACCTTCTTGCTGAGCTTGTCGTACATTTCCATTTGCGCGAATAATGTCGCCCAATTTGAACGTTAAATCATCCTCTCCTCGCATACCCTGACCCGTTCCATCCATAGATACACTAGGTCGGACTGGTGGTGGCGGTACCGGCAAGACTGTGATAATCATCCATTCTGGACGGGCATAATCATTACTCAAGCCTAGGTCGCGAATTTCACTGGATGAAATAGATTTGAACACAGCAAGCGCCATTTCCGGGGTGATGTTTCTCTTTTCGGGCTGAGCGGTCTCTCCGTCTTCGTCTTTGGGCACCTTCCATGTACCAGTAAGGGTCAACGACTGCTGGCGCACTTCCGGTTGTAAATTGCCACAACCTCCATGTATCGAGACGGCTTGTTCTTTCCCTTCTGAATTGCCTTCCTCGTTACTGACATCACTATCACAAATCATTTTTGGCTTGCAGAGTCGCCATATTGTATCAAACCGACGCTTGGGGTCTCGAATGGAGACAGCAGCTTTGTAGGCAGGATTACTCTGGGTTAGGAGGTCAGCATAAATGCACAAATGAATCTGCCATGCTTTGCAGGCAAACTCACTCTATCGAGCAGAATCTTGCCACAGTTGTGGCAGACCATCTCCAAGATCTTCTTTATCTTTTTGATGAATCCAGGATGAAAAACGGGTTTCGCCAACTCGATATGACCAAAGTGTCCTGGGCATTCTGACATCTGTTGGTCGCAAGTTCCGCACTTGAACTGTCTATCGATTGAACCGAGTCGGGGATCGTTTAAGCCCTGATCGCGTGGCTTCATTCTACTCTCATCCATTGTTTCGGGGTAAAGAATGTGGACCACACTCATGTTTTTGATTTCTTCAGGAGACAACAGACCAAACTGAATCTCCTGGATCGTCTTGAGCGGCGCATCGGAATGCGTAAAATTAAGGTTCGCCATGGTTGCGTTCTGTCCGTGTTAACTTCACGTTGAGCTGTGGCGACTTCGATGTTAAGAAAAAGACCGTGAAAGCGCAACACGACTCGAAAACGGGCGCAAAGGAAAGCTGGTTACGCGATATGGTGTTACAATTAGAGCAAATCGGTGCGCAAGATGGGAAGAGCCCCGTTTTGTCGTAGATGCGCTGAAGACGGCGCAGGCCCGATGGCCGTGTCGTGATGTCCCTTTTTCCAACCGCGACAGATCCAGCAGCTCGACGGCGAATGCGTAAGGTGAAGTCTGATCTTCTTTCTTCGTGAGAAAGGCTTGCTGGTAGGATCACACGATTTCCGACGCGCGATACCTTCGATGGTGGTAGAGGTCGAGGACGTGATCACGGTGGGTGATGATCTGGTTCTTTGTCGCGCAAAAAGGCTCGACAGTCAAGATGAGGCTCGAACGCTAGCCTAATCCGGCACGTGACCCCCACGCCTTTCTTGTTTGCGTTTCTCGTTCTTCACGAAGCCTTCGTACACTCACTTCAACCTCTTGGTCGCGAATTTGTTACCTTTGCAGTCGCTTGTCCAATGTGTCCAGCTTGTCGACAAGTGTGTAGAAAGATGTGATCTCTCAGATCGACCACATCGCCGGATAGCAACTCCTTAGCACACCTCCTTTCCCCGTACCTATTTGTGGATCAGCTAGGTAATAGGTAGGCCAGACTCGCCAGACTCATTAGTCACGTGGCAAATGCATACTTCTTTCGACAATTATAGAATCACAGGAGACGTCTTTTCTTGAAACCACGAGTCAATTAGTTGGACTCATTCAAGAAAGATGCAGCTCAAGTTCACACCATGTCAATGTCTTCGCAGTTATAATAATATCCTCTCGGCCACGTAATGAAACAGATTTTTGAACCGGGTCTGACATCCATAATGGCTTTGGGGTCTTTTTGCAAATAGTGAACGCTTCACCCAATCTCCTAAGCAGGTTATGAAAGAGTTTTCAAATTACTATTGTTAATTTTTCCTTAAACGCCAAACACCGCCGATGCAATACCATCCACAAACGCCATCGAAATGCTTCACTACCGCTTTTTAGTCTTCTTGACCGTCCTTTTCTGATTCTCGTCGGTGCTTCCAACAACCTCCGAGTTGAGCAGGTATTCCCTGGCCTCGGTAGGACTCTTTCGTCTCATCTCCCCACGCCCGACTGTTACGAACTCCTCTTCACCCTCGCTATCTTGTAAGCCATAGTTTACCGGCATTCGGAAGATTTCCTCCCCGTTGGTATCTTGAAGAGCTTTGCTGGTCAAAACATCCACAACATCGTCCTCCAGGTCCAGTCGCCTCTTTTGTATCTCTTCTTGGGGGTGGATATCGAATTCGTCTTCATGCTCAACGTACTCGACGTTCTCTTCAACCTCCACGAAATCCGGGGCTAGGGCGGACCACCTTTGTTGGGGTATGATTGACCAGATATCGATTTTCCCCGACTCAAGCCCGCAGGCCACAATCATTGGACGGTGGGGATGCCACTCGACTACTCCATGTTCCTCTTTCGTGGGCTCCAAGATCCTGACCAGACTACCAACATTCCGTTCCCAAATGTAGATATCGTGGTTGTTGTATGTCGATGCTGTTACATATTCTCCAGTCGAGCTGAAAGCGACATGATTCCATGACACCTTGTTCACCATATCCTGTAACTTGTGCTCGACTTCGATGGTGATTGTATCCGGATCTGCTGTCAAATTCGGCAGTTGTGTTGTACGAATGATTCTGTCTGACGCGTTAATCACCATGTCTCGTCCAGAATTTGTAAGACGAAGAAAGATGACAACGCCTGTGCAAATCTTGGTAGAAAAAATTGTTTTCAGAGTCTCGACCTCAATAATGTTGAGAAATCCCTTATTTGTGCCAGCAATGATATGATCCCCAGACGCCGCGAAAAGAGCACAAGTGGTAGCCGTTTTCGCGTCGCCTGCAGCTTGCTTTTCTGAAATTTCTACGTCCGCATCACGATTTGGTATCGAGGAAAAGTTGTTTTTTCGAGTTATATTCTCCGTCGCATCCACGAGGAGAGGCTGGTCTTCGTACAGGGAGACAACAAACTTAAGACTGAAAAGCACGTTAGCAAGCCTCACTTTTTTGGAGAGCAAAAAAATCATACTGGTTGGCAGGATGAAGTTCTGCCATGTAAACCGCTGCTTCGAACTTGACCATGCGCAACATGGTATCATCCTTGAGGTCCCATATGATACACTTCCAGTCTTGCGCAGAGGTCAAAAGATATCGTCCGCAGTGCGACCAGCTCAAAGATTGGATCTGTCTGATATGGCCTTTCAGCTTCGTTGCCACAGACTGAGTCTCGACATCGAAAATAACCACAACGCCATCAATGCGTCCAGCGGCCAGAAAGTCTCCTTTTCGATTGAAGCGCAGAGCGCAAGCGTGCCCGTTGAAGAGGTGGCCAGTAGTGGTCTCTGGGTAATCTTGCGCGATAGCAAAAGGATCAGCCAGTGCCAAATTCATCGTGAGGTATCCCGACGGTAGAGAAGTTGGCCGTATTCATTGGGAAAAATATAGATTTGTTGCCGTTTACAAGGCTGCATCACAAGCAAGGCTGAGCGGTCTTCCAGGTCAGGTCGTTTGCACTCGCCAAGCGGGAGATTTGGGGGCGAATTTTTGTCCTAGCGGCAATAACACGGACGACCCCTCGAAGACCCATGATTCCTGAATTTTAATTCATCCCCGCGTCTTGTTTCATGAACCACGAGAAACGGATTTTTCAGGTCTACTAATTAAATCGTTAACATATATAATCTTCGCCAATCTAATCCTTCAAACTAGCTAGTAAGTTTGTAGTTCATCTTCTTTAGCATATTCTCTTGTCTGAGACTATGTCGAAGGGTAGTCTATTTTTCCCATTATCTACGGCTTCTACTTTCCCTCTGGAATATTTCCTGTCATGAACAGGGTAAAAAAATCCGGCATCTGGGGAAACGTCATTATACTTTCAGACACAATCCACTTCTTGGACCTCTTTAGCAAGGTAAAGTATATAAATTTCATTTTATTTGTTAATAAAGCTATTATAAATCATCTGATAACACATCCATTAGATTTCTTATACACTCAGATCCATACAATTCAGGATGCTAATAGTTTTCAAACCCAATAACGCCTATTTCCATTCCTATTGGACCCAATTCCTCTGGTAATGTGTATTACTACCGAGCATTATTCAATAAGTCTTGACCTCCTCCCTTTTCAGTATACACGGGACGAACAGCAGCAGTGCTTAATAGCCCTTGCATCCATTAGGACACATGTTGTAACCGGGGAATTGGTTGTATTGGGTTTGATCAATCGCTTCTAGCTTTGGGCAGCCGAGACCTTGAAGTCTGGTGACAATGGTGGTGCTCAAAGGTCCTAATACGGAATTCTTGTTGCCAATGGAAGATTGGCTGCCACCAAGAATGTCAGGAAGAGCGTTCTGAGAAATTTGGAAGAAGTAGCATTCCAGGTTGTTCCCCTCCAGTAACGTCGCAGCACTAAAGACACCTTTTGTCACGGAACCCAGATCAACAGGTGTGAACGTGTTTGGCTTTCCAGTGTTTCCACCAGTTTGGAGAAGAGGGAGATACTTTTCGCCGAAATCTAAAACGTCCGCCAAAAATCCAAGAATTGTGTACTCATCACCGATTGGAAGTTTGTACCAGTTATCTGGGATGCGCTCATGACCTTCGTTGTATTGGAAATTTCCAGATTCGCCAGTAATCGCAAAGAAGGACTTGAGATTTTCCTTGCTCAGCATGCCGGTTGGGAACTCATCAGAGTGGTTGGCCATCATGCGGACTGGAAAAGAGAAACCAGCTGGGGCAACAAGGATACCAGCGAATGGGCCGAAGAAGAAATATCCATTAGTCGTCAAAGAATCATTGAACCGAGACACACGGAAATCCAAGAGGTTATCGTATTGTGTGCTAGATGGAACGTCCTCGACTAACGCATCGTAGTACTGTTGGAACTGGGGAACCTGCAACTTGTAGTTGTTGCCACTGTTGAAAGTTAGCACTGTGAACATAAAGAAGAGGCGGCACAAGAAACTTACACTTTATAAAGATCACCCCGAGTTGGTGAGGTATCAGCCTCATATTTATTGTGAGATCCTGACAGCCCCTGCGGAGCGCCAGTGAGGCCAAGGAGATTACCAAGCGGTAATTGATTTAATGAAGTGGGTCCTCCTATCGAGTATCCCAATAGATTCCCGTCAAAAATTGCACCATATAGAGCGAGGAAACCACCAAGATCGAGGGACATTCCGTATGCAACATTGACACCGTTGATGAAATCTCCCATACTTCCAACGCCGTTATGTGGGATGTATCCGTGATTTGCTGCAGCATTCAATCCTGGACCTGCGGCAATACATTAGTTTTTTCTGTTATTATAAATGGTATAATTGATGTTACTTACATGGTCCTCTAACATCACCAGCTGCGAAGTTTGGCGGCACGAACTTGTGGTTGCCGGTGGTACTGACATACTGCGATGCGGGATCAAAGACTACACGCTTCTTGACACCATCGCGAGCGAGTGTACTTCTTTTTCCGATCTGTGACGCCGCAAGTCTAGCAGCCTGTTCGGCACCAATGGAAGGGAATGCAGAGACTTGTGTAGCCAATGCCATGATGGCAAGGCCAAGCGTCACTGCCTTCATAATGGTGGCTGGAAGTAGGAAGGTAATTGTTGTAGGACTTGACTGCTCTGTATCTGGGTCAAAGGATATGCTTGGGTGTTTAGGAGAGTAAAGTCGGTTGGATATTGCACAAAAGTCATATCATATGAGAGGGGATAGTCTATATATACATTGTTTTTCTCTGAACAGCTGCTTCAAATGACGGATTGTGTTGACTGAGAGACTAAAATCGAAATTCGACCTCTCTGCCATAAGGAAGCAGCAAGCCGGATCGGCAGTTCTTTCGCATTCTCAAGCTGAGAAAGTGAACAAACGATGACATACAGTTACCTATGAGGTCATGCAATAATGACTGGCAGTCCTGCCGCTTTCGAGATAAATTGTCGACAGAAGCACAGAGATTTCGTCAAAGATCAGCGTTACCTAGCCAGCATTTCAAGCGCCGTGAGATGAAGATCGCTGGTACCCAGAGATACACACCTACTGAACTCGTTCCTTATAAGAATGGGGATGATTCTGAGCGACCTTAAATCGGAGGTCCACAAGAAACCGAGGGAGAGTCGAATACCCATAAAATCGCTGCTAGATATGTGATGGAGATCTTCGGTTTTTATGGATTCCGGGGGTCTGGTTCTCTAAAGCATCAAAAGCGACAAGGTCCATCTGAAGCTGCGGCCAATCATTATCTGGATACAAACAAGATGTTTCACACATCGGGTACTTCATGCATGAGTGTCGGTCGCGGCTAGACAGCTGTGAGTCTACCAAGTATTGGCACCATCACCTCAACCGATCAGACAACTCTCTAGCAGACGCCGGGATCAAAAAGAAGAAGTAATTGGTGCATCTTTCCTTGTCGTCATCAGTCGAAACGTATTACCTCCTAACTTACAGTAGAAAGAAAGACAATGGAGCCCCAATGAATTGAGGATCGGTAAGGTAATGAATGTACTGTGGCAGTTGTCACTTTATTAGCGCGACGTCAGAACAGCCACCTTTTCATCGGCAGGCCTTGACGGGTACAGGCGGTGTCAGAGATCTATTCTTAATTAGCCCCGTTATGTAGATGTGCAAGCTGGGGGAGAAATAGCAAGGCAGAAAACAGCTAAAGGAGGCAATAATAATCACAAATTATTTGCAATGTTGAAACATGCCAAAAGAATGAACATTCTCGATTGTTTAATCTCCATGGGTGACGTGGAAGACGTCAAACTGCTGGTTCTGGCCTCTTTCTGGTTGTCTAGACCTTACTCGCGCTCCCATCAGTGGATGACAAGACTCTGCCAAGCATCGAAAGGTCGACAGGGAACTAACTGTTGGCGGGGAATGTGCTGAGAACGCGAAAGTGTTGACAGGACAGAATTCTCGGTGTTCTCGTATTTTTATCTCCGCCTAGATGGATGTTTGCAGCCAGATCAGTTCTGATCACCGCATGGGGGTACTTGGGCTGCTTGAATGGATGGTCCAAGCCTTGAGGTTGTGATGTTAACGCTTGTAAGCGAGATTCTTTCAACTGAAGTTAGAGAATGCTGCCTCAGGCATCAATACAAGATCCACCTCCGAGGCTCAAAGCTCTACTACAACCACCTTCCCCGTACAACAATACCAATAATACGGAACTACCTTCGCAGGTGATGGGTACGGAGTATATTCTCCTACGCCAAGTATCGATCGAACGCGGTTCTTCTGCAGACTTTAATATACCACCCATTCTGATCCAGAAATATTGGATGTGCAACGACGATTGGCCAATTCTGCAGAAACAACTTTGAACTAGCGATACTAACAGTCAGACACAACCGGGACCTGGGGAGTAGTGGAGAGCCACCCACCCATCTACCAGGCTTTTGATCGACAGCGGGAAGCATCTCCGTGCTGTACAGTAACGATCTGCCACCGATCTCTTAGTCTCGACAGAAAAGTAACTCAATTCGTGGGTGGCGTTTTTAGCCACTACCACTTCGGGTTTCTCAACTCCCAAAGCAGCCTATAATGCTTCATATGGTCCACTCGTTGACATTAGACGCTTAGCCAACTGGGATACCCAAGTACCTAGAGCAGATCCTACTTTGCGTTTTCGAATCCACAGGAAGAATTGTTTATTGTCAGGAGAAAGAATATCAATTTGCTATGTTTAAATGAGTCCGTGCAGATTACACGGCTTGTGGACTTGAAATTATTCTTGGGAAGTCTTGTAGATTCGTTTGCTGTGTATAATGAACTACAAAGGGAGTTTCTCATAGCCTCACGACGCTTTCAAGAAATCGCATTTGAAGAGGATGTTTATGGTACTCGCTACAATGTTCGACAAGTTTAACAGGAGCGGGAATTCGGATGGTATGGGAAAGTACCCCAAGATGATGGAGAAATAGGGCGGTGAACTACCGCGGTGGATCATGTATTAGCAGCACCCTAACACGAATAAGCTTCTTTTTAACATTATTGTTTCCATCAAACGAGTCGATGTCAATGCTAGTCTTTACCTAGGGGGGTTCGTTCGGAGCCAAACACTTCTCCACTACTAACCCATCCGGATGCCGAAACTCTGAGTAGTCGACCTTCGCGTCGGATCCCATCAAGCTCTCCATTTATGAAATCTCCGTACAAGCATCCATTGCTGATTTGCCATGCGCCAGCGAAGCGTTGACGAGAGTGGTGCCTTCAGCAGTTGCGATCGAGGATCTTTTTCGATCATTTATTCCTAGCTCGAGGACTCTTCGGTGCTTTAGGGCACTTATCATGAAGATCCCTATCCGTTCATGCAGAATAACTTTACGTAGCTGAAAGACATGCTGGAGAGTTTTTGATCGACAAAATGTTTTGCAACTTAGGAAAGGATATCGGCGTGGGTAGACTTGACAACACAACTATCTACGTAGGATCGTCCGGCAACATGAGGATAGGATTCCAAGCGCTAATCTTATGATAGCAGTATTAAGCAGTACATATACCTGCAGATCCCCCTCAAAGTCTACATATCCATACCGACTTCTCAATCTTCAACCCCTTTAGTTCCATCACAATCAGCATAAAAGTAACCCCTTGACCAACCATACATCAATACTCACAAATATCGTACGACGCTACATACTCACAATGCGTTCCAACACTTTCATCGCGGCATGTGCATTTACTGCTGTAGCAGTGGCAGTTCCTCTGCCAGCAACCACTGGAAGCAACCCTCTCTCAGACACAGTCACACAAATTACAGACCTTCTCGGCTCACCTTTTGGAAACGGTAAAGGCAACGGAAATGGGAACTCTGCGGGAGTTGGTAACGACGGTAATGTAAGTATATGAACAGCTTCTACGGAAGGGTCATCCCCATTGCATGACTTGCAATCTCATGAAGGACTAACAACATGTAGGGAGCCGGAAACGGAGTGGGCAATCTTAACGGCAACGGCAATGGAAATGCCTTTGGAAAGTGAGTGCTATCCTACAAAATTCTCAGACATAGCTGACCTAAAATAGTGGAAATGATATTCTATCAGGAAATTCAGGTATCGGACGCCGACAGGATAGCTTGACCCAGGTACTCGAAGGTTTGGTGGGTTCACCAGTCGGAAACGGTGTTGGAAACGGAAGTACGTAAACCACAGTTCACATCTCACCGATATCCACTACAGACCTCAAATTGTGTCAAATGAGAGACTCCACAAGTAAGAAGTCTTGACAGTTGGGACTTTCATATGGCATGTACTGCAGGTCAAGCCAAACTCTACCCGTCTCCTCGAGGGGTCGGCAAGCTTGATTTTGATTCGAATTTCTTCTAGAAAATAAATTTGCTAATACTATGAATAGATGACAACACAGCTGGTGCTGGGAATGATGAGAACGGCTCAGGAAATGGCCAAAACAACCTTAATGAGAAGTAAGTGATTATCTCCACCTCCTTTTTGGATTGGCTCGGTAGACCCATCATGGTATCCCAGAAGTTAGAACTTGCTAACCTATATTAGTGGAAACGATAACATTTTCGGAAACTCAAACTCAATCCTGTCGGGAAATTCTGGCATTGGCAAAAAGGTAAGGAGATTTCCCCAAAAAACCACCCTCGGGACATATGTCGGTACGATCATCGACGATGTTACGGTTCCTTTGGATCCAACATCTGCAACCTCAATCTGGGGAAGCCCATCAGGCAATGGCAATTCAAATGGGAATGGCAACACGGCTGGATCAGGAAATACCGACAATGGCAGTGGTTTGTCAACCGAATGATCCATATATAAAATATTATCTAACACTTCGCAGGAAATGGCTCTGGGAACCTGAACGATAATGGTTCAGGCAATTCATTAGGCAATGGCAACGACATATTGTCCGGAAACTGTGGAATCTGCTCGCCTATCGACATCGATCCAAGCATACCTATAACCATCGGCAAAAAGTCGACAACAGCACAACCATATCTGGAAAACCATCTCATTCAGGACTCCTAAGCTCAGAAGCTAATTAAATCTTTCTTTAGGTACGTCGCCAAACTCTGCCACCTGGATCGCTCGCGCCTGTTCCTGAACAAACCTTAGAAGCATTGAACCAAGATATTTCCCAGGTCTTCACTGATCTGCCGGAGAGCCTGAAAAACAGTATTATTGGTGCGCTCACTGGTGACAACACTCCTCCTATCTCAGGCAGCAAGGAGAAGAGACAACTTGTCTTGACAGGGCTTGGGAATGTCATTGCACAGACTATTGGAAAAGAGATCCCTTAAGCGTGGCTGGCCACGAAATTGGAGCTTAGACCAAAAATTATGATGGGCGTGGAGGATTCGCGATGTATAAGTCGGAGCAATGGGGGTATATTTGTATTCTATGAACACTTGAGTTACAGGACTAATAATACGTTGTTTGGTTTGGATATCCTTTCCGTTGCGCTCGATCAAAATCTAGAAATCTGTATCTGCCAATCTACGCAAGTATTTAGTGCATCTCTCCATCCAACGGTCCTACAGCATCGTATCACCTTTTCGTATGATATATCGATTATACCAACGATAGCTGGTGATCAATCATCGACCTCATCGGCCTTTATACCACTGATGTTTGCCGTCTGACTCATAGGCGTGACAAGGATTCAAAATTGTTTTACCTCGATAGATCTCTTAGAACTTGTCATCGGTCCATCATGAAACTGACTTGTTGCAGTTAAAACATACCCAATTAGCTCAGGAATCGACCGTTTGTGTCCGAGTTCATTTCTAACTTCTTGATATTCTTGAGTCCAACCAAGGTCACCAAATCACAGACTATACTTCGATATGGCTCCGATACCTCTTACGCCAGAACAAGCAGCCCTTATAGAAACAGCAAATGAAGCTATTCGTCGTGTACCTCGCTCAACACCACTTCGGCAAATTACAGATCGTGAGCAACCTCTCCATTTACGCGACTAGGAAATGCAAAGTAGGGCGGGTTCAACAGTTACAAGTTCTGACTTCCATAGACACGGTATCGGCCGCATGCTTGACTTCTCACAACCGCACTTTCACGGGCATCAACACATTTCACTTCTCTGGTTCACTTTGCGCTGAAAATGTTGCTTTCTCGAACGCTGCGGCAGACGGATGCTCGTCGCTAAACACCCCTGGTCTTACTAAAACCGAGCGAGGTGAGCCAGAAGGGGGCTTAGGCGAAAAAGAATGGATGATGTGCGTGGTAGCAGTAGCGAATGACGAGCGTGGTGTAATCAGTCCCTGTGGAAGATGCAGACAATTCATGTTTGACTATTATCCCGAGATCAGAGTCATTGTTAAGACTGGTGAGGGAGATGAGCTTGGCACTGTTGGGATTGATGAACTGTTGCCATATCCTTATGTTAGTGGAATGAGGAAGAAAATGGCGTCGGTCATTGGATGATGGATTTAGAGGCATGGAGAAGAGAGATGTTTGACTGAGTAATTTCAATGCAGAAATGCATTTCTTTTTCTGATATAGCTAATTTTGGTCTTGATTGGATTCGGATTCTTGTGATTCCTCATACTCATCTTCGTCATCTTCATCGTCTTCTTCGCGAATGAATGGTACAAGCCTGAAATCAACAAAGCTGATGCTGCCTCCTTCGACCTCGACCATAAACTGCATGCTCAAAACACCTTGCTCGTCACCTCTGAAGCTAACTTTACTGGCTAGTCTCATGGCATCAGCTGCTGCCTTGACCATATCGAACTTGTAGCTTTGAGTCCATTTTTCTGCAACTGTGAATGTTTCAAGAAGTTCACGGCCTTTGGAAAATTCAACAGTGGCGCTTCCTAGATGGCCGGAAGCTGAAAGACTCAAATACGGTGCTGAAGGAAAAGCGGTTATGTCGAGGCGAGAAGGCGAAGTAGACGAGAGCTCTGCGACGGCATCAAAGAGCCAGCGGGCCTGCATAATTATTTTCACTTGTATGGCACTTCGATCCAAAGGTATCTCCTCAGGACTTTCTGGTTCATACGTGTTTAGATTGCAAGTTGTTGTGACTCCAGATTCCTCGAGTATTATGCTGAAAGGCTCTCCAACTCCATAGTAGGACAATCGACAGATACCAGCGGCTCCGAGAGCCTGATTACTGAATGCGTTTGGCCTATCCCGACGAATGTTGCTACCATAGCCGTCGTTGTCTGACTTTGAAAATCTACTTCCTGCAGCGTCTGCAGCACCAAAGATCTGCAGCGTTTCGAGGAGAGCTGCAAGAGATATTGTGAAAATCGGTAGGTCTGGGGCCACAGGGTCCTGATCTTGATCGTCTTCGGGAGGTTCTGCTTCAGGTAGAGTACAGTTGAAAGTGGTGAAGAGAGCTTTATCCAGGAAGACAATTCCTACAAGAGTTAGTCTAATAGTAGAGCATTGACGTAGGGAAACCAACCCTGCATAACCCGGGATTCTTCTACCGAGAAGCGTAGACCCTCGTTGCTAATCTGGACTTGTGCTTTCGGTGAAAAACGTATGCAGTTCAGTAATTGGAATAGCTGCCGTGCAGAACTAGACACGGCCTTGAAAATAGGAGCCCCATTTCCGGGTTCAGCCAGCGCAGACATTACAACGGTGCTTGGCAGACCTAGAGGGGAAATGATGTATATAAAGAGGTCACGGAAACCAGTTTTGAGATTATTGTTTGCTTGTATTCCTTTCGTGGTGTGTCCCAACTATTGTACAGATGTATGCCTAGAAAGAATCGTTCTCAGAATGGGTATCGAATGGCGAACTAAACATAAACACCGACTGCGCAGATCATGTACACTGCTCCAAATCTATTCATATTACTTAGTTGATGTGCGTGTTGGCTTACTGGAGGTAGACTTACGCAATGGACAATGACGCTGGAACTCCAATGACTGGTATGTTCACAATAGAACGATCTAATGCAGTCAGTAAGTAGAACAAACGCGCAGTTGTCTGAGAACATACTCAGACCGAAGAGGCCCGTCAAGAGAAGTCCAATTGTCAGAAGTGAGAAGCCGACGAAGAACTGGCTATCCTTGCCAATGGTTGGCACAAACGGACTGCCCGAGGCGCTCTCCCAGACCTGATGCAGTGACGAATCCATAAGCGTGAGGTGTGAGATTTTTGATACCAATTGAAATGATCTCGAGGAAGGAATGAGTGCCGGAAGTGGATTGTCTCGTGGTTCTTTTGCTCTTGCGAAGGTACGCGACGTGGCCTCGCCCACTTCACTTCAGCACAATTGTCCCGCAAGCGGAGACCCGCATTCGATCCCTCCGGTTTAAGTGGGACAAAGCCTACAACCTGGAGAACGACGACCAACGTCAGGGAAGTAGAAGATACTCAGTTATCTCAATTCCTCATACCCAACACTTGTGGACTTCTGCGACGGAATCGGCAAGAATTGCGCAATTCTTCATAACATCATCTTATCGACAACGCGCGGAAGCCCAGTCGGTTTGAGTGCTGCCCGCAGCTTACAATCAAGTACATCAACCTCAACAAGCTGCTTTACAGAAGCTGACAGGAGTCGCCATTCCAGTTCGAATCGGATTGTCGATGATAGGGTTGTCCGAGGTCCAAGTGGCATTGTCTTTGTCTTCGTTTCTTTGCGACCGTATATTCGTAGACATCGCTTGCGCGCGCAACACCAACACACGTTAGCTCTCAGGCACATCTATATATTCGTTTGCGGATTCAACAGGCTTCGTAGACCCAGCTACGTAGGATTACAGGTGGAAGCCGCAAGGCAGCATTATTGTAGCTACAGTCGACGCGCTTGGACGGGCGTAGCTCGAAATCATCTTTGGACTACCACCCGGCCGTTGAGCGAAAATCGATCGGGGAGGCGTTGCTTACAATTCTGCTAAAATGGCTCCCTCCAAGGATAATGGTTAACTTGCCTGTCCTAGTTTTTATTGTCATATGCTGATTCGATTTCCAGGCGTTAAACGCAAAGCAGACGACCACTCAAGTCCGATGGATAAGAAAAGATTAAAGAGCTCCCATAGTTCGTCTCCAGACCCAGGCAAGCAACTAAAAGCAACGAAGACCAAGATCAATCCAATTCCATTTCCCGAGAAGGTAAGGCATTGAGTTTCCATCATTGCGAACCGCGCTAAGCCTCCACAGCCTGCAGTGATCGAAGAAAGAGAAGGCGAGATCGAGTTTAGAGTCGTCAACAATGATAATGAGCGCGAAAGCCTGATTATATTGACTGGTCTCAAATGTATTTTTCAGAAACAGCTTCCGAAAATGCCAAAGGATTACATCGCGAGACTGGTCTATGATCGTACTCATCTGTCGATAGCCATCGTCAAGAAGCCGTTAGAAGTAGTAGGTGGAATCACCTATCGTCCGTTCAAAGGGAGACAATTCGCTGAGATCGTATTTTGTGCCATATCCTCGGACCAGCAAGTCAAAGGTTATGGGGCACATCTCATGTCCCACTTAAAAGACTACGTTAAAGCCACATCGGATGTTATGCATTTCCTTACTTATGCAGACAATTATGCTATCGGTTACTTTAAGAAGCAGGGGTTTACAAAGGAGATCACATTGGAGAAATCAAAGTGGATGGGATACATAAAAGATTATGAAGGTGGCACAATCATGCAGTGTACTATGCTACCGAAAGTCCGATACCTTGAAATGGGCCGCATGCTCCTCAAGCAAAAGGAAGCAGTGAATGCTAAAATCAGAGCCTTCAGCAAGAGTCATATTGTACATCAACCTCCTAAAGCCTGGGCAAAGGGCCCTCAGAAAATCGACCCCATGACGGTTGAGGCAATTCGTGCTTCTGGATGGTCCCCAGATATGGACGAGCTAGCTCGACAACCACGACACGGACCGAATTATAATGCGCTTCTTCATCTGCTCAACGACATGCAAAATCATCAATCTTCCTGGCCATTTCTTCAACCAGTCAGTCGGGATGACGTTGCTGACTATTACGAGGTGATCAAAGAGCCTATGGATCTCGCAACTATGGAAATAAAGCTTGAAGCAGACAATTATGCGACGCCAGAAGACTTTACACGGGATGCGAAACTGATATTCGACAATTGCCGAAAGTATAACAACGAGACCACACCATATGCGAAGAGTGCAAATAAGTTGGAAAAATACATGTGGGCGCAGATAAAAGCCATTCCAGAGTGGTCTCACTTGGAACCATGATCATAGCTTATCTGGTATCTTTGTTGGAGTTGTGTTTGAAAATTGGCGTTTGGTAAGGGTACATATACCAGCCTGGCACGGCAATGGCTTATAGCAAGCGGCGCTTGACGGGACAACATATTCTGAGGATTGGAAGTACAATGCGAAAACACAATGTCATGTTATTACTTGAACAACGTTTTGACATCGTCTCTATGTGCTCGAGGGAGACAATATCAACATCGGTCGCGGCGCCGTAAGATGACGAACATGAGCAGGTGTTTCAATACCTCCTCATGAGGAGGTAAAGAAGGTCCTCTCATAATGGAAGGCTTGAGCAGTACCTAAGCACGATACAAATCAGGTGGTGGAGCGCTTGTAAGATGGTGCCGCATGAATGCGAGGATCCGAGCCTTGGCTCGGATTCTTACTTTTGAACCCCGCACCCTGGTTGATGATGCCAAGAGAGACTTTTTACACATGAACCATTCAAATGTCAATTATTATACACTTTCTCTCGCACTCAGCCAGCATTACGCATTCAGCCAAGATATTCTTATGGCCTAAACCCTTGTTATGGCTAGAGAAAGGTGCAGTTGGAAAGCTTCCATGTATGCGAACCATGCGACGTTAATCTATGCTAATCACCCTATGGAAGTCGGGCTTTCAAGCTTAACTTTGGAATGATATTTAAGAAGACATTATTCCCCCGTGGTGAACGGTATCATTTCATTTCTGAACCAGCTTTGCACTTGTTACATGCTGATTTCTTCATTCTGGAGCTCAATACTTAAATTTCATCATTCTTACCCACCAACAACAATCGAAACCGTCAAAATGAATTCTATGCCTTCCAAAAATGATCACGGAATTTTGCACATCGTACATGGTATCCAGTTCTGTAATATTCTAGGGGTTCTTGGTATCTCAGCATATCGAATGACGAACAAAACTCTCATTACAACAAGAAGCGACACCATGGCGATGGGCGTTGTGAGTCCTCCTATTGATCTTTTCAATTGCCTTGATAGCGCGACTAATAAGTATCACTTGCCAGGCTGCCAAAGCTCTCGTCATCATGGCCTATATGATTTGGACACAGAGATGCCAGAATCTTAAGAAATGGTCCAGCATCAAAGCTAGTTTCATATTGGCTTGTACAGAGATCATTTTCTGGGCCGCAGCAATTGTACTTCCCATAACGACCGTCGGACGTTGCCATCCAGGTATCGGGTGTATCTTGTCTTATATTATTATATCTTTAGCGGCAGTCAATTGGTAGGTCGATTCTCCGAGTTCAAACTTTCTTAAAGAACGAGCTGACTCTGGACAGTGTTCTAGCGCTTCCAATCGCCTTCATTACATGGCGTTATTATCGCTATTACAAACAATATGGTGTTATGCCAGGCAGTCGAGGACAGATGGAACAAGTCAATGAAGTTCGACTAGAAGAAGGGAGCGATAGTCCTCATAAACCGGTCTTTTTCCCACGCCCAAAGATTCCGAGCCAGCTAAGAGACGCGTATCCATAAAAAGCTGACAACAGCCAGCCTACGATGCATTTTCAAGCCATCTCCAGCAAGAGATTCAACCCTTTCACAGTGGCGACGACCAAAGTTCCTCAACGCAACTTTGGAACATAGACGCGGAGAAACCCACTTGAAGTCGAACGATCATACAGCTCCCCGAGTCCGGCGCAGCTGTCGGTCTTTGTTATCATTATCCGAGCCGTGAGAATACATCTCGAAGATTCAGAATTCCTGTCTGGCATATTTCTGAAGCTCCTAGTGTGTTTCAAATAAGATGATATCAAATCCAAGGCGTTGAAAGCACGAAAGCTCAATGTTTGCGTAGATGAATGTTTAGACTCTCTTTAATCGGATTTGTTAAACCTTTCGTATCTAGACCAGTCCTCTTTTGAGTGATTTTGTTATAAGTCACAGCCTTTATACCTCGAAGACATCATCTCAATGCGTTACGCCTTTTATTATTAAGGATCTGTAACCAGGATCTAATAAAAAAGCACTGCGCCCAATTTGTAAATACGAAATTGCTTTGTAGTCAAGAGAGGTGTTCCCCTGAGCATGATGTTGAATCCTAGCCTTTGCCTTACGATAGTACGAAGCCAACATATAGCATGAACTTGAAACTTTCAGCAGCACATGCTCCTCTGGCCATGATCACCAGTAGGACATGTCAAAAGCACTGTCAAAATAACTAATTCTCCGAAAGACAACATCATTGCCATCTTCGAAAATAGGAATAAGCGAGCTTTTTCAAGTAGCTGATGAAACAGTATCATTTTATCCGCGATTAAAAAAGATGTCCCTGAGAAACGTCATCATGATTTGTGCACTTGATGAGGAAATTTTGCAGGTTGCAATATATGCAATTCTCTGCTTGTTTCAACTAGTATTGATTACTCGCTACCTACTAATTCTCGGCATTGTAGTAGTACGGGCGATATCGGTATTGTTCAAAATTCGAGCACCCCCACACCAGCACTGTAGACCCCTAACTCTTGCAAGAGTATCCAAATCACATCTACATTAAACTGCCGTACATCATGCCTAACATTAAATCAATTGAGTATTTTCGTGTTCCTCCACGCTGGTTGTTTGTCAAGATCACGGATGATGCGGGGAATGTAGGGTGGGGTGAAGCTTCTTTAGAAGGTCACACACAAGCAGTTGAGGGCTGTTTGAATTCCTATATTGATCGCTATGTTGGAATGAATGCTGAGTAGGCATATCAGACTGCAGTCGAATTAGAAAGCAGACTGACTAGCAATAGTGACATCGAACATATTTGGCAGACCACTTGGCGACTCGGTTTTTATCGTGGTGGGCCTGTTTTCATGAGTGCTTTGGCTGGCTTAGATATTGCCCTTTGGGATTTGAAAGGTAAGCTATGTTTGCAATGCCATAACTGAGTCTAATACAATCACAGCTAGAAGGTTAGGCGTGCCTATTTATGAACTATTAGGTGGTAAGGTACGCGACAAGCTTAAGGTATATGCCTGGATAGGCGGAGACAGACCTGCAGATGTACTAGAACAGGCGTACGCAATACCGCAGTAATTATTAGCTAAATGCATGGATACTAATAGTCGCATAGTAAGAGTCGGAAGGTGCAAGGCTTCACGGCTGTCAAGATGAATGGCACCGAAGATCTCGGGTGGTTGGACTCGCCATCCGCACTTGATGAATGCGTCGAGCGACTTAAAGCAGTAAAGTCCCTAGGAATGGACGCTGGTATTGACTTCCACGGTCGAGTCCATAAGCCAATGGCAAAGCAACTGGCAAGAGTACTTGAACCCTATCGCCCAATGTTCATCGAAGAGCCTCTGCTTTCAGAGCACCCAGAAGGTATAAAAGAGATCTCTCGATTGACGAGCACCCCCATCGCTCTTGGTGAAAGGCTTCACAGTCGGTGGGATGTTCGACCATTCCTGGAAACTGGGGCAGTAGATATTCTTCAACCAGATATCTGTCATATCGGAGGAATTTCAGAAATGAAACGGATTGCTGCAATGGCCGAAGCCTATGATGTAGCCATAGCGCCTCATTGTCCCTTGGGTCCGATTGCTCTGGCAGCAAATGTGCAGGTGATGGCTGCCACTGCCAATTTCGCTATTCAAGAGATGAGTTTGGGCATCCATTACAACGTAGGAGGACAGGATTTGACAAGTTACACCCACAACCCAGAGATATGGGAGGTCGATAATGGGTATATCAAGTTGATGGCGGGCCCGGGACTGGGCATTGAAATTGATGAAGAGCAAGTCAGAGCCTTATCTCAGGGTGCTAAGCCTTGGGTGAGTCCTGGATTTATTGGTCCTGGCGGAGAAGTAAGGGAATGGTAAACATAATATTGGTACCTCCATAGCGTACAAGACTTGGCAAGTCCACGCTTACCATAATGCATCAGAGTCGTTCGTGAAGCAGTAAACATTGAATCTAGATAGATATGAAAAACTTCCACGTATTCTCCATGAACCAAGCTGAAATTTTGCTTCGTGGAGGACGATACAAAAGCTGTGTTGTTTGTCATGCTTCCAGGTGCTAATCGGTCAGTTCCAGGGGTAAGTTATGGGAAAGTCTGCCTCAATTCCAATCATTCAAGTCGATGACAGAAAATGGAGCTTGGCATCTGCAATTACCTGCTGTCATACCACGAAATATAGGGTCTGGTCATAACAAGATGCGCAAGTCCTTCATTGGAAACGCGTGGTCCAATCATCACCTATCCAGCCGTTTCAACAGGCCTCCGACGAGTAGGGTGTGGGGTACTTCTGATATCAAAATTTGCTGGCAAGGGAGTACAAGGCTGCAGCAAAAAGCTTCGCGAAGTTAACATAAACAAGCACTGGTTAAGACTGTGATCGATTGCTGAAGATTGGAGGTCTCTGGCGGGGCCGAGATGCGGTTGTTCGAGGCGCTTTGCCTGGCCGCATGGTCTTTCGAGCACTGGGAACGACAGATCAATATGGAGGGGTTGGGAGAAAGAGCATCTCGAGGTGGGGTAGAGTGGCCGTTTATGTACCTTCTTGTTGATAGGCTGGGGATGGTATCTAGCAGTAAATGGTAGTATTGGTTCTCTGGTCGTTCGGATGTGAGTGAGTGATCGTGGTCGTGGTCGAAGGTCTCAGACCGTATGGTGGGGTCAGCAACCATTGGAGAGAATACGTGGAGAGGTCGTCGCTTTAGCCTTGTAGAAGAGGGCAAAGTGGTCAATAAAGGTCTCGAAGCACGAGGTATTACTCCGCGCTGGTCTGTCGGCGGGAGGAGGAAACTTCCTGGTCTTGGGTCGATGGCCGAGTCGACACACTCTTGGACGAGTTGCATATTCGCAACGACAGGTGGATTGGATGTCGATGTTTGGCGATCTGATTAGACGGCATTGCTCGAGGACCTCGGGAGACCACGATGACTCGGGTGGGTATGTTGACGGTATCGCTCGCGCCATGTTATGAGTTCCGGTTGATTTGTCACTGTTCTTCAAATGCTTTAGGGTACCTAGGTAGGTAGGTATGTTCGTGAACACGATGGCTGTGTTGCTGAAAGGATCAACTGAGTGGCTGACGATCTCCTGCTTGGTGACCTGGGATAATGCGCGTGAGGTGTCACGCATTGAGGTGACATTACCGGTATCCGTTGGAACGAGCGGTGGAGATGAAAGGGCCGGCGTTTCTGCAGAAGTGTCGATGTCGATGAAGCGAAGTCGTAAAGTTGAAAGACGAAGAGGGTGGGTCACGGTAGACAAATAACTGATAATCGAAACTTGATGTTGACTAGTAAATTTGTCTAATGATTCGACTGACCAGCTACTAGGTAGGTAGTCTGGACTAGCAGTGCACAATATCGTGACTATCTGGCAATCTAACATTAAAATAGACATATATATGTATATATAGGTATAGAGATGGGACAACCAAGCAAGAGGCTCATAATCCCACATCGAGGCGTGCCTGAATATCACCCATATTTGGTCTGTTACGACTTGGAGCTACGCAGCAGTAGAAAGCTTAAGACGCTAACCACTATAAACATAATCATCTTGATAAATGTATATCTTAGGTACGGTATCGGCGCCAGCGAAACAGTTGGTATTAGTTGTTCTGTGAATATTGTTTGCATTGTACGGACCACCGACACCGTTGCACGAAGGTACGCAAACCCCCTGCACCAGCCCATGCCCAGTCTGGCGCCGGTCGGGATTCTGACGAAGATTTTGGTGCGACAGAAGTACGTGAGAACTGACTACTGCGTCGCAAGGGGTACTCCGTACTTGTAGTAATACGACTCCAGTAATACTACCTAGGTACCTACCTACGGACCTGCACTTGTATACTTCGTCAAGGCCAGTTTTGCGTCCCGTTCTGACCCTCCCTTTGCCTCCCCTCCGTCTCCCTCCTGGTCCTTTCGCCCTCACGACCTCTCCGCCGCTCCACCCCTCCAAGACCACCAGAATACAAAAGGCGGAAGCATCTCCTGTCTGCCTGCTGCGTCGTCCAGACGTCTCCTCGATTCTCCGCCCTTAATTCCTCGCGGCCCATACGGAAGCAGGAGCAACACTTCGGATTCCTCTGCCGTGACAGCCCTCAGTACCACCAGTACCACCGCGACTGACGAACAGATCCGACAGACGACTCGGCATCACCCGTTAATATTGGACATCTTCGGCGTGTGCTTTGTGGTGATTCACATTGGAAGGTTCTGAATATACTCGTCTCTGGGATTCAGACAATAGTGTTCCCGCGGTTTGCAACGACAACAACAACAACGCCTCAATTCCACGCTTCCTCGACACAATAACACCTGGCTTCGACGGCGGCCCACTGCATTATTCCCTCAGCAAGCACAGAAAACATCAACAACTCGATATCGACCCAGAACTGAAGAACACGTCGCAAGATCACAGCATCATCCCGTGGGAGCCACACCACTCGGACGCAGCACAACTCGGATTCTGCAGCTTCCTCTGACCTAGTCTAGGAGACCGCACGAAGATTCAGGAGCTTCGGTTCTGCTTGTGTGTGTCTACAAGCACCAACATTCCTTCTGCTGGTAGAGACGACTACAACTACACATTCAGACACATTCACTGCTGTCATAATGAAGGGTCAGCCAATCGATCAGATAGTCTATGACTGCATGTTTCCGAAACCCAAGACAACGGATCCGCAGAACTTCCAAGGGCTTCTCCAGAGGCAGCTTGTACCAGAAGTGCGCCTGGAGACACAAGCCTTTTACGGCCATCTCTCCTCCCAAGAAGCCAAATATCCTGGACTCGACTACGCCTACGGTCCACATCGTATCCGCCTTTCTCGATACCAATGGCACCGCAGATTGTTTCGCGCATTTGATATACTTGGGCTTACAGATTCCGAGATCGCGAATCTGACAAAGTGGGAGGGAACTCGCTGGGCAAAAGAGCGATTCGAGCGTGAACAAGGTATCGTGATACGAGATACAACGGGAGATGGCATCGAGGACTGGGTGGAACCTCAATATCGTCTGCCAAGCGTACCTCAAGCACATTGCGCAGACGTGGAGGATATGGATGCCCTACAAGAAGACGGTGGAAGCGAGAACGAGATGGAGGAGGACGACCCTGAGGACTCTGAGGCCGAATTAGAGAGTGTTGGCGTTGAACTAAACAGAAGACTGAGGGACGCAGTCGCGCAGAGGGAAGCTGGCAACACAGGCACGGTAATGGATGCCGAGTGGGAGCAATGGCTGAAAGAAGCTGCAGAGGCTGGAGGTCTTCCATTTTCAGATGTCAATCTTTCACCAAATGCAAATGTTCCTGGGACGAGACCTGCTTCAGCGGAGCGCTTGTCTCATGATCCGCGGCTGTTGAATGCAGCAAGACTCGGTCAATGGCAACAGATTCCAGATTTCCTTCACAACGTTGTTCGACAGAATATTGAAGCCCACAATCGTCGTCTCGAGGATGCTGCAATTACTCTCACTACAACATCTGGTAAGTTATAAACATTGCCCTGATATCAATCTTCAGCTCTTGCGACCCTAGAGTTTATGTTGATCTAGTAGCTTCTGATGTTTACTTTTCAATTTAAAAATTATGCTAACAATGTGACTTTCAGGTCCTAGCTCCTCCAATTCCACAAACACGGAAGCATCCAGACCATCTTCAAATAACATCTCGCGCTCGAGAGTCGTCGATAGACCATCTGTTGGAAGACTTAGCATGCACTTTTCTCGACGGCCAATTTCAAATTTAAATCCCTCAGGGCTTGGTTCCGCCTCGAGGAGACCTAGCGTCCGAATGGAGACATCCAGAAATGGCCCTCAAAGTGGAACAAACTAGCTTCAGGAGGAGCGACAGCGCGATATACGTCGACAAATTTGGCTGGACCACATACATCTTTTACATCATTTTTCACGGTCAGGAGTTTCCCTTAGCATGGCGTTATACATGGGCTTGCGTTTGATGATTGGTCGCGCGATAGGCTGGTGATTTTTTATTGAAGCTTTCGGGGATTTCGCCAAATAAAAGCGTTTCGTATCATTTCTTCGCCCAGGAACAACATTTCGGAATGTTGATAGAGAGGCTACAATTGCGCTGGTTGGATGCGTGGTACATATGGAGATTGTCTGGTCAGAGAGAAAAGACTTCCCTTATTCTGTTTAATTCCCCCCAATTGTCCAGGCATGGCAATTATGGCGATTTAGTTTCTAGGTTGCATGGAACTAATATGGAGTATGAAGAACTGAGAAATGGCATATCTAGCGAGGTTTTGGGCTTTATATAGCATGGAAGGGAGCTGACGAAGTAGGCGATGCATAGACATCCATATCATAATCAGTATAGCTGGGTCTTTTGGCTGAGTATGTATGTTTGTAGGCACGCAGATTTTGAGAAATTGGAACTCAATACGTTACATCATATGCACTGTCTGGATTTCATGTGAATTCTGTCAGCATGTTGTGAACCAAATACATTTTCGTGCTGACAAACTAGGATGAAGAAGACACTTCGTCGCATGTGGGCGGCCACTGATAGTTCTATGGCTTGTGCTCAACATTTATGCATCCTTTCCATTGGCGCATATATCCAAAAATGCCTACAATTTACCAACATGATATACAATTGCAAGATTCTTGGCGGCGAAAGCTATATCTTGAGCCAAAGAAGCACGAGAATGAGGTACAAATTATCTACAGCTGCCTTTACTGTACAAATATTCCAATCTGGTACTCTGGCGATGCTGATGCTGTGTCAAGAATAATAGTCTTCCGTATTGGCCACGCTTTATGATTCAGCAACATTGGTGTCAGTGTTCCTTGCGTCTAGTCATTGAACACTACATTGTCTCCTGGCTTCTTGTTCACACTCAGAGAACTGGCTTTGGTCAGATGTATTTCCTTGATAGCAGGTATAACTTACAAGATATCCGGTCTTGAATAAGTGCCAACTGGGTCAAAGTCCATCTGTTTTCAGGTTAGATGATCAGACCTATGAAAAATAACACACAGAAGACTCACTCTCGCTTCGATAAGTTCCGAGTGTTGTAAAGTCGCATAAAGAATCACCTCCTTATCCCGAACTGGCTCAGCAAGAAAAGTTCCAAGAGGCCCAAGGATACAGGAACCCCCGCTATTAACAGCATCATCTTTCTGCCAAACTGAACCCTCATTCTCTGGGTTTCGATCGCTCGAACCCTCTATGAAAGGAGGATAGTCCGCGGGAAAGTCCGACACTTTACAGAATTGGTTCACGCTGATGACGAAACAACGTCCCTCTTTGGCAATGTGCTGGACTGTGGCTGTCCAGGTTGGCCCATCGTCAGCGTTTGGGATAATGTAGATTCTGCATACGTGTAAGTTGAAGTCACCTAGGGCTGGGGCATTACTTACTCGATACCGAGTTGATATAATGCTAATCTAGCTGCGGGCATGTAATTCTCCCAGCTTGAATGAGTTTAGTAGGTCTGTTAACGATACAATCTAGTGTTGATTTCACATACCAGATGAGACCACCAGTCCTCCACCCAAAGCCAGGGTCGACGACTTTCAAAGAGTCGCCTGCTCCTCTTCCCCAAACTACTCTTTCAGCACCAGTAGGTACAAGCTATCACAATTAGTAAATACGAGGAATTGCAATAATGAGTAACACACTTTACGATGCTTATGCAACAACTCTCCATCCTTCCCAATCAACACAGTTGTACAAAACAAAGTCCCACCTCCATTCTCAGCCTGTTCAACAATACCAACACTCAACACGACACCATTCTCCCTCGCACAGTCTCGAAGAACATCAAACTCAGAAGAAGGTATCCTGATAGAGCTCTCATAATATTTCGCGAACCATTTAGGCCCTAGAAACTGTCAATCATTTTTTAAAAATTACGCGAGAAAACAGGGGGAGCCATGTTGAATGTACCTCGAGGTTCGCGTGATCCGACAGTAGCATCAAATGCATATCTCCAGGGGTACGCAGAGAGAAATGCTTCGGGGAAGACTACTAGTTCTGCTCCATTTGATGCAGCTTCTGCGGTGAGAAGGGTGACTTTTTTAAGACTAGCGGCGAGATCGAATGCTACGGGTGCTGCCTGTATAGCAGCTACTTTGATTGATGGTTGAGGTTTGGTGAACATGGTTGATGACATGGGAGATATGTCTTTTGGATGTTGCAATTGATTGTATTAAGAAAAACTTATCATGGGCCCGGCTTTTATAATTGTATTTGGAACCTTGGTAATAGCCGAAGGGAATTACGAATTTCTCGCATTCCTCTTCATACAGTTCTCTTACCATTTCTCATATGCAGGTTGGTGGCACGTGTATGATTGGAAATCATATCGTTTATTCAACAAATAGCACAGAAGCCGAGTTTCTTATTCAGGAAAATGCTTAAATTCAGGCCAATCAAGGCTCTTGGGTTGATGTGAATTTTTTGCATCCTTCGTGCGTTTTATTAGAATGCTTACACATATGATTGTTGAGTTAAGGTCTTTGCGATCGACCTCTTCAACCTAGTCAATACTCTCTTGCCAGATGTTTCTTAGCAATCTTACCTAGATAACTTTTTATCTAGAAGTATTTGTGCCAAATTTGCAACACTTTACCATTGATATATACACGTGAACTACCGAGTTCCTAAGCTATAAAACCCTACTATAGAAGATAGTATGCACAAATCTTGCTCTAGTGAAGATTTCAATACATCTACTCAAACGAGTCGTTAATATCTAGTGTCTTGAGAGACTGAACAGCCAGCTCGATTTGATCTACATTGAGATGTGTTAGCAGAATCCCTAACATTGTAGATCTACCTACCTCTCATTCCCCCAAGAGCTTCGTAAGCAATACTGTAATTTCTCAGTGCGTTTAACACGAGTTCTAGCCCCTCTTGCAGTTGGCCCAGAAGTCTTTCCACATGCTGTTCTCCGCCGACCCCATCCAAACCAGCGAAGCCCATGGCGCGAGTCTTGTATGACAACATGATCATTGCATAGCTACTTTGCATTGCGCAGCACGCAAACACAGGAATCATTCTCGGTGTTTTCTCGTTTTCCGTGAAAGGCATAAGGAATGCCAATGGATCGTTGGGACGGATGGGCTCCGGATAAGGAAGCGAAGCGAACGACCGCGCGATTGCAAAGGCGGATTTGAGGCACACCTTTGCAGAAAAGTGTGAAGAAAAAGGCAAGATACCACACGGCACCGCTGGAGAGGCGACTGAACTGGAGATAGAGGAGGGGGATCCAAGTTGGTGAAATGTACTAGAACAAGGGCATGATTCAATCTGCTGGGTGGCAGTAATTGGGCTGGCAGGGCGTAGATCGCAATGCTTTTTGGTAAAAATGGGAATGTCAAGGAAAGCGCAATAACGATGAAGTTTGATACGAGCGCTAGTATCGGTCAGTTTTGGCCCACGTTCAATGTCATGTTATGAGGAAAGTCTTTCGCTACCTGTTTAATTTGATTTTTGCCATGCCCCGAAGAGCTTGTGAAACTTTGAGCTCGGCAAGATCTAGAGTGACTGCCGGTGAAGATTCTAGAACCCATGTATCGGCTTTGAGAACCAAGGGCTCGATCAAGCTTTCTAGCTCGAGCATACGTTGCCAGATTGAAGATGGTTCGGAACCATTTTTCATGGTTGAGTCGAGGTCTATGACAAACAGAGTTGCCGAGACAATAACTTGCTGTGCTTGCAAGAAAATTGCCCATGACTGTGCAATAGTTAATAATGTGTCTACAGCAACGAATAAAGAATCTATACCTCTCGATCTGCACGGAATGAAGGGCCCTGTGTTATAAACCGCGGGTCGTGAAGAAGCACTGGAGGAGGCTATAACAGTAGGTATTAGTGCCAAACCACAAATAAAGACGGTCACGCTTACTGAGTTGCTTAGTATTGATCCTTGACAGACAGCAATATACTAGACACGCCTCTCAGTCAACCTTGAATCTTGACCTAGTGACAAGAAAGGGGTTTACCGTCATCCACCACACTCTACTGTTAGCTTCTGCTATATTTCCTTGATGGGTCAATCGAGAATGTAAGTTGAGACCCATTGCAGCACTCAAAGCTTGGCCAGCTCGATTTCTCATTTTGGAAATGTTTCCACGCTGAGCATACTCGTAGGAACTCAAGAGTAGCAATGCAATTATACTTTCGTTCTCTAGTGGACACTGAGGATGAAATGGCTCTCGATTCGGCAAATTGGGGGTGCTACTCAAGGCTTCCGAGGGCTGTATCATTGAGTCTATCAGCTCCGATTCAATCTCAATGCTTTCAAACGCAGCTTGAGCAAATGCCTGGGCTTGATCTCGGCGTAAGTAGATGGAATCCTGCCCAGACGGATCTGGATCATCCGGATGAGGAATCAAGGCCAGTGTTGCCGATATTGCCAGACTTAAAGGTGTCGTGGGTTCAAAACACGGGTTACTTCGGCTGTGGAAGACTGCATCTGGACCATTTCGTGTTCCAAGATCTGGATCGTCGTAGACTTGTTGAGGTTCCGGCGGTAAAAGAACAGGAAAATACGGGTGTATGTATACATAGTAGGCACCGAGGCTAAACAAGTCCTGTTAACACACCCGCATAATGTTTTGAAAAAATACGTACATATCCTGGGTACTTGAGTATGTCCGAATGAATGTGTATGCTTGTTCATTCTCCAATGACCCCGTGTGCTCGCTAGTATTGTAGCCGCTATCTTCGGATTGTCCGTTGAAGATAGCGTCAAAAATGAAATCTGTATCGTCAAGGCAAAGGTCAAGTCTAGAAGGAGGATAAGATGTTAACACTTTAGCATTAGTAGACGAAGACGAAAAAGTATAACCATAGACGTCATGCACAAAAAGACATGAGGGTTACCGTGTATTTGACAAACACAGGGCTTTGATCCTAAAAAAGACTGCCAAATCTTCCAGGTGGGTAGTCATAGGTTGGAGTGCTCTGGTATCAATGTATTCAAAAGCTGGCATCTCGGCACTCTTAGCCATGCCAGGATACCAGTATTTGAATGTTTTAGTCTTTAGTCTGTGGACTTGGCCATTGAATACAAGTATCACTTAATTAGACTTGATTGTTCGGATTCTTGAGCAGAGCCGGGATCCTGCGGTACAATAGGGGTAGAATTTGATGTTTCTTTCAGGGAGTCACGTTGGAATCATAAAAGCTACGTACTGTTTAAGTCCGCCTCCCGGTAAGACCAAACTTAAAGGTTCAGCGAAATCAGCTAAAGTTTTGTCAGTACCAGCAGTTCCCTCTATACCAGAGCAGAGAATGGATTACCCTGATGCAACTCAGGCAATATGGATAGTGAAACTTGGTTGAAGTCGTTGTTGTCTAATACTGTGGCGGCCTTCAAGTCTCTGCTTGATGGTTCCCCCCGCTTTTTGCGTATCCTGGAGCCCCCTCGACGACTCTGGGTGTAGAGACAAGCTTTGCCTTTGGTGGAGCACTAGACATTGTAAGCATGTATTCAAATGTAAATTAAGGACGACCTAACGCTGGAACAAATGGGCTTCCCATCGCAGCGAATTCTGGACGATCTGCATTCCAGGCACGCTAATTTCACCGGGGGTGTCGCGAATTTCTTTCGAGCGACCTTTATGGGTTCCTCTCCCACGAGAGGTGACAGACGGTCCATCATAACCTTTTCAATTGGTGAGATTGATGGGTTCAGTGGGCGTGAAGCGGAGTTCAATATATCTGCAAGTCAGGTCGCTATGTTTTCACGAGTGCTCACCAGTGTCAGCCTGCAGAGATATCAAAGATTCGTGTTAAGATAAGGAGTACAGAATAAGGAGACGGACGTCTGCAGTACCCTGTCTAGGGTGCGATTTGTGTGTACTCGAGAAGCGGCGAGAGCGGGCAGTCGGATATGTCTCTCAATAAAAGATGTGATATGCCTGCTGAATAAGACAAAGGCTGCAGCAGCCACGGCTGTTCTGTTCGACGAGAATGCGAGCTGGAAAACTCGTGACGCTTACACAAGCTCGGGACGAACCTGGAACAATCCAAGTGGCAATCGCAGCCGGTTAGTTATTGAACCCAGTTGATGAAATATTGTGTATAATGCCGACAATTAGTAAGTAAATCAAACATTTTTAGATTATAACACCCAACTGCAACACAAGCAGCCTTGCAATAGCAGGTCTTTCCAAGGCTGCTTAGTGCGCAACATCCCGCGGTGTATTTCAAATGAACTTAAATGCATGCAACGCGTTGATTCAGCTACTACGCATGAATCACTTCGAGGTAGACGCTAGTATCTGTTGAACATGCATAGAATATAAAACTAATTACATCTTCCCGGGCTCAAATTCGCCAAAAGGGTATCATAACGGAAGCGCCCTCGACCAAAATACCCCCAGGGAGCCGAGCTCACAAATCATCTGAACATAACTTCATAAATTGACGCCAGCGTCTATACAAATAGCCTCATTCCATCCTCGTTAGGGCCGGTACTTTGGGGGTGGCGAGCTGGACTGGTCTTGAGGCAGGTCGAAACGAACCCTCGATTCGTTGGGTCTTACGTCTGATCTCGACCGTGTTCTTCCAGGTCCATCATTTAGGTTCTCTGGCCGTTGGGTCTGGTCCCAATGAGCGGGCCAACCTGTCGGTGGAAATCCTTGCTGTTGACTCTGCGATGATGCCGAAGATCCATCTTCAGTCCACCCGTATTTGATATCTTGAGGGTAGGGTTGCGGCGCGTGCGGCTGCTGTGTCGACTGCGTGGCCGGCGCTACGTGGGGGATATGTTGTGAATGAGGTGGTGGGATATAAGGCTGCTGTACCAGCGGACGAGAGGGGATATTTTGAGGTTTGTAATAAGACGGCGCAGGCGACATGGAAGCTGGTCTATCTTCCTTTCTCGATCTCCTCTCGTCGGAGTCTCTCCTCCTCGACTCTCGTGAGCCGTGACGATCTCTGCGGTCGCGAGACTGCGGGCGTTCGCTGTGTGAGCGATGGTGTCGATGCGGTCGCTCCCGCGGCGGGAAAATATGATATTGTTCTTCCTCAAGCCTTTGTCGCTCCTCCTCCAACCTCTGACGTTCCCTCTTGTTTTTGACGTGCTTGTTAATCAAGTAGGCGCCTGCCACAATCTCTAGCCCTCCAAGAATGACCATCTTGCTCGGAAAATGTGTTTGGGGTACGCAGCACTGGTCGAAGGTAGGTGTCAATAGTGACAAGAGTATATTCGTGCGTTGGGTGGCGTGGGTGGTTGTGCGTTAGGTGACGGAAGAAGGCTCGTCGAAGACAACGGGGGGCAACCAACATAAGTAAGATTCCCACGGTCGAGGCTGACGTGAATGAGAATAATCGAGGCGGTTAGAAGGCTTAGAAGGCACCAGAATAAGATCTTGGCGCCATGGTGAGAAGTGGTGTTTCTGTGGTTTCTCCATCTCATTCGGAAGGCTGTGCCAGAGCTGAACCTTACCTACCTTAGGTAGTGAACACTCATCCAACAGTTCGTCATTGATCATAGGGCCAGTGGGTGGGTGGATGACCCATCTCGGCATCGACAGCCGAGCGTTCAAGGTTGCCGAGCATCCATTCACGTGATGGATCATGAATCGTATGTAATATTAAGTCAGTTTACCTGGCTCGCGGTGGACAAAATAAGTGGCAGTCGAAGCACGATATTTCTTCGATTAAGTTGACGAAATATCGGCATTTAGTGGATTAACTTGGAACAATACAACTTATTTCGTTAATTATTTTAAGTGAATAAGACTTCTTAAGCTCTGTTCGAAGTCGACTTATTGAGTCCCAAAATTAGTTGTCAGGCTACTGACACTTATTTTGTCCTCCGCAAGCCTAGGTACCTGGGTACCTAATGGTATTGACTGATTGCTCTTATTTCAATTATCCAGTTTTTTTATTATTGTCATTGTGCTAGCCAGATTTAATCCAATGTGCACGTGGTGAAAAAGTGGGCCAGTAGCGCACGGCCCTGTGCAGCAGCCTTGTATCTCAAATGTGAAGACTGTCCACGTTGTTTTGAAGCCATTCATAACTGTCCGCTCGGAAATCATCATTAATCAAGACTGCACCAGTGGCATAAAAGTTCATCAGCTGCTTGGATTCTTTCCATTGAGGCCATTTCATGTAGCTGGACCCATCATTGGGGTCCATGGTATACACGAATGAGAAATAGTAATTGCGGATTGCTAAGAATCAGTTGAGTCAGGTTCCAAAATCAAACTCGACTTGGGACTGACCTTTCGACGCGTAATTAGGAACAATGCCGTTGAATACTTGCAGAATATCGCTACCATGGAATGTGCCCAGGATCGGTGTTCCATAGTCATACGAAGATAGATATGACCACGTTGGAACGGTGTTGCTGACCTCGTTCAAGAATACTCTTCTCGTAAGTGTGAACGTTAAATCGCCTAGGATGGCGGCAAGGCGTTTGAACTGGGGATACCAGTTGTTCAGAAACAATGTCCGGAATGGCGATCCATCAGTAGATATGTCTTGATACGTTGCAACTAGGCCTGTAAGCTGGGCGGTTGTCGCACTGCTGAAGAACACATCTGACAGGTATTCCACGATACCGGCTGTCGTTGTGATATTGGATTGAAAGAGTGCGAAGATTGTCTGTAGCCTTGCTTAGCTCGACACAATACCTAGCGACATGGAAAACTCACCCCCTCATCTTCTTGGTCACCAATAATCATTGGAACTTTAGTATACTTCCCGGCGCCAATAAGAACATCGGGTGACGCGGTGAGAACAGCTCCATCTGGACGCGGAAGATATGATAAAGCAACTGAGTTATATCCCAAAAGCCCAGGAACAGAATTGGCTGCGTTCAGAAACGTTGTGTAGTCGACAGTTCTTAGACCTGTTACGATCTATATTAGTGTCTGATATAAGGTTGCTATCATGGCGAGACTCACAGTCTAATGAAGAAGCTGCTGAAGCACAGCCAGCAGCTTTGACCACTGCGTCATAAACGACTTGGCCTTTAGGGCAATCAACAGGATCCGCCGGGACTATAGAACCCGAGTTCATTATTGAAGCACGAAAAAGCTGTTTGCCCTTGTACGTATTGTCACCATCGTAAAGCTATAGCATGGGGTCAGACAGTGGTCTTTTCCATAATACGTGGAAAGTACTCACGACCATATGATCAAGTATACTGATACTTCCGGCTGATTCTCCCCATAGGGTGACTTTGTCAGGATCTGAAAGTTGTTGATTAGCCATAGAATTTTGACAGTTTAGAAGAGTTAACTCACCGCCACCAAACTCCGCAATGTTATCGGCCGTCCAATGGAGCCCAAGCCTCTGATCGAGTAATCCGAGATTGGATGAGCCGTCCTTGAGGATTTCTGCCCCTGGCATGAAGCCAAACCCGCCTACCCGGTAGTTCACGGCGACAAACATGATCGGCTTGTTTGTGTCGATAGATTCCTGGACAAGGGAGGATCCATCATACATGGCAGTTGAGCCGAGCTCGAAACCCCCGCCATAGATCCAGAACAATACGGGAAGCTTGCTGCCTTTTCCAACTCCAGCGGGCCGGATAACATTGATCGTCAAGCAGTCTTCCTTGGCATTGGTTGCTGCTTGAAATACAGGAGTGTTCAAAACAGTTCCTAGAACGCCAGTTGGAAATTCGGCGTCGCTATCAAAAAAGAATTGGGGACAAGCAGCGGGGATTCCCACAGCTTTCACTGTTCCGAGAGAAGTTGTGAGTGGCTGTGGTGGCTTTAGTCGTAGATTGCCAACTGGAGGCTGGGCGAAAGGTATCCCGCTGAATGACTCTAGTTTACCTGTTGAGGAGCCGATAACCGTTGCTGCTGGGGAGGGTATAGCGACAGTAGGTGCTACTGCCCGGTCTTCTATGGGAGCAGGCGGCGCAGCCAAGGTAACAGCAACTAGGGTGAGAAGAACCAAGAATAGGTTAGCCATACTGGCTGTCTGGCTACAGTGTCCGAGACGATAACACAGCTATTCAGAGGAATTGATGAAATGTGCGATATTTCGTCGATTTAATCCACGAAGTAGGAGATGTGGTGTCGAGATATTGCAACGAACCCATCGTACTCATTGTGTCGGCGAATCCAAATATATATGTTCTTGGATGGGGTGCAGATCTTCAACCACTTCACCTAGTGGTGAGTGTGAGTTACCAGTTGCTGCAGCCGAAGGATTAGGTTCGACTTGCAGATCGTTTCGGCAACTTACAGATCTAGCAAAGGTACAGCAAGCTAGCATGGACTAGTTGATATATGGGGGAACCTAGTTGAGGAGTTTATTCATACTAGCAACCTGAAAGGACGTTATCTCAGATAGCGATTGGTCCTCTAGTCTCCCGAAAGTCACGCTTCAAGCCTCCAACACCATTGGTGACATTGCTAGAAATTCACTATTGAACGGTTTCCGTTAACTACCGGCTCGTGCTAGCTGTGTCGGTTCATAGGTGGTATGTGTCTAGAGCTAAGTTACAAACCGGGTTATCTTATGGACCAGAAGGCCATGAAGTAGAGAGTCCGCTAAGAAAATCCTCTGAACACTATATTTAATGGTAAGCCATCAACTACCATGCCACTTCGCCCTGAATTTAGTAAAAATATAAGAAAGACTACTTTTCTTTCGAATCTAGCAGTCCACGATGCAGTCAAGGGAAAAGTGACAATCCCATGACGACGGAGAAATTGGTAAGATGCGGGGAACCTAGTACTCTGGGGTAGCCGGGCATGGCGGCCCCGGTTTGGGGCACTCCTCCGCTTTCAGAGCCGGTTGTTTTTTTACAGTACAGTACTAACTCCGTCTAGTTTTGACTTAAAGTCTCGGGCGTCCTTTGCTTATTGCTATACTTCACATGCGTCTGATTGTATTTTTGAGCATGCCTCGGCTGCTGAGATTCTGAACACCCAAAGAATGGAACCAACAGCTTTTCGGTCAATAGTCCGTGAAAAGAAACGACAAATGCTGATGCTACCCTGTTGATTACCCCGCGAATTGCGCAAGGCAGTTCCTACGCTTGCGGAATCCATGTCTACAGAGAGATGGTGCAATTGGAGCATGAACAATGGATTGTGGCCGTAATATCGTCGACACTTGCGGTTACCTGCTCGCGTGCTCTTTCGCTGAAGACATCAAAGATATAGATTTCTCATATTTTATTATGTTTTAAGGAACATATCCTACAAACACACTTCTCGGCCGAAGCAGGGTAGTGAGCTTCTCACAGACCTGGCCATCTATCTGAAAGCGCTATGCTATAAGTACATTAATCAAAAACCCGCTCTTTTCGTATTTGTGTATTGCGAACCCCCTTCAGATTCATTTTACTTTCAAATCATCTTGCTTATACAAACTCAAAATCACAGATTATCCAACACCATTTTACTAAGTTCACGAACTTTATTAGCAAGAATCATATTATCCTTCATTTGTGCAATTGTTGCAATTCTCAGTTCACGAGCCTGGCCAATGCTAACCCCCAGCATTTCAATGATTGCCACGAGGTTGCTGCGTATATTCTCATCGGTAACCTCCTCGGCACGTTGGATAATGTTGACTAGGTGAAGCTGAGCTGTATGAAGCGTGCTATCAGTCAGGTCTCCCGAACGGTCTGCTATGGAGGCAGCAGATAAAATTGGGACATCATTCATGGAATGAGGATGATCGATAGAAGGTATAAGTCGTGACGAGTCAAAATTATTGGCTGAGGAAGATGAATTTTTAGGCCCATTTATTGTTTGATTCAGGGAGTCGTCCAGAGGGACCGAGTTATGATAAGGACGAACCACCTGCGAAGGCGTGCGACTCATACCAGAGTTTTCGTTTGTCGTCAAATTGCGGGAATTTGCACGTCGTGGAATAGGTGGCGGTCTCGTAGGCAGTTCGCGACCATTAATCTTCTCGCCTAATGTATTGTTTCTGGAGCGGTTGCGACTTGCGAGCATGTTGGAAAACTTGGACTTCAGACCCTTACCAGCTCGTTTGACCGACTCCAACGTCCCAGAATCTGCAAGAGATTTACGAGAGGTATCGGAGCTCACGATTGTATTAGCGTTATTAGTAATTGGCAATTGATTGGTAGATGACTCAGAGGAGTTACGACCGTTGAACCCTGGCTTCTCCGAAAGTCGATTGATTGAAGATTGACGAGATGGGGGTCTAATGCTCGACCTGTTGTTGAGAGTCTTGTTATTTTTCATGTTGGCTTTCGAGGCAGCTTCACGAGCAGAACTAGAAGCAGTTGGCCTTGCAAGCCGAGATACGAATGCCGGAGACGGGGTCCGCATTCTCTGATCGGAGTCTTGTAGGGATGATATACGTGGGGGGTGGATAGATTTGTGTTCGGGTTCTGAGCCTCTGTCTTTCTGACCAAGGGTTCTTCTTTCGCCGGCCTGCTTTTGTTTCGTGGTCCTTGTTGGGGAAGTTTCTAACATCTGTTTAGCCATTTTGATTCTACAAACTTCAGAAGGATCAATAGATAGTTACCTTCAGCTTTAGGCGTGTTGTAACCATCACGTTGTGAACCCAAGGGCTTGGAAGATTCAGGTTCCCTAATAAATCATGTTATTAGCATGCTTAAGTACCATGTTGTTTGATTATTCTCGCCCAAGTAGTCGGCTCCCAGAGGGTTTTGTGTAACTTGTAGGCAAAGATGCGGTGTTGCTCACCTCAACTCGCCCATAATAACCTGTCTAGCATCCAAAGAATATCGAACCGTAGGTCCACAATCAAACTTCTTGGACCGTTGAGCGTCGTCGTCTGCCTGAATAGGGCTTGTCGCAGTGCTATCATGGAAAATCTCGATTTCATCGTCACTATCAAGTCGTGACAGGTCCTCTCGGGGACCTAAAATATACTTAGTAAACGACAATTCTTCAGTCGGGGCCATGGGACGCTACCTTTTTCCATAACCCCAACGCTGTCTCGTCGGTGAAAATGTTGGGTGCCTTTTTGGCCGTACCCATTTTGACCGCGGACGCTACTCCGGCTACCTTTTGGCTTGGGCTTACGGCTACGAGAAAATGGGCTGCCGTTGACACTGACAGAGCTTTTTCTTCTATGGCGTGGGATTGAGTTCATTCCAGGTGATCTCGACAAAGTGGAAACGCTAGAAATAGTTCTGATATCTTGCTTGATAGTCACATCCGGAGATGAGATGTCAAGAACTTGAAGTGAAGTGCCGATATATTCTTGGATGATATCGTCTGTAGCTGAAGGTTGGTCATCGCCGTGAGGCTCTTGTAGCGTTGCAGTGTCGCTATCATAGATCAGATCTTCGCAAGTCACTGTCGTCGCGGCTTTCAGTGAAATATCGGACGCACGTGGGGTCAATGGAGGGAACGGAATCAAGTGGGCGTTGGCATCGGTAGCATCTACTCATTGGTTAGCATAGTATTTACACATGAGACAATCTTTTTTTACGAACCATATATTCCACGTTTTTCAGGACTCTCGGCCTCGCGAAGGATGGGTTTGGCTGGTAATTCCTTGTTGAGTTGGGATTGATTCATGTTCTGAGAATTGATTAGCTGTACGCAACTTGGACATTAAGAATGAGTTCGGTCGTTGCCGATGGGAAGAAGAAAGCTTACCGTGGAAGGTGTTGATGGAATGATGGCCGTGGCTGGAGTGATTGTTTCATGGGTAGTCGCGCTCTCGGATGTCATACTGACTGAGCGACTGCTCAAGGTATAGTCTGATTCTTCACCACTTGTAGGATATGTCCCTGGGATTTGACTCGTCGCGGTGTTGCATCGCTCGGTGCGTGCTTTTTTCGAGTTCGCTGTGGAAGGTGAAGACATCGTCGTGTTCTCCTTGTTGCTCTCGCGAAGCGCTTGAGCACGATTTGGGGTCGAATATATTTTAGATAGGCTTTTCCTGACGGGTTCGACGCGTAGATTCGGGTACTTCACCACGGTACAATTATTGACAGCAAGTTGAAGTAGAGGGACAGGTTTGGGTTTCTCGCGACGCGAAGATAGTCGGATGATTACCGTCGGGGGGAGGACTTTTGGCGTAAGTGGGAGATCGGCGAGTGCTGCGACGTGATGGTGTTGCCTGGGAGAATCTGACATTATTCTGTTATTCTAGGAAACATCGGTGTTGGAAGCAAAGGCTGTTGAACTTCTTTTATTTTTAAAGATCGTGAAGTCGAAGGGATTATCAACGCGGACTCGGTGTTCTTGGAGTTGAAGCTGAGGGGGCCGCGACGACCACGTAAATTGAAAGATCTTCTAGACTTGAGAGCTTCGCTAAAACGGGATGCATTCGCGCGGAAAGGTGGGTTGAGAGGAGTTGATAGTCATGACAATACTATTCTGCTTAGATCGTCAGCTTGCCTACGGTTACCAGACGTTGGTCATCCTTACATCGTCTTTATGATAAGGATATTTTCCCTGGATTCAACTGCTCAAAATTTTGATATCCCAATGACGGTCGACATGTATCCGATCGTTGCCCCGCCTACATGGACGGAACTGTTTTTGGTGAATGTGACAAGTGTGGAATTAACGGGGCTTTCACTTTATCAAAATAGCAGTAACCGAAAAGATCAAAGATAGCCCTTGTATCCTTCAAGTACCGGTTATCGTTCTTTTCACCGATCTTCAATGGGTTTGAAGTAGGCAGAGGTGTGCGGGGAAACTTAGCTTTCATTCTACTTTGTCATATAAGAATTGAAATCGACGATACTGCTTTTGCGTATGAAACAAGAACTAACTGGGGAGGTGGTACTTCTACATTCATAATAGGAAAGCAGTACTTGATACTCTGGATTTTTAAAATCGAAAGAAATGTGTTCCACTTACTTTTGTCGTTCCAAGTCTGTCGAATAGAGACCTCTCACTGGAGGCAGGGCCGTTTCGATTAGGTTTATATTATTATCATTGTCTGCGTGACGTCTTTGATACTGTCTAATCGTAAGACTTTTGCAACAAACTCAACATCACTTACTATCTTCTTCCTACGAGCCGTGGCTCGGGGTGGACATTTGGAAGCTGAAGTAGAAACTTGGTTTACGTTCGGTCAAGTCGACAAAATATCGCGCTTTTCGCTTACTACTTTTAGTAAATGAGACATTGTAAGATTCAGTTTGATAACTTTGATCAAGCAGTAGTACGTACCTATGCTACTCAATTACAAGCTGTCAGAACAACAATGAAGTTTTTACCACTCATACTGTCTATGGTGACAGTACTCCACGTTCCGGTTTGGATTCTACAATTTAGCACGGGTTTTCAGAATAAAGGCTAACCAAGGAGATTCAAACTTTCATCAACAGCTCAAGTGCTCAAATTGGTGTCATTTCTTCATTCGGGGGTGTTTTACATACTAAATAACACTACTATGATATGCCGCCGCCCAAAAGCATAATTTGCTGGGTATCTTTCTAAACGAATGCCTCTGCTCTACTAGTATACCACCTAAATCATTTCAAGCATAATATGTACTCCTTTTAGCCAAATAAAAACATTATACAGGATTAGATCGTCCTCGGAACCTAAGAGCAGATGCTACCAAACGATCGATCGGTTAAGGGCTGTGGGAAAACCCCGTTATCTAATAGAGCGAAAGCGTCCCATTCGTGTGCGGACTCGGTCTTGAAGTTCCAGAAGATCCAACCCTGGGTATTGGACTCAAATGCGGATAATTGTGCCTCAATGTATCCCTTGGTATCGGATTTGAATTCTTCTGTCCATTCTAGGATGTTGTTCTTTCCAGCACAACTTCCCACGAACGAGGAACCTGGGTACGTGTTGTCGTATCTCGCGCCGATGCCATAACCGTTAAGGGCAGGCGCACAATCTGTCATGGCTGCTGTCCACTCGCCTACGATGACCCACTTGTCACTTCCCTGTGAGTACGAGGCTACATTGTTGCAGACAAGTTGTCGGTGTTCCCACGGTTGGAGCTTTATGGTGTCAAAATTGAAGACTTGGTATTCATGATGATCAACGACGACTAGAGCATATCAGTATGTGGGGATATATTGAAAAACGGGGGATGCATACCATTGTGTGCACCGTTGTCGGATTGGGAGAGAAAACCGTTGAAGGAGCTTGGTGCGACGAATGTATCATGCAGCACCACCGCTGTTTTGTCGCTCACCTGTCGTACTTGTTCATAGCCTTTCTTGTAAAAATCCTTGATGCCATCGAAATTTAGTTTTGAACCCAGAGGCTCATTCAGCAACTGGATAGACGAAACGACATCTTGGTATTGCGCAGCAGCGTACTTGGTCGAGATTGTGTTAAGGACTGCGAGGGTTTGGGCAACGGAGTCGCCTTGCTGCCATTGTGGGTTGCTAGTTCTCTGGCCGCTATTGTCGAACCCATTCTGTGACAGAGGAGCACCATGGAGATCAATCATAACCTTCAAGCCCGTTTGCCTTGCCCAGTCAATCGCATTGTCTAAATAGGGAGCTGCTCCCTGCGTATACGATTCTCCGCTATCCAGGGAATATGCCCAGTATCCAATGGGTATTCTAACTGTGTTGAATCCTGCCTTCGCAATCTTCTGAAAATCCGCCAAAGTGGCCCAACTATCCCAATGGGACTTCAGGATTTGGTACGCCCTGTCCGAGCCAAGCTTCTCGGTCAGAGTCTTCTCGTCCACTATCCCAAGCGATTGATCTTGAGTTTGAAAAATGGAGGGTGCTATTAGAATGTTTAGTGCAAGACGGGATTATGTAAATGTAGAAGTTCTTACTGATCCACTAAGTCAATTTAGCATCGGCATAGTAATGAAGTGCGGTTAAAATGAGGTACTTACTGGCTCCAACAACAGCCATCCTCCAATGTTTACTCCTCTAACTTTATCCGATCCCCAAGTGAAGTCTGCGGAGCGAGTAGTCAATGGAGCAGCCGATACAGCACCAGCCGTGCATGCTGCGAGCAAGTTTCGAAATAACATAATGATTTGAGATGTTGAATCGAAAGGTAGATATGCAAGATTGGCAAATAACACGGTTGATCTCACATGAAGAATAGGGGAGGGAAGCTGTTGATTATATCGTCAACATCAGCGAGACCCACTCTGCAGCGAGTCCAGATTGCCATAAACAGGATACCATCATGGAGATCATTAAGGAGATCAACAGTCATGCGCCCAGGATAAAATCAAGCGGCGGCTTTGGAGGCTCAGTCGTTGGCGACATGAGACTCGAGTAGGGGGTCCATGCCTCCATGTTCGTTGTGTTGGACTGGATTGGTGATGGCAAGATATAAGCGGGTTTATGGGACGAACGCGTTGGAAGGACCGTGAAGGACCAAGCGGAAATGGACCAAAGCTGCCAGCCTCGAATGGCTCCACGCTTTCCATGCTTAAGAAAGAGGCCATGACAGCAGCGGTGAATGTTGGGGGCCATCATGACCGTGGTGGCGCCTGGAGAAGCCAACACTGCTGGCAAACGAGGGAAAGGTGCTTGTCAGGCGACGGGGCGACGATCGTAACTCGAGGTTCTGGGACTTGAGCTGGACGCAGATGATTGGAGCAAACTATTCAGGGCGATGGGATACGCTGGCAGGGTTCAATAATAGACCGAGGCGCAAACGTCGAAGCTGCTGCTGCTGAAACACCAGCACGCTTCGGAGGCGAAGAAACAGGGCAGGCACTCGGATGTGCTACTGCAGGGGAAGTGCTGGCATGGAGCTGGAGCTGGCGAGATACCTCCTAGGTAGGTCTCTTCGACTCGACGATGGAAACGATGTGCTTCAGTAAAAAGTACGATTTCGGTTTTTGTTGTTGTTGTTGATGTTGTTGAATCTCTGACCGAGTACGGAGTACCTATGTAATACATGCAACAATCGTCGTCATGCCGAACCGCCACAGAAAGAGGGGAACGCGGGGAAAATGAAGATCTACAAAAATCACTGTCAGTCACCAGGTTACCATCAACGACGTCAATATGAGGGCCTCGTGAGTCGCACCTAGGTAAGTCTTGAGTCGTGAGGCCATGTCTTTACCAGCCACCACTCTTCTTGAGTCGACCCAAGTTACTCGTCTGGCACAATAATAGTTGAAGGATTCCTAGTCTGCGCTAAGGTCTGAAGGAATCATTCTAAAATATAAGGTTAAAGATAGAAACTTGCGCAGCTGCTTCTGCAGGGTCTCTTTGTGGCGGAGTATTGGTTCAGATCGTGTGGATCACGTGACATCACTGCCCTCTCCTCGGTCCGGACCTCTATCTTGTCCCGCAAGCCAACATGTCGGCCCGTACATCGGTGCCAGAATTGCTCTCGGAACTTTCAAACATGTTACATTCACACCTTCCTAGTCGAGTCGATTGAGAAGGCTTTTTGTATTTTGCTCCTTACTTGCCATGCTCACTTATCATAACCGCTCATCAATTATCCCTCTTCGTCGCACACTAACTGACGTACTGGACGGTCCAATACCGCCTTCGATGCCGAGCTGCTCACTTACAAAAAGCTCACCACACTTGTTTGCTGCATATACATATACAACGAAACATTCTCGTTTCCCGTTATTCTTCACCTCAAGGTAACTGGTTGGAGTTGTTTGCGACGCCGAAGTTGCTGGACCCAACCAACCAACAATGCCTCATAGGCAGCCATGAGATTCTGACGGATGATAACTGTACCTCTGCCGACCCAGGGATGGGCAGGACGTAAGAGCGTGAAATACGTAAATTGCGATCCGGTAGGGTAGATATCTGCGGACTGCTTGTTGCCTCTTTATTGCCTCGCCGTTGCCTGCTGTCTGCCTTTCAAACCAAGGTGGGAAAAATGAATACAAATCCAATCGCAATTATTTAAACTGCTCTAGCTACGCTCCAAACCACTTTTGTCTTCCATAAAATTCAGCTATTGACCGCATCTCAACAACAAATTGCAAGTCGCCATGTCTGAACCGCAAGCAACCGTCCACTCTTCGAGGCAACAAAAAGTTCACTCAAAATTTCGTGAAGGAAGCCCACTATTCACGGAATTAGGACTACTACAGCTTCTTCAAGAAACCTACCCTGATCATCAAGTCACATTAGTCGGCAAAGACGGCTGGGATTTCAGAGGCTTTGCTGCCGCTGGCGTTGCGGAGTGTCAAATTGGCAAGGCAGATGACTTCTATCACGCTATCCGGTCCTACCAAAAAGGTCCTGGGCCTCGACTCGGTTTAGGGGCAGGCAAGCTTGTTGACACGGTCAAATATGGTCGGTGGAATTACGTTTGGCAAAACCACGAATACCTAATTTACGAGATTGACCAAGCGGGTGACGTTTCTCGCCGCCCACATTCTTCGCCTTTATTCATCCTCAATTCTCATGTCGATGAGAAGCAAAACAACACAAGTGACATTACTCTCATTGACCAGCTTCTAATTGCCGTAGCCGAGTGGAGCTGCGCTATACATGACGAGATTTATGTTTACGATACCGGTTGCTGGCGTAAGAGTTCTGACCTGTGGAAGACTGTTCAGGACAGTGCCTGGGAAGATGTCATTCTTCCCTCTGACATGAAGGCTAGTCTCATTGAAGATGTGACTGGATTTTTCGACAACAAAACCCTTTACAAGAAACTTGCTGTACCCTGGAAGCGGGGACTGATTTTCCATGGCGTGCCGTAAATGTTCATTCACATTCCCTTGACGCATCAAGGCAATGAATATGACTAACGATAATTTTGCAATAGAGGCAATGGCAAAACTACAGCATTGAAGGCGCTCATGGCCTCGCTGTCCCATCGGGAGGAGCCTATTCCTTCACTCTACGTAAAATCCCTTTGCCGGCAAGGTGACGGCATTTCCTCAATTCGAAACATCTTTACACATGCTCGCCTAATGGCACCATGTGTCTTGGTCTTTGAAGATCTTGATTCTCTTGTCACTGACCAATCGCACTCATATTTCCTCAATGAAGTCGATGGCCTCGAATCAAATGATGGAATCCTCATGATCGGCTCAACCAATCATCTCGAGACTCTTGATCCTGCCATCACCAAAAGACCATCCAGATTTGATAGAAAGTATCATTTCAAGTTGCCGGACGAATATGAACGCTGCGCTTACATTCAGTTCTGGCAAAGTAAATTGCGAGAGACTGACATGGTCCATTTCCCGGATGAACTCTGCTCTATCGTTGCAAGGATGAGCGAAAACTTCAGCTTTGCTTATATGAAAGAATTGTTTGTCATGGCGTTACTCTCTATCGCTCGCGGTGGGACAGGCGATGAAGATACCGAGAAGCCAGTCATGGTACGACGCGCTGACGCTCTTGCGCCTGTGGAGAGCGGCCGGGAAGAAGACGAAGACGACGAAGAAGATGACGAGGACCAAATACATCAGAAGAAGCATGTAATCCCAGATGTTGAGGTTCTACAGAGCTTACAGAACAATGTGCTCCTCAAAGTCTTGAGAGCGGCTTTGATTACGTTGGTAGATGAAATGGACAGCACCCCCGAACGTGATTGGCCTTCCACTAAGAGGCAAACTGGTAACTTTGGCCAGGCTTAGCCGGTTGTAATTGGACATTCAGGATCCTCTAGAAGGATGGGAATCTACTAAAAACAGTAGCTAACTCTAAATCCAACCTTGATAGCAGGTGAAGTCTAGATAGAATAATAAACTCGGGCAGAGGTCATGGGTCGTACCACGAATTTCACAAAGTACGGTACACATGGTTCACTTCGTAGTATTCTTCTCGACAACACCCCTAGCGAACTCTCCAAAAGTAATACCCTGCTCCGAATCAACAATCTCGTCCAGGTTAGGCTGCGTGAATACCGCCAACGTGTTTCTAGCAATCTTGCCCCCTTGATTCTCACCGTCTGCAATTCCCGGTCTCACTCCCCTGACATAGTGCGGAACTGCCTTAAACTTTCCTTTCGTGATACGTTCAAGTGCTTCGCCTGTCTGGAAAGCGATACAATCACGCGGGATCTTAACCTGAACTGTCTGACCTGAGCGGGAATGTATGTATAGACCTGCTGTAGGATCTGGCGAAGTGGGTAGCTCTGCAAGGGTGGGAAGAAAGCGCGGATTATAAGCGTAACCCATCTGTTGTTATTAGTATTTTCATTTTGGTTTTCATGACAAACTCACGGGAATAGCAGGGACCTGCCTGGTCTCGTTGATAAACATTGCGGAAGTCAATCCGGTCAAACAGCCATGGTCAACATGCGTAGCACACCAGTCATCGTCGTTCAGTTCTCCTGCATTTTCTTTCGTGAACTCCGCTGGAAAGTAATGAAGCAATCGTGCTTTGGTAGTCGTACTAGTCTTAACAACGTGCTCTAAGTATCCCTTTTGGTAACCCTCAATCTCCTGTTCAGCATACTTATCACAAGCCTTCGCAACGAGAACGCCGGTGTCGATGATTAATCTGCACAGATCCTCGAAAGTCTCTTTGAACCCTGGAATTGTGGTATCACCCGGCCACAGATTTGGGGAAAGATATTCTGGAAAGTTATCAGGCGAGAAATCATCCGTTGGAACAGCACAATCAAGGCTTGGATCGACATAGAATGCGCAATTTGCATAAAAGCTTCCTTTCAAGAAATCGACTTGCCCGTTCTTGAGTGTCTCTTTGCCGCGTGACCAACCAGTAAGATACTTAGAGCCGGGGTTTTCAATTTTTGCTACAGAATTGATTAGGACGGGGAAATTCGGAAAATAGAAATGAGGGGGGAGAAGACGCACCTAGGCGGAATTCTGGGAGATTTCCAAGATAGGAGGAGTAAGTCAACAGGCGATGCCTCAACTGTGCGAATTCTTCCGGAACGTCCTTGACTATAATAATACCTAGAGAATCTGGCCCAAATGCCTTCTCCAAGGTTTGAAAAGTGACATAGCCTACACTGTAGATTAGTGGTAGACAATACGTAGCAGGTATATTTTAATCACCATTTTTCAAGTCTTCGAGACTAACCGTAATTGCAGCTGAAGACATCGGCAAATCGTGGGTAACCCGTTTAACAATAATCTCTTTTATTTTTATAATCTTTCAAGGCTGGTAGGCAAGCCGTGGTCGAAGATTGGTATCGAATATACTCGATGTGCGGACAAGATAGATGACAGTCGAAACACAAGATCTAGCCGATTAATCCAACACAAATGGTGTGTTTATCAATTCACCCGAGTAAACCACATGTCGTTGATCTCCAGCTAAGACTCATTAATATAGTTAAGAGGTTCGTGGGCAGGTGACTGAAATTTATCTCGTTCACTACTACCTGGGTACTTGTCGGAATCTACCGAAAGCTTTGACCAGCCCTAACGAGGGACGGTAGCACATGCCTGTTCAAGACTAGGCATGCTGACATCTACAGTCTCCAATCCCGCGTCTATGAGCTCCACCAGTGCCATCACGAATACCTCACGATATGGTCAAAGCATTAACCTTTAAAGGCGACAAAAAGACAAAAAAACGCAAACGTGTCGATGTCGCGGAAAAGTATGGCGAAGAAGGGGAATCCTCAGGAAAGGGAAAGGAAGTAGCGAAAGCAGAAGCAGTGATTGACGGACCAGTAGACGATGATAGTTGGGTGACTGCTGAAGCTTCAGGAGATGTCGTGGGACCGATTATCTTCGTTTTGCCTTCGGATATTCCATCGTGCATAGCTTGCGATACAACCGGAAAAGTCTTTGCCAGTGCGTTGGAGAATATTATTGATGGCGATCCTGCGACAGCAGAACCGCATGACGTTAGGCAGGTTTGGGTTGCGAATCGCGTTGTAGGAACAGAGACTTTTACATTCAAAGGGCACCACGGCAGGTTCGTATTGCAAAAACAGGATATGAATTCTCAATGCTAAGATCCAAACAGGTATCTAGGCTGCGACAAGTATGGGATCCTGACTGCAAATACCGAAGCAGTCTCACCTCTCGAAACCTTCCTCTGCATACCCACCGTCGACACACCCGGTACCTTCCAAATACAAACACTCCGCGAGACTTTCGTGACTATCAAACCGTCTACATCCTCCAAAGCCAATGCGCTTCCTGAAATACGTGGCGATGGCGACGCTATAACCTTCAACACGACGTTGAGAATACGGATGCAGGCGCGTTTCAAGCCAAAATTGAAAGCCAGCAAGGAGGAAAAGGCCCGAGAGAAGATAAGCAGGAAGGAACTAGAGGAGGCAGTTGGGAGAAAGCTAGAGGATGATGAAGTCAGAAAGCTGAAAAAGGCAAGGCGTGAGGGAGACTATCATGAAGCGCTATTATTAATCAAAGTCAAGAGCAAGCACGACAAGTATAGCTGATACTCAATATACATGTACGAAGTTTCGGCAATCGGCGACCTTGTGCGCAAAATGGAAATGTCAGACACTAACTCCCATTCGTCGAGGAGCGCTGGCTACTATTGGAAGCTTGTAAACATACGTACTCGGGAAGCTCGATATGAATCTCCACATTTTGAGCATCACACATTAACTGGGAGAATCACTAGATGTCGCGTGGTTTAAGCCGTCGAGATTACCAGTTAAAATTTATGGTATTTGAAGAGAAGATATAAATCGAATCTTTAGCAAATCACTTCAGAAATGATTGCATGTGCTTGGCTAGTAAGAACACACCATCAAAACCTATTGCTTGAATTGGTAGTATATAATCAGATGGCAATGATAATAATCATCCAAGATAACACGAGCTGACATGAACGGTATTCGCACTCTGACCATTTCCCCTAAATAGGGGGGACGTTCCCCACCTCAGAAGCGAGCGACTTGTAACCGCCAAAAAACTTTTGTAGATTTGCACGATTTACCCATAACCTGAACAATAACAACAGACCAAACAAATATGTACACCCTCGATACGACGGACTGTTTCCGCATCACACCCACATCCGATACGTACATTTACGATATCATACCCACCGAAAAGGGCATTGTAACCATCTCTTCTGACAATAGCTTGAGGTTATTGGACCCACTTGCTCTCAATACGCCACTAAACACAATAAAAAATGTCAACGCAGAAATAACTTGTGCTACAGTCATCCGAGGCGATGGAGAATCTAGCAGTCTTGTGGGAACTGCAGGAAGAGATGGAAAACTTACCCTTATCGACTTCAGGTGCCAGAAGATTGGAGAAATCTCAACTCGTGAGTGAGACTTTCATATGACTTTGTCCAGACATATCTGCTTAATTCTTTGAACCTTTCTCGAGAATTTCGAATATGAACATATCTTGATTGACAAGTTCCCCTTTGGTAATTAATAGTTGCATTCACCAGATCTGACGTTTTCAAACAGAAGGAAACGCCGCGATATTAGCTTTGGCTTCGTTCGGCAATGCAATCGCCGCTGGGACAGAATTGACAAACCATCAGGCCTCTGTGATTATGTGGTAAGCGCTATCGATATGTCCCGGTGTTTCATGAGCACATCGATACTAAATTTATTAGGGATGCCAGAAACCTCAGCGCGCCTGTTGTTGAATACGTCGAGAGCCACAGCGACGATGTCACAGAAGTTTGTTCCGGTATCCATCCCATTGAAATGAGTTTCTCTGACAGTATGTCAGGTTCAGTTTCATCCGAGTAGACCGCAAATCCTACTTTCAGGCTCAACCGATGGTTTACTCAATATTTATGACACTACAGTGTCGGATGAGGAGGATGCTTTACACCAAACCATTAACCACGGCCACTCAATACACCGTTGCAATTTTCTAAATGATGCAGACATTTTTGCACTATCCCACGATGAACAATTCTCTCTGTATGAGTTGATGACAGATGTTGGGGAGGGAATTGAAGAGCCGGCCGCTGTAAGTTTTGGAGACATGAGAGAGCTACTGGGTGGGGAGTACGCTGCCAATGTTGTAAGGAGAACTGACGGGAGTGCTGTGCTGGGAATTGGAAGTCATAGGTATGTCTTGAAGAGAGCGTTGTTAATTGCATGGCCAAGTGTGGATGGCTAACGTTTCGCAGCCGGGAAAGTTTTGATCTTATTCAGCTAAGAAAGCATTCTTCATGGAACTTCGTACCCGAAGAGAGAGTAAATCTAACCGGCGCACATGGATCTGAGATAGTACGGTCGTTCTGTTTTATGGATTCTGTAAGTGCTCTGGGCCAATTTCCTTCTAGCTCCTTTTTGAATTCCTCTTGTTGTCGATTTCTAGCTCTTCTGACCTTGTTTTTCAGCATAAAACTGTCCTGACGGCTGGTGAGGACGGTCAAGTCAAGGCTTGGGGGAGCGAATGAAGCGGCCATACGGGCAATACGTGGGAAACATCTGCGGGTTGTTTTATGAAATCTAGACGCAAATGAAATCAAAACTCAATAGTGATACACATCCATTTGATAGCACTGTGCAAAAGTTGAAAATTAGAAAGCGGTCAAATAACTTGTTGTTGAAAAGGATTGATTGCGGGTTGCCTTTGGATGAAGCTCGGCTGCAGGCCCCGTCGCGTTGTCCCGAAGCCTGCCTCGCCTGCTTGAGAAGATGACAGCTTGAAGGTCAATATCCAAACTGCCACGAAGACGCAACCGCACCCAACGAACACCACGACCGTTGAATTAGTAACACTCGTATGAGATGAATCGGTGACGGAAATAGACTTTGCTGCTAGCACAGAGTGATTGCTTATGCGCACGAGTCTTCCATGATGAAGGATACTGGAAAACGGCTTCTGCCGTTTGCGCTTTGTAAGTCGTGAGCATTCCTCACTTGCGCAAAAACTAACCTCTTGCCATACAGTATTTCTGCATCTATTTGTATCACTCATACATGCGGCAGCAAATGCTGGTGACGATCAGTTACGATCAGATTTAGATGATGCATTACGAGTAGTTAAGGAGACTTCTACTCATACCTCTACGCACGCTGCACAGTCGCCGACATCCCACATAACAAACGAAGAGGATAATAACCTCGGAGGGTCCGATGGTATAGCAAGATATCTCTACGAATGAGCTTAGGCTAACTATTCTCAAGGAACACACCAAGTCGCCAAAGCGTTGGCCCTCCTCCACAAGTACGAACGACTAAACCCACGACCATCACGGAAACCTGCAGGCTTAGGCGCAACTATTAGCCAATATTTTTGGGCAGTATTGCCAAAGCTATCAGCTGAAGGACCGGATTCTGGTGCAGGCGTGCGCGAGAAGGGACTTCCCAAGCAAGTGGCACAAGCGGTGCAATTGCTGCAAGATGCAGCACAGGTCAATAACTCCGATGCGATGTTTGTTCTAGCGCAGATGAATTTCTATGGCAATTTTACACATCCAAAGGACTATTCTGAGGCGTTTAGGAGGTACCACCAACTCGCGTCTCTCAATGGGAATGCTTCTGCCCAGCACATGGTCGGGTTCATGTACGCCACGGGAATTGGTGGTGCCGTGGAACGGCATCAGGCGAACGCGCTTTTGTATCATACATTCGCAGCTGCTGCGGGAGACGTACGGGCTGAGATGACGGTGGCGCATCGACATCATAGTGGCATTGGAACTGCTCGAAATTGCGAAGTTGCAGTTAAGCATTATAGAAGCGTAGCAGAGAAAGCTATGCAGTGGTACAGATCTGGACCTCCTGGTGGTATGGCATGGGTGCACGATTCCTACCGATTGGCCGATGATGATGGAGGAGTTTATGGTGAAGGGGCAAGCTTTTCAAGTGCTGGGAGTAACGCCAACAAAGCAAGCCCGAACTCTGATGCTCTCGCTACCCTTGCCGATGTGTTGGAGTACCTGGATCTGATGTCGAGGAAGGGAGATTTCAAAGCGACATTCAGTTTAGGTCGGATTCATTATGATGGTCAAAAAGGGCTTTCACGCAATATGAAGAGCGCCAAATGGTACTTCATGAGGGTGGCCAAGCTTCACTGGACCAAAGACGGACGTATTATCGAGAGCGATAAGCCAGGTTTGGAAAAAATTGCTTCTAAAGCTGCCGGCTACCTGGGACACATGTTCATGCGCGGGGAGGGCTGGGACCAGAGTTTTGAGAAAGCACATATCTGGTTTACTCGAGGGATCCAGAACGGCGACGCTGGATCTCAGTACGGAATGGGATTGATGTACTTGGAGGGCTATGGAGTCCCAAAAAACGTAGTCAGGGCAAGCGAATTGCTCAAGGTATCCGCAGATCAGGACTATGCCCCTGCCTTGGTTACCATGGGTGCCTTGCATCTTGACCAGGGCAGTCCAGATGATTTGGCAGTTGCCAGTCGCTATTTCGAGCGTGCCGCAAAATATGGAAATATCGAGGCTCTTTACTACCTTGCAGAAATCATTAATCAAGGTATCGGAAGGGATCGAAGCTGTGGTCTAGCAACTGCTTATTACAAAAGTGTTGCGGAGAAAGCTGAACCATTCATCTCGTCTTTTGCGGAAGCCAACCATGAATACGAGGAAGGTGATGTTGAGTTGGCTCTCGTTGATTATATGCACGCCGCCGAGCAAGGCTACGAGCGAGGTCAGGCCAATGTAGCGTATCTTCTGGACGAGCAGAAATCGAAGTGGGAATTGCCGTCTTGGTTGGCATTGAGAGCGCCGCGACCGAAATTTTTGCAAAACGCAGCCCTGGCACTAATTTATTGGACGCGATCTGCGAAACAGACAAACATAGATTCTATGGTCAAGATGGGGGATTACTATCTGTATGGTCTTGGTACCCAACCCGACATGGAGAAGGCCGCGACTTGTTACCAGGCCGCTTCTGAATTCCCACAAAGCGCACAAGCCTTGTTCAACCTCGGTTGGATGCACGAGAACGGTGTTGGCCTCGATCAAGACTTCCATCTTGCAAAGCGATATTATGATCATGCCTTGGAGACGAATGATGAGGCGTATTTGCCCGTCACCTTGAGTCTGTTCAAGCTACGCCTACGAAGCGCGTGGAACACTTTTACTCATGGACGGGTGAACTCAATACAAGACGAGCCGTGTAAGTCATCTTGTGTCTTTGCCTGTTATGGCGAGCAATGACTAATGAGCTAATGATGTGCAGCACCTAGAAAGCAATGGTCGTTGTCTGAATGGATCAGCAACTTTCTCCAGGATGACCACCCTTACTATGGAGACAGCGACTACGACGACACGAATTACCTGTCAGATGCGGACCACATGCCTGGGGGCGATTCGGACGGATTTTATGATGATATTATCGACGATGGCATTCTAGAGAGCCTTGTGATTGTGGTCCTTGCCGCGGCGCTGGTGTTCCTGATCTATTACCGGCAGCAGCATCAACTTGCTCACCGGCGGGGAGAAGCGGCTGCGAGAGTGCCAGGCGGAGAGCATCCGGGCGCAGAAGGCCCGCCAGCGGCAGCACCGGAGGAGCGAGGTGTGTTCCCTCCACCAGGAGAACCAGAACTGAACGACTGGGTCGCTGGAGGGGTTGGCCATTGAAACGGCATCTTGTAGGTTAGCGTGTATCACAAATAAGCATTTCTGTCATTTCGTGGTGTTGTTGCAATTCTTCCTGCATAATTGGAGTCGGTGAAGATGTTGTTGTTTCCCGCAGACTCGTTTCAGCAAAGGTGTTGGCATTCACTGTGATCAGTCAATATGACCTGTTTATCAGGTACCTACTCGGGATCGCTTATTTAGAAAGGTTGACCATGGACTAGCTTCAACGTTCACCATCACTTCCTGGTTATGCTCATCAATGTCGCCGTCCATATCGTCGCCGGTTTCCACCATCACCCTTCCGTTCCAAGGACGGCGGACACGACCGCAGTCTTATACAGTATCGCAGGCCTGCTCGTATTGATGTACCGTACTCCCGTCCTGTATTATTGCCCTTTGCTTGGTACCGGCGCCCCCCGCCAGGCTGGTTCGGTCCTCGGCCTGCTCACCTCTGTCTGCTTCTCCCGCGTGTCTCTCCGGTCTCTCACGTCCCTGTCTCTGCCTCTCACCAAGCTTTCGGTTTGGCCTTGGCCCGCAGTGAGCAGTGAAGCTGGTTGATCCAGGGTGGAGCCCGGACCTGGCTGGCCTAATCTGGACGATTGGCCCCTCGGTTTATCGCTGTCTACTCCGTATCGTCCAATCCACGGCGGGCCATTCGCTCTCGCCTTCCCTCTCGCCTTCCCTCTCCTGAGTCTCCTCGCAGCGATCTCCGTCCGAATTCAACCCGCTCTGGATTTCCACAGCCCTGCATCCACGCGCATCCACCTCCCACCTCCACCTCGTCCACGCCTTTTCGTGTCAGAAACTTTCAGATCGATATACCGCCAAGCAGACGGTGCGGCCGGCAGCTTGGCATACACCTCTATCGTCGCCATTTGTCGACGAATTCGCAAACCCTACAACTCCCAGAGATAAGGAAGATTGCTGCATCCCAGCTGAGTGCGCGCAGCCTGGGAGCGATCGTGACTGCAAGCCGCATTGGGACAGCTACAAGAGTGAACCATTTCCCTTCTTTGACTTCTTGAAGCTTCAACCTCCAAGCTCCAAGCATCATTGAACATTCGCCTCTGTTCGCCTCTGTTCGCCTCCATTCGCCTAACTTTTCGCGCCGTCTGGGATCTGAGAAAATCGTACAAGAAAATATCATCCACACCTGGAGCACCACGCTGGAAAGTGTTACCACGCATTGTGCAAACGTCCATCATGGCCGGCTTCACGAAAAAGATCAACGACGCCGTCGCCGGCAGCATTGTCGGTCGCAGATTCAGACTGGAGGGCTCTGGCCATGCAAAGTCGCGTGAGGGCTCCCGTTTCCTGACCGAGATTCGTGCTGGTTTGGCGACTTTCTTCGCAATGGCATATATCATCTCTGTAAGTGCCACATGCGATCTAGTTAACATGCGGGCGAACTACGGCCCTCGTACTGACCATTCGCCCATAGGTGAACGCGACCATCCTTACGGACAGCGGTGGAACTTGCGTCTGCACTGATACCACTGACATTACTTGCACCACCGATCTGGACTATAACCTTTGCCTGGGCGTCATCCGACGTGATTTCATCACCGGCACCGCCGCCATCGCTGCACTTACCTCGTTCTGCATGGGACTTTTCGCCAACATGCCAATTGCGCTTGCTCCGGGTATGGGACTCAATGCTTACTTTACCTATACTGTGGTCGGCTTCCACGGAACTGGTCCCGTCACATACAGACTTGCTTTGACGGCCATCTTCATCGAAGGCTTTGTGTTCGTTGGTCTCTCACTTCTCGGTTTGCGACAATGGCTAGCCAGAGTTATACCCGCATCTATCAAACTTGCTTCCGGCGTGGGTATTGGACTGTACCTCAGTAAGCCTTGTAATTCAAATCTCATCTTCCTCCGGCTAATGACTTTTAGCAATCATTGGTTTGACCTATAGTGCTGGTATTGGTGCCATCACGGGGGCTCCCTCTACCCCTCTCGAGCTAGCAGGATGTCTGCAATCCGAGCTGGTGGACGGTGTTTGTCCTGGTTCCACAAAGATGCGCTCGCCAATGATGTGGGTAGGCATCTTCTGCGGTGGTTTCTTAACTGCCATCCTGCTGGCCTATAGAGTCAAGGGTGCAATCATTGCTGGTATCCTCCTGGTTTCGATCATCTCGTGGCCACGAAACTCGTCTGTTACCTACTTCCCGCACACCCCGGTCGGTGACGATAACTTCAACTTCTTCAAAAAGGTGGCTACCTTCCACAGCATCAAGGAAACTCTCAATGCCCAAGATTGGAATGTAGCAGGCGCTTCGGGTCAATTCGGACTTGCCCTGATCACGTTCCTTTATGTTGACATTCTTGACTGCACGGGTACTCTTTATTCCATGGCACGCTTCGCTGGTGCTATCGACGAGGAAACTCAAGATTTTGAAGGTTCTGCGGTGGCATATTTGGTCGATGGTAAGTTCAACCCTCTTGAACTCTTAACCCGAATCGCTCACTGACTCGATGTAGCCTTCGGCATTTCTATCGGTTCACTTTTCGGTCTCTCACCTGTCACAGCTTTCATCGAGTCCGGTGCAGGTATTTCTGAGGGTGGCAAGACTGGTCTTACCGCCATGACCGCTGGAATCTGCTTCTTCATTTCAATATTCTTTGCGCCCATCTTTGCATCTATTCCACCATGGGCAACCGGGTGTACTTTGATTATTGTGGGTGCCATGATGTGCAAAGCCGCTAAGGATATCAACTGGAGATACTGGGGTGATTCTTTCCCGGCATTCGTCACGCTGGCCGTCATGCCATTTACATACTCTATTGCTTACGGGCTTATCGCTGGGATCGTTTCATACATCATCATCAATACAATCATCTGGCTTCTCGAGGCTGTTTCTGGTGGGCGCATCGTTCCTGCCGACAAGGAGTTCAGGGAACCATGGACCTACAAGATTAAGGGTGGAATTCTCCCCGCGTGGATCGTTCGTGCTGCTTCCGGGTAGGTTACAAATACACTTCTGTTCTACAAATGCTAACTACGATTCAAGGCAAAAGGACTTCTGGCACGACCACTCTGAATACCCCGTCACAACACCTTCCTCTCCCCCATCTTCGCTCCCAGACTATACCCATAATTCGGAAGCTATGGTCGGTAATGAGGCTAAGGTTCTAGAAACCGGGAAGGCTAATGAAAAGCTATCTTGAACATTTGATCGTTCGCACATTTGTATTAAGCATCCAACCAATTGGTTTGATCATAGGATAAACTACGGGTTTAGTGGCGGGGAAATGGTGTATCATAGTTTGGGGGCTTGCTGGAGAGAGAATTGCTTCAAATTTGAGTTTTGATACCCAGTCGTTAGAGTGAGCCTGATCTCATACCCGCTTGGAGGTATTAGAAAAATACGAAGAGTTTAAGACATGTCCCCAGACCCATTGTATTAAAAGTCTTGTGTGAAATCCCTATGCATCCCGATCTAGTATCTAGTAACAATTAAGACGGCCGACTCTGTTGCATGGTAGGCAGACGGGATCGTTGTAATCGGGGGGTAATTACTGAGGGTTCAATGGAATTGCTTGGCCTACTCCTACCTCCTTCGCACGATGTGGTCCTGAAATACCTAGGTATTTTAAGAATATTCGCTTGATATGTCGTAATACTTCAGTCCTCGGGTGATTGCCGCAGCAGCAGGTTTCACGGCGGCTATCACGGGCATGTGCTTATGTGGCACGCAACGTTGGTGAGAGGTGTACTTTATCAAATCACCAATTACTCAATTTTTCGGGCGCTTGCTCTGATGTATTTACAAAATTACGTGATGCATAAGCTGGATATTGGACTCCATACTTCATGCTATGTTAACTTGATGCTGGGGGTTTTTTGCCTCGTAGTCATTATGAGCCAATGTTCTCAGGTAGAGTAATAAGTGATCCTCGAGATGTCTCTTCTGGTTGTTCGCTTGAATAGATTATCGGAGCCTTTCTTTGCCCTCGGCCCGAACGCGGCAGCCAATGTCCATTCGCGAACTTCATCGTCACAACAACATCAAACACACCAGTAACATCGTGCCCGAACCCTGTTCACTTAACTAACACACAGCACTAATCCACTCTCTCCACTTCAAAGGTCGAACGTTGTGACAACCTCTACTAGACTCTGACCATGTCAACGCCAGCAGCCAAACGCCGCCGCATGAACGATGCCTCAAAAACGCTCTCCAAGCCCTTCCGCTCGCCTTTCAAGACACCCTTCAAGTCCCCCTCCAAAGCCGTCGATTCGGAAATCAATCAAGCAAGCTCTACAGGAAAGCTACCGGTACTAGGAGAAAAAACCCCCAATCTTTTGGCAAATCCAGCGACGCCTGGCGCTCGTACCAAAAAGACATTCACCAGCCCTTTGCAAACAGCAAGGATAAATGCAGATCCTACCATAGCTCCTCTTCTTCGTACTCAGAGAGAGCTAGAAAAAGAATTACGCCAGTTGAAAGAGGATCTCGATACTGCAGAGCAAGCCAGGAAGATTGAAGCTGGAAAGCGGGGTGACGACGGAGAAGTTGATGCGGAATTACGAGTATTAGTTGCGAAATGGAAGAGTGCTAGTCGGATGGCTGCGGAAGAGATGTTTGGACGTGTACGTGATCGTGTGAATAGAATGGGTGGGCCACGTGCATGGAAGGAGATACAAAAGAAGCAAGCGGACTCGAGATCACAGTGGGAGGCAGAGCAGAACGAACCAGTGGGTGAAGATGATGATAGCGACGAGGATCCTGCTGCTAGGGAGGAAAGGAAGACGAGAAAGAGAGAGTTGGCAGATCAATATGACATTGAGGTTGAGACGGTGAGTGAGAGGAGTCAGCGAAACGTTATTGACGATGGGGCCAAGAATGGGGACGAAGACGAGTTCACGATGGCTATGATGCTGAGGACGCTCAACGTCGAATTGCATGTGATTGGGTTTGATAGAGACGAGGAAAGGTGGGTTGATTGATTGCTGTTGGTGGCGGTGGTGGTACGGCCTGATATTGCATACTCGGATTAGGTTTGCTTTGATATGAGTTGGAGACTCACTATCTCAATTTACTATGCGCATTATGGCTAGGATTGTTGCGTATACCCCAGAGCAGATTGCATCTTGCAAACGAATAATTACAGTTATGGAGAAATATAGAGTTGTCACTTGAGTCGGCCGTGGTATGGGTGCTGTCGCTGACGAACGCGTCGAAGCCAATTCGTCCACGGTCTGTTATGTTTCTCTCGGGGAATTACTACACTCAACGCTTATATCTCCACACACTGGGGTTTCAAATGGTGAGCACGACCAGTAAGATCAGTTGCAAGTAGAGCTCAACTCTCGCGTTGTTGATAATCACTCCTGCCCGATGCTTCAAGCCCCTTACCAGATACACAAACGCTTCAAAATAGCCAGACTGGACTTCGTACGCTTCAGATCACCCCACTCCAAACATCAATTCATTCGCCATCGCTAGTTGCGCCATCGTTACGAGTGAGCGAACATTTGCAAAATTGCCTGCGCAGTCTACTTCGTCACCCCCAATAACTCATATTCTCAATACACATAAGCAACCTGTGTCAAGGGCAAACTAGTAGCAGCCTCGCAGACCATGTGTGCTCCGTCGGCCTCCACCCGGTAACTCTCCGGATCGACGCTCATCTTGGGCATAACATCATTAAACTTCATGTCCTTCTTACCAATGTTTCTACAATTCTTTACAGCTTCGACTCTTGATTTCAACCCATAGCTAGAAATAGCACCTGAGGATATAGAGCTCTCGCTTACGAAGAGAATCGAAGTCTGCGGAACAAGAGGGGCAAACATTGGACGAGCTATGATGGGTTGGACCGTCGGAATCGAAGCGTTCGGGTCACCCTTATTGTTGTTAGGAGGGTGTACATTACAGGAAGAATTGTCGTTGACTTACCATTTGAGCATAAGCAATCAAGCCACTTTTAATGATTGTCATGGGCTTAGTGCCGAACCAAGCTGGATCCCACACAACTAAATCCGCAAGCTTGCCTACTTCGACACTACCAATGATATGGCCCATTCCTTGGGCCACAGCAGGATTGACAGTATACTTGCTGATGTATCTCTTCACTCTGAAGTTGTCAGCGCCGGTACCTTCATCTTCTTTCAAGAACCCCCTCTGGACTTTATTTTTGTGAGCCGTGTTCCAAGTTCGTAGGATGACTTCACCACAGCGGCCCATGGCTTGAGAATCAGAAGACATCATGCTAATGGCTCCTAGATCATGCAACACGTCTTCTGCTGCGATTGTCTCTGCGCGGATACGGGATTCCGCAAATGCCACATCTTCGGGTATATTCTTGGACAGGTGGTGGCAGACCATTAACATGTCAAGATGTTCGTCGAGGGTATTACGTGTAAAAGGGCGTGTTGGGTTTGTTGACGAGGGAAGTACATTGGCGTGTTCAACCACGCTGATGATATCGGGTGCATGCCCACCTCCCGCACCTTCTGTATGATACGTATGTATAGCCCTGTCTTTAAACGCCGCGATGGTTGACTCAACGAAGCCAGACTCGTTCAGAGTATCTGTGTGAATGAGACATTGCACGTCAAGTTCATCACAGACCGTCAAACAAGAATCAATCGCCGAAGGAGTTGTACCCCAGTCCTCGTGCAGTTTCAATCCACAAGCCCCAGCAGTAACCTGCTCTCGGAGTGCCAAGGGGTTGCTGTCGTTGCCCTTTCCAGTAATACCAAGATTAACAGGTAACGTATCACATGCTTGTAGCATTTGACGCATGTAATTTTTTCCTGGTGTACAGGTAGTCGCACTCGTACCGGCACTACTTACATATTAGTAGCAGAGCTGAGTAAATTATCATCAACTCACCTAGGCCCAACGCCTCCACCAAGCATAGATGTAATACCGGATGAGATGGCTTCAGTGACTTGTTGCGGACATATGAAATGTATGTGGGTGTCAAAACCCCCCGCAGTTATGATCTTTCCTTCACCGGCTATTATGTCTGTGCAAGATCCGACGATCATTCCAGGGGAAACACCAGCCATAACATCCGGGTTTCCAGCTTTCCCAATACCAACGATTACCCCATTTTTGACGCCGATATCTGCTTTATATATGCCAGTCCAGTCCACAATCAAGGCATTCACAATCGCAAGATCCAGAGAAATGTCGTCAGAAACGCCTGTTGCTTGACCCATACCTTCACGCAATGTTTTACCGCCACCAAACTTACATTCATCGCCATAGACCGTCAAGTCTTTTTCTACTTTGACCCATAAATCAGTGAACCCCAAGCGCACCACATCACCAGTCGTGGGTCCAAACATGGTAGCATAAGCTGCCCTTTCCATTTCAAAAGTTTCAATTAACTTGGAATCGGTTGTTGGATCTGGAGCGTGAGCAAATCCCCCTTGCTGTAAATTCTCCAAGATTTCCTCTGCACGAGATGCGTCGACTGGACCAGTTGCAATATGATTGCCCCCACGGATTACCTTGTTTCCAGCTATCTCCACCAGGGTTACAGTCTTCGTGTCGCCCGGTTCGAAACGAACCGAAGTTCCAGCTGCGATGTCCAGCCGGTAACCATAGGCCTTGATGCGGTCGAATTCGAGCTGCGGGTTTGTCTCGATAAAATGATAGTGTGAACCAATCTACAACAATGAGCTTTTGGCCATTTAGATTCACACTGACCTACTTGTATGGGTCTGTCTCCTTTGCTTTTCACTTTAAGCTTGATGCGTTTTCTCCCTTCGTTGATCGTCACCTTTCCGGATTTAACTATCACAGCGCCCGGTTGTTTCTCTATCGCATACTCCTCCTCTTTTGGAAGCTCGAAAATGCCCATATTTGGAATGGGCAAAAACGAACCGTATAAGGCTTTCTCTAGATCACCATCATCGGTTGCGATGGGATGGTGGACAGTCACTAGATAGGTGCCGGTAGGGAATGTACCTTCGACCATAATCTCGGTGAGGGTAGTGCAGACTGAGGGGAAAACATGGCGGCGGCCGAGCATGGTCGATCCAATCGACATAAGGTCGGCGACAGTGTGTTTGCCATCACGAATGAGCTATAATAAGGTCAGGATAGACTGTTGTTACGGAGAGCATTGTTGGGAAAGTACTTCTTGAAGATTGTTCGCAATAAGAGCCTTTTTCCAATCAGCTTCGTTTGAACTTGAGGGGGGTGAGGGCATCAATATCATACGGCTGACTCTGAATGATTGAGCTTGACGCCCCGCGCAAGTCTTCGCTGAGCAAGAAGGCCCAGTTGGGAAATGACCAACTTATCGAGCTTCCCAATCTTGTAAGCATATCTAGGAGTAGGCAGGATGGTGATGTGGACAAACCTCCTTTGGAACCAAATGCATTTCGAGTCGTCTGGATCGCAAATAGATGAGAACTAGAAGCTATTCGCAGGACATGTCGGGAGATGTCTGGGCTGGGCTAGGTAAGGCTGCCCATTATCCGCAGGTTGGTGGTACTAGTATAAGGTACGGGTGCACTGCGGTCTGCGGATGGAGGTAGGAAAGCGGGGTTTGCTCCGATAAGGAAAGGGACACGAGAGTGGGGTTGTGCCGTAGATACTTTTTGTGGTCTTGTTCGTGTCTGAAGACCAGCAGTTTCTTATTCAGCCTGCAAAATGGGTTGTATGTGATTTCTATTATTAATGAACTGTGTGGGTATATAAAGTCGATTATTCAAATTGGTGGAACTTTGCTCCACCTAGTCTATAGGAGTTCTCCGATCGCGCGCCTAAAACTCCCGCCAAATGCCTTTTCCAGTGCCAGAATACATTGCCCGTAACGCCTGGAGGAACAGCTATCGAAACCCCGGAAACACTCTGGATACATTGGTCCTCCATTTCGCTCGGACCCGCCTGCTCTGACTATCGGGATCTTGAATGGGGGCTTGCCGTGCAGCGAGCTCTAATATTCTCTCGGCAACAAAATCTTGTCGACTTTGGCGGGTTTGAGCAGGTACGTTACTGAATCTCAGAGACTGGGGGCGAGCTGGATCCGAAGATATGACTGATGACCGCATTGGATGTCCCAAAGTCGGATTGGCATTTGCTTGGGAATCGACTCGTGAGCCTAAGTTTCCAACATCATTCCACGTATCATCATCTTCCACCCGTGTCTGTCTCAGCTTTCGTATGTTGCGTTCTTTTCGAACCATGGCATTCGAGACCTTCACCGGACAATACCCCGGGGGCAATGCGCACTGTTTACACAGTGGGCATAAAGAACTCTTTGCGCCGAGGAATGAGTCAATGCATTCCGGATGATATATATGCCCGCAAGGAAGTTCTTTGATCTCGGTCACCTCGGAGACGTATTCATCAAAACATATAGGGCACGTCGGCTGAGTATATGGGAGGAATCTATGAGGAAGAGCGACATTCGGGTCTGCGGGATCAGTTATAATGATTGTTTCTTGTGGAATGTAACTTCGAGTTTCGATGGCGCCCGGGCGGGCCCCTTCGAGTTGTTTTGTTAGCAACACCTCTGAGATACTTATCTCTCCTGGTGGTGACGAAGGCGTGGGCGGGAGAATGCCAGACTGACTGCTAATTTCGTCCGTGTAGACAAATATAGGGAGTAGATCGAGAATTTCTTGTGGTATCGTAAGGCGTTTGATGCCAAGCGCCTCAAGATTAACATCTCCTGATTCTACGCGACTCTGCAGAGATTTCCTCCTCCTTTTCTGAGTAAGATGCATACAAGCTGAAGTGAGAGTCAAGATGGAGACCAGCACCGCAACGACGACAAGTATCATCTTCCAGAATGAAGGTAGGGTAGATAGATTACTTGTGTCGATTTCAGTGTACATTCGTACGTAGTCTCGAGGATCGGTTCCAGGTAGCTCGGAGATTTCGTGGCCGTATGGTACACTGGTCATGTTTCCTGAATAGTGGCTCAGTTGAACCATTAGCTGCCCACCTAAATACCCGGAGATAGCATACACCGGATACATGTTCTTCTTCCTCCAAGCTCCTCCATCCTGGAGATCCCACACAGGCGACGAGGACGAAGGTGGCTTCTCGGTGCTGTTATCCGGGAGATAAAACAGGAAAGCTTTGGAAGGATCGCTCCGGGCGGAACGTAAATAAGACTGTGTACATTCTGCGTTGATCCACGGTGCAAGGGCAACAAGTGCAAAGTCGGTGGGAGCAAGATTGGCCTGTCGAGTAACGTTGTTGGGAAGGTGTGTCTTGGAGATGTTGTAACATGGATCGGTTCTGTCAAGGTCTGGAACATAGAGGAACCCACTTGCAACGCCGCTCCGGTCGGCATTCTGCGTTGATAGGGTTTGTACACTGTCTACGACGTCTTGAGAAAACGATATGTTGGGCTACGGATGCAGGCGTGAGTATTGGGAGCATACAATTGCCAACTCGCCGGGCGATGAACAACGTACCGAAAGCTGTGCTACCACCGCGTCCAGGTCTGCGTCGGTTGAGTCTCCATCCCACTCGGTATTGGGAAATAACAGACTGTGAGAGCATGTTAGATGGTGAAATGGCTATTGGTGACGACTTGGAGATGCAAGGACGGACCGTCGTTGACGGTTGCTGGTACTTGGCACCCGTCAAGAAAGGCCGCGTCAAGGTTGAAACCCGAGCATTCCGAATAAGAAAGGGAACGACAACGAGACGGAAGAGAGCCTACACATAAGTTGACACTTTCTTTGCAGCTGCTCGGAGAAGAACATTAGCATCACCATCCAACTCGTCGGCGTGGAAAGAGGTCAGAGGTCAGACGAAAGACCTCTTCCCAGACAGAAAATGTGCATAGCCAAGGCGCTTGGCACGGGAGAATCAAGGGGCGCAACAAGATTAGGAAACGCACACATGGTTGATCTTTGGACTACCTTGAAGGCAATCCGTAGGCTAAAGAGAGCCTCCTGTTGATAACTGGCTCATGCGACCAGGCACGAGGGGACAACATTTGCAAACAAACTCGTCAGTTGAGTAGGTAAGGAGGTAATTGACTTGTGAGGTTAACAGTGACGAAGATTGGGGAAGGGCGACTGCGACTCCAAGTAAAAGCTTGTCTTCGGTAAGCTTTCTGTGCTTCTCCACTGAATAGCGTCAATCACTCCAATCAGCAATCTTGCTCCGAAGGCTTGAAAGCGCACGCACGGGTCAGGATGCCCGGCCTCCTCGCGGACATGGCATGGCTCATGGCACCTCGAATCGTCGATTGCTGTGGTCGTCCGAAACGACACAAACTTTTAATGACTATCTGGACTGAACTCAGGTATCTTCCTCACGTGCCGAGCTCTACAGGCCCCGCATATCGTCGAATCTCGAGACACTGGTACATTTGCTCAAAGTTTGAGGCGTATCTCGGCAGACAAATTGACTTATTAAGGTGAGCAGGGCCCCTGATATCCAAGGCCATCAGGCATTAACTATCAGGTGACTCATGTTTTGCAGGTCCCGCGCTCCGAGCATCTCGCAGCCGCATCATTGATCCGCTTCGTCAAGGTCGCAACCGAACACTGCGAACAGTGAGGCAGCTTGCTGAAGCTGTCCGATTCATCATCAAGACGCCGCCTCGTCTCCACAGCTATGCCTCCACTACCAAGTCAGAAAGGCACTGGCAAGAAGGGTCGTGATGCTCGTCAAAGCCGCAGTCGTAACTCTACCCCAATCTTGGGCGGCACCGCCGTTACCAGCTCCATTTCTCAATCCGAAATTGGCGAAACCTCTCTCCTCGAACTCCCCAGAAGCGCTTTCCCCATATGCGAAGAGGTCTTGGGTTCTGATATAGGCCCTGCAATCCCAAGTTCCAGGGATCTGGAGGCGATATCCGACAAACTTCAAAAACTCGTGCACGCAATCGAGACGCGCGGTTCTACATCAGATCGTGGCATGAGGCTGCTTGCGCTCATGAAAAAGGAGCGATTGCAGGAAGATCAGCAAGAACGTCGGGATGAGGAGCGTAAGGAGAGGCAAAAACGGGATGCGGCCGACGAAGAGGAACGAGGGAGACACAAGGCCGCCAAGGTGAAGAAACGGAAAGAGATGAGTACATCAAGGGAAGAACGACCGCTCACTCACGGCGCGCATGGATTAGCTCCTCAAGATGGATCAAATTTGGGTCAGTACATATACATTGCGGGAGGGCTTGCGCTCGCCTATTCCTATCTAAATCTGCCCCATTGTTTGTGCGGCATTTCCTTAAAACAAAGGCTCTCAATCTGACATGGTTCGTTTGCAGAACGATTCTCTCCCAGCCCTTCTGCTAGGAAGGCTTCGCGTCGATTGTCCGGCGACAATGATTCGGCAAGTTCCTCGTTATCTCCTGTTGCGCCAGCGACACCCACTGCCACGGGAATGGAATTGGATGAGAAAGACGAGGCACTCGACGATGACTCGAGTGCTGATGAACACCAACCGCTTCCCGCGCCCGCCATTCCCCATCTACAGACCTTTGGCCATGATCCTTCTACGTTCCCGGATCCCACCGTGTATGATATCAGGATCGTCACCGACGACATGGATGAAGAGACGAAGAAGGAGATATACTCGGTATCTACATATCCCAAATCCAATCTGGAGGATCTAATCCCTGGATCTCCGCCGGACAAAGATTTTAGTAACGCCAAACCTACGAATCAAGTCCAAGCGAATACTTTTGCGACATACATTGAGCCGTATTTTCGCGCATACACGGAAGAAGATCTCGCTTTCCTCCGCGAGAGAGCGGATCGATACAACTCGATGCAGATGCCGTCTAGAGGAGCAGAGCATTATACCGATAAGTGGGCGAGGGAGGACGCTGGGAACATGATGATCGATCCGCGGCATAATCGCGATACCTTACCAGCAAACAGAGCTCGCGGTGATTTTGAAAGTATAGACGATGTGTCAGCAGAGACGGACTCCATTTCAGCTGGGCCGCTTCTTTCAAGGCTTTTAGCAGTGCTACGTCCTGAACACAGGGCTCCAGCCGCAGAAGAGAAGCCAACCGTCAATGGGCTAACCAACGGCGAGGCCAATGTCAACGGCGAGTCGAACGGGGACTTTGGTGATATTATGCAATCTTCAAGCGACGTCCCAGCGCCTATGCCTGCAGCTACATACATGACGGAATCGTCCTCTGAATCCTGGAAGAAAACCGTGCATCCCAAGTTGGATCATTCACAGGTCGACGAAAGGATCAAGCAAGAGCTACGGCACATTGGTATACTTTCGCCTGAAATCGAGCCTGAATACGATCATCACGAGGATGATGAGATTGCGGTCCGTCTTCGGTCTTTACAAGCCGAACTGAGGCAGCAGGCAGTGATGAATGGGGCGCGAAAAGCTCGCCTGCAGGAATTGGTCAAAGAGAGAATGGCTCATCAGGAGTACACCACTATTCTTGAGGATCTTGACGGCCAAGTACAAACAGCATATCTCAAACGGACACGTACTATGGGCAAGAACAAAAAGACCAAGAGGCCAGGCGGTGCTGGTGGTGGTAGTCACTTTGTTGGCAGTGGTGGAGCGAATGGAATGGCCCGACCTGGAATTGGTGATTTAACCAAGACGGTTATGGAGAGAAGAAAGAAATGGATTGAAGGTGTCGGTCCCGTGTTTGACGATGAGCGGAGCACAGTCAAAGTTCCCAGGGCCTCGAATCCTGGGAGCTCTATCATGAAACCGGAGGATATGGCCGAATACATCAAGAGGGAAAAGGAGAGCTGGGAAGAAGACGCCGAAGACGATTAAGCAGATACGATTCTTTTTGATCTGTCTGCGTGTGAAATATACAGGCTTTGGTTGTATCAGCAGCTGGAGCGTTAACGTCCCTGAATGAAACGCTCAGGTTCGCAGACTTCTGCAGCCCACGGCTTGAGAAGTCTTGGTTATATCACTAATGGCACGCCATCCTTCCCCTAATTATGGCCGCTAACGCTTGCGGCTGGTATGCCTGGAGCAGAAGATCTAGCCGTTCGATCGACAGTGAAGACTAGACTATGAAGGAAAATTGTTGCTTAAGGTCTTAGCGATGATCTTGTTTATCACTAGCCTCATAGCTGCTTGAAAGTCCTTATATCAGGCGTGTCTTTTTCCTTGGCTGGCTTTCCACCTGGCCCTTCGTAGTCTTTACTCTCTGGATATTAGAACAAAGCTGCGCCGCCATTCACTACTAGTGTCACATGTGAAACTTGAGAATTAGCATATTCATCTGGTATAGTGGCCACTAGCTCGGTTGCGTTGTAGAAGGTCGCTACCTAGATAAATATGGATGGCTGAACAAATCGGAGACGATCGAATTTAACCTTTTCAAACTCGATGTTGCAGATAAAGGGAGCATTTGTGCAGTGTTGCTCAATATCGCGGCCCGAGCCTAGGTCGGGTTGGTCACTCTGCCATCTTTGGCGTAAGTGAGAAGAGTCTTGAAGTGGAGATACGTTTCCCATTTCAGCAGAGGAACAAAGAACAGGGACGCAGATTCTTACAAATCTTGCAGCCGCCATTCTATATTACATTAGATGGGGCAAATACGGTGGGCCCTCGCCGGATGGCTGTAGTTGCGTCTGTAAAACCGGTGTTTTGAATCTTAGAATCTGGGTGTATAATTCACCTCGAGACACAGCAACGAACTCTCGGATGCTGGCATATGAAAAATGGAAGAGGCGTGTTTAGGCTTACTTTGCAGCATTTTGAACCCTATAGTATACGAATTCCTTTTCTTAGACGCAAGCTGTAGATGCCTTTGACCTATGATGGTGAAAAGTCTCGAGGCTTGAACTTGTTCTTTATTCGGCGGCGTTGTTAGTCCTAAGAAGTAAGTAATCAAGTCGTAAGAAGTAAGTACCTAGGTAATCAAGTCGAGTACCTCACGAAGGGCAAAGGAGGTGTAGGAACCTCCCGGACATTCTTCTGGCTAATATTTTAATCAAGAGTGAAAGGTGAAGACTTACAGTTATCGAATTGTTTTAAACAAAATTTAAAGGTGTCGTCGTATGTCGACGAAGCATGCCCTGCTTCCGGTGTTTGCTTTTTCACTGCGAAGGTTGATGTTCACTGGGAATGACCCCACCCCGCGCATGGACCCTACGCCTTGCGTATGTCTTTCCTGGACCAGCAACCTGAACCCTACTACCACCTAGCACCATCCAATATCCATCGCGTGCAAGATTCCCGGATCTCGCCCTCACATTTTGAGGAAGGCAACCGCCAAGATGTCAACATTCGGAGGTCTGATGGCAGAGTTTCCGGACGTACGGTAAGCAGGCCTGGCGAAGTGAGACGCCGCAAACGCTAAGGTGCTGATTGTTCGCTCTATGGAACAGAGTTGATCAGTTCCGTCCGATCCCAGGAGAGCGGCCTCCTTTGGCTTGCTTCCTGTCACATATCCACAAAGATCATCTTGGGGGTCTTGAAAACCTCAAAGCGCCATTGTGTGTCATTCTCCACCGTCTTGGTATTTCCGCTTTAAAACTAATTATCTTGCTATAGCGTCTATTGCTCCCCCGCCACCAAGGAAATTTTGATCCGATTAGAAACGCGGGCCAACCGAAGGAATTTTGCGAAAGGTGTCCTAGAGGCAAGGGTACAGGACTACAAGCATCTAACTAAGCTTCTAGTGAGTATGACCCTACGCAATGCGGACCAATGGTGCTCATTGGTCGTTAGAAGCCAATTCCATTAAGGACACCCACTCGAATCGAACTCGCGCCCGGAAACGACATTCAAGTAACGTTGTTTGATGCTAATCACTGCGTTGGTGCAGTTATGTTCCGTAGGTTGTGTTCTATGAAAAGCTGTTGCTGCTGATGAGACTAGTCTTCGAACGCAATGACAGTGCGGTATTGTATACCGGTGACATCCGCTCAGAGCCTTGGTTCGTAAGCAGCCTAGCCCATGACCCTTTCTTGATTGAATATACCTCGGGCCAAAAGACCCTTGGTTGCGTGTATCTGGATACTAGTAATCTAGACCCCATTATATTTCCAACGAAGGCCGAAGGGCTTGCTGAATTGCTGCAAAAAGTGAAGCAGTATCCAGACAATACTGTATTTCATTTTGCTGCCTGGACGTTTGGCTACGAAGATGTTTGGATTGCACTGGCTCGTAGCCTGCGCTCGCAAGTCTGATCTTGGCACCCATCCACGGCAGCAATATCACTGACGGGCGGCCAGATCCACGTTGACGACTACAAATTGCGTCTTTACAAGTCTCTGAGAGGGGCCAAAACCGCAACGGACCCCTCGGTATCCTTCGTTTCACACGAAGGCCCAATACTCGCAGGATACAAGTACGCTAACAACCTCCCTCAAGAAGGTTATCTCACAACCTGCTCCGATGTTCGGATTCATAGCTGCGAGAAAGGTACAGACTGCGCCGCCATGACCGAAGATGTTGTCTTTATCCGACCCATCATCACAAGAACCAGGTCAGGTATCGAGATTGCCGAGCCAGGTATTGGTGATGATTGGCATGGTAGTACGGCTCCAGAGCTTGACCTTAACTGGAGTGATATTCTCGACTCGCTTCTGCAATCGTATGTTTGTATTATACAAACATTCAAGCCGCTAACTGCTGACACGTTTGAAGAAACAAAATTAAGGATGCGGCCATGATTACGGATCTCAAAGAGTTGCTTTGTGCGAGACAGACCGCGCCGGGAGGTACACTCTCTTTGAATGAAATCTCGGTTCACTTGCAGAAGATGAAACTCCCCTTGGAGGATCTAGTCAAAGCCATTGCCGTGTCACTGGAAGGAAAGCGCAAGAACAGTGTTCTGGATAGCCCCAAAACCAACGCTCCAGGTGGTCTTAGCTCAAGGCAGCTGCCCAGGACCATAACATTTCCATACTCTCGGCATTCGTCCCTGGAGGAACTCCAAGATCTGGTCAGGATCTTCAAACCAAGGGATATTTACCCGTGTACGGTTGATGAGAATAAATGGAATGAAAGTTTGTCACACCCCACAAACGTCACATGAAATACTACTTGCTCACAATTCTCGAACAGGGATCAGTATGCGGACTCTCTTCGGTAACTCTTGCTCTGCGAGCTGCTTTCGTCACGATGATGAGATACGAGCCCATATTTTGGAACGAGATGACCAGTATTTCGCCGAACAGACACCAGCCATAGATAGCCAGAGATCAACCCAGAAAACATCAGATCTTATATCGTCCCCTATAGCAGGCCCTGCTTCAATGGACCAGCTATCACCAGCTCGGGTTAGCAGTGACATTATTGCCCTCCTTGAGATGACTAATTTAGGCCAGAACGTAAAAGTTTTGGCCAAGGTCCGTCAACAACACACAGCAAAAGCAGACGAGTTGGAAAGTGAGAAGTTCAATGAAAAAGCCTCTGAATTGCGGTCTCACTCTTCACCCAAATCTTCACCAAACTTAGTGGATTTATCCGCCACCAACCTGGGATCAGCGACCCAACGTATTCGCCGAAAAGCCGTACAGGAGCCAGATCGAACATTTCAGAAGCGACCGCGACTTGGAGATACCACGTCGGATGTCTTTTCACTTTGTTATGAAGCAATGACCGCTACTATTATGGCACCATCTAAACTCGATTTTCAATGTATACCCAAAAATGATGGTTCAAATCCCGCCGATTGTAGCAGCAGTCAAAGTTGTACCAGCAGTGGGTCATCCAAGCCCTCACAAGACCTTGATGAAGAATTGAGTGATCTTCCACTTGTGTTTAGGGACTCTTCAGACTCAGTTGTGAGGTGTATTCTTTGTGGTCATGAAGTTTGGACTGAGTGGATGGGATTCTGTACTGCTTGCGAATTAGGACAAAACTCTATTCCATATTGGGAAGTTCTAGATCCCAATGCTGGACCTCGACCGGTCTTCGAGCTACTTGGTAACGATGAGAATGGTGGCCGTATTCCGTCGGAGGTAGATGATATTTGCGCCCCATACTTGGACTGCTGCTCATCTGCGTATGATTCTCAGGACGACGACTCACAGTTCGGGGAACAATACGAGGTCAACAGTTTCATCGACGACGAGCCGCAAAACTTTTCGCTGGAAACGAGCGGTAGCGAGGCAGGCATCAACCATGAAACCAGTGTCTCAGAAGTCAGTGGCAGCGATATCCGCCAGAGCTACGCTTGGGAGGACGTTACTCTTGTTTCAACCCAGAACAACCACACCGAGGCTGAAATCGAGTTGTAGTTGGTACTAGTATTCACTCGAAGACTATAGTGAGCAAGGCTTTACCAAAGTATATCTACTTTGCCCCTCGCGACCAAAATGAGTCTGGTTAGAAGATGATGCTCTACCTTATCACCTGATATACCGTTATAATATGTAATAATAAGGGGGGAAATCAGATCTTTAAGTCAGAAAGTATTGAATCTGCTTCAGTAAGTTACCACTAACTTAAACTTCGCCCTCCCTTTTATTGACGAGTTGAAGGATATCGCCAAAATTCTACACCACGGATTACTCAGAGGAATCTGACGTAGGCTTTATACCCGAAAGTATGGATGGAAACTCAACGGCTTGTTCGTCTGCTAATAGTCTCCGCTTTCATTGCGAGCTATTCAGCGCGTTTTTATTTTGTTGGTATAACAGCTAATTCCCATTGATTTGACGAGTGAAGAACTCCAGAGGGACTTTATCTGAGCCATTCATACGATCCTTGGCTTGGAGGAGACACGAGAATTGTCTAGCTGTCCCGTGAATGCTAATCGGCAATCTACTGTTAATAGTAGCAGACTTCAGAGGTTGGACAAGCACACTGACCGTCATTTCGTTTATTAACCAATGTTTACTTCTATTGCCACCCTCTCGACCATCGATACCATGTTGTTTCACCTTGTTGAAAGCTACAATAAACTGACAGCTAGGCAACGAAAACTTGTGCTTCAATTCGCCACGATAACATGAAGTGATCACATAATGCCGAGAGGGATGTCTCTCTTCAAATTGTGACGTATGTCGGTGGCGGTCACAGGAAGCGTCCGAAGTTGGCGTGACTCGAAACGCATAGACAGGTCTAATGAATTCTTTCTACTAGTAGCAGTAAATTGATACTTTGGACCTGTGTTTGAGAATGACGGCAAGTACGATAGAGTGCCAGACCAAAGGTCTATTTAAAGCGATGCACTCACAGTGAAGCTCATATAGCAGGGCTGGGAAATACGAGAGACGTCAGAATAAAGTAGCGGGGCCGGAGCACGACGATATCGCAAATGCAAGTCTACTTTAGGATATCCTTGCGGCTCAGTCTTCGTCATGTAGATGGCCCCAACTTGGTGCTGACCACTGTAAATGAGTGGACCGCCGTTGGGCCAGACCTCCAAACCACACCCTACCAGCTCAGTATTCATTTAGCATATCCGGTGAAACTGCGAGTCTGGGCTTGGAACTTGTTCGAGTGCAAATTTTTCAGATGAAGATTTTTCAGGCTTGATTCCACTGCTTGTGTATGCTGCGTGATAAAATTCACAAAACCTGCCAATTGTCTCCAGCCAAGTTAAATCTAGCCTAGCCGGTATCCTCCCCGAAGGATACATGGCCCTAGAAGAGCACAATAGATAAACGAATAGTTACCGGCAAATAATATTTCGAAGTGGTTATACCTACGTGCTAGTGGTCATCCAGGTTTACCAGGAAGTGTTATGATGGATTCGTCTTGCGAATGCACTTCAATGCCTGTGATGCTTTGATTGTTATGAAGTCACAGAAATTTCAGACACATCAGATTTGTTAGATTAATATGTTATTCTGGAAACGGGACAGGTCGACGAGAAATTCACGATGCTCTGTCGAATGTCAAAAGCAGAAAAGGGTTCCTTAACCAAGCCCCAAATTAGGTGTACCAATCCATTTTTAGCCACGTCCCCAGTCCATCGAAGATCTGGTGCATATGTACGGTACAGGCATAGAGTGTGCATGTACCGATTCATATACCGATTCATCTAATAGCCCGACTGACATCCTTAATCCTTTTTTATCTTCCGATGTGTCGAGGCTCGTTTACTTTGGCTTCTGAAGCAATGGTCAGTCTCTTTCGGGCATCAAATATTAAGGTCCATGCAGTGAATTCTTTTCCCTGAGCGCGACAGGTACTACACATGGAATACTGCATTTGAGCCCTGGTAGCACTATACTAAAAGCTGGCTTTACCTGCCAATTCAGGAGCCTTCCTCCGTAGCACTTGTCTTCTGGGACCCCCGTTATTTTCGAGCATCTCCATAATTTGTTGGGGGTTTTCAATTACTTTCAAACTTTGTTGTAAACAGGTGCGTCCCGTGTTTATTATTACGTAAATTATTTACTTTAGCTAAACTCTTGACCTTCCATAGTTTTCCCTTGTCTCTAGCATTACTGCAACTGATTATTACTCCAGACAATACAGTAATCACTCATCTCTCGCGGTTTGAAGTGGCCGAAGATGGGGGAGATTAATTCCATGCACTTAGGGGGGAGCATATCTCACTCCTAACTTAAGCGAGAAATATTAGCACAACAAGTTTAGGATCGGATACATTTTTATTTTAACGCTTTAAGCGGCAGCGTCACACATTTTTGCACACTGTCTGAGACAACAAGAGTATAATATTGAGATACACCCCAAGTCACGATATGTGTTTCATGTGGAAGGTTCCAGTTTGTGAAGTCGATATCCTAGAAATGAGCGTCATCGTTACGTTCACAGCTTGCTTCATCCATGATGTTTGCACGATATCCAGGTACTTCCGAAGATGGACACGCGCATGGTCTAATTCCATGTAGGCATGTACTGTACATGTGTGTGGATGGCATCACCTAGGCAGTGGCGCCTGAGAGACACCGGGGTAGGGCCAAGAAGGTTGACACACATCGCAATTTGCAGGGGGCGTAATACTAACGGGCATTTGCACGTGCTTCGTAGGATTCCTTTTTGTTTTATCCCAACAGGTACCTAGGTAGATATTGGTTGATTGATATCATGGATCTATGTCGTCTTCTGGGAGTCTTCCATTTGCCGATCTCCAAAGGATACCTAAAGACACAGCAATTTCATGATGATATATAGATATCGTTTTAGAACCCCTCGTATTTCGAATTTATGGCGTTGCGATCATCGCCGATTGATGTGGCTGTTGCTTATGGCGTTTGACCGTCGGAGTACGTGGGCCGGTGGGCGACAGTTGGTTTACATGGATTTGGCTCGATGTTACCCTTTTGGATCTTAGACAAGAATCAAAAGCAGACAAAAGCCTTAAGGTGATTAAAAATGAGCCGACGTTTGGAGCTGAGGGTGTTTAAACGAAGGCTAGCTATAGTGGAAGGTATTATATTGACACTCGATAAAAAGAATGAGAACAAATCAAACGAGGTGGAGATGGATCATCATATCTCTAGTGCCCAGGTGGTTTTGAACTGGATCGCATAGGAAAGAAAAATCACCATTATAGCCGGGTCCTCCCGAATGGCCTGGAGGAGCGTCCCGAATCCCTTCAGGCTATAATGTTCTCCACCAAATCGTCCGTTGATATCTGTCGATTCCAGTAAATTCGAGCTATCATATCTGTAGACCCAATTACAGGAGGTTTTACAGGCTGAGGCCGGTAAGTGTGACGAATGTTCATGCTAGTTGGTGATTGACATATTGTGGTGTTATCATTTTGGCGGTGGCACTGAATACAGCATCGGCAAAATCGTCGCGCACCTCGCTTAGCAATAATATGTCTACATATGGCTCTACCCTGCGAGCACTGAGTGTGCAACGGTGGCCACCTGCAGGTCAAGCAGTGTCATGCACGGCATGAGGCGAGCCCGCAGTAGCTTGATGTGGGGATGTCCAGGTTTGAGTCTGCATGTGAGAAATACTCCATTGAGTTTAAAGTGTGGAAACAATTTCCGGTTCACCACGAAACTCCTAGTGGTCCATGATATTTACTCGCCTAGGCCTCGACGCTTCCTAAGATCGAGGGATTACCAAAATTTCGATCATGGCGGTTGGTAAAGTTCAGCTCCCGAGTATCGGCGTTGAAAGAGAGTTTAGAGCCTGCCACTTGCGGAGAGGTAGAGCCCAAGCTGATATGGAAATGTTGATAGAAAAGCACTCTAACAGCAGATCAAAAGATCATGACCTAATCTATTACAAGCATCTATCGAGCTTTTCACTCTTCTATCGAGTCGCCCTAAACAACAGGGCTACGAAAGCACGAACATCTAGCCTCAACCGCCATTTTTTGTGAAAGAAAGAAGGCAATCTTTTATCTGCGCCCCTGAAAATTATATCCTTAAATTCCCGGAATCATTTTAGGTGGCAGACCCGAGTCGCATAGAAACAAAAAATCCTTATTACAGCACAGCCTGGACCGTCCCCAACGAGGTTGGCCAGGAGATGACACTCCTGGAGACCCATTTATTGAGAAAACGAACCATGGCGCCAAGTACTAAAAATGCAAACAGGTGATCAGAAAACAAAGCAGATGCCTTCAGGAGTTATGCTGCACTAGCGTCCTTAGGCTTCTGGGTTGCCAGCTCCGAGATAGAGCTCGAACAAGAATCATTAGAGTCATTAAGGTCGTAAGAATCATCAGATGTGGAGTCCAAGCCACCCTCTGATGGAAGAGAATCGTCGTCACTGTAAGAATATCCGTCGGTATCCGAGTCGGAGAGCTTCTCACTTGCGAAGGATTTGTCGTCATTATATCGAACCAAACCTGGATGGCTTGCAGGGGGTGAAGTGACACTCTCGCTTCGACGAGCTCTTGGACTCATGCGATGGTTGTCATTGGTGTCACCATCAGCGCGACTCCCCCAAGAAGTCTTGATGAGGTCAGCCATGATAACTTCGACTAGAATTAGGACAACTTACTTGACGGAGCGTTAACAAGGCATAAAGTTTGATGAACCCGTGGAAGTAGCCAAAGAAGATCGAAAAGGGTAGGTAGAATATGTCGGAAGGATTACGCACAAACAAACCAATCAACTTGACGACTTTGCTCAGAGACATCCAGAGAATCTGGGCAAGAAACGCATATTTCTGGTGCTCTGGCGACCAGCCTGATGTGGCTTTGAAAACGAGATATAGAATCAGGGGATCGAACGCAAAGGACAGCGAGGTGAAGGTGGCCAAGTGGAGAGCGTAAGTCGACCATCTTTGCTGTCTTGAGGGTGGTCAGTCGAAAGTCGAACAGTGGCAACAAAGGGTACTTACTTCCAAATATGTCTTTCTGTGACCATACTAGTGTAATTACTTCTCCAGTTACTCCGAGCCCATCGAGAACACTGATACAAAAACTTGATGTTGTTTTCCAGGGTTGTCTCTATTTCACAATCCTTATTGTACTGAATCCATGTTTTCCACTGATTAGAAACCAGCCAACGCGTAACAAAATTGTCGTCGTCAGCATTCAACTGAAACTGCCCCCATCTCTCGGTCTTGAAGCCATCCAGGAATAATGGACTCTGCAAGATCTCGGAACGGAATGCACACGTGCGACCAGACATGCAGGAAGTGCCGCCATCGATGCCATGCGTGGCTGATATTTCAAAGTTGCGCCGTTCGATGTAGGCCGCCCCCAACCAGTTGAATATATACTCGGTAAAACTGGCCCTTCCAAGGCGCTTTACCCTTTGACAAGGACCAACGCCGCCAATACTGGAGTCTTCAAATGGGGCAAGGAGCCACGGTAAGATTGTTCTGGGCCACGTGACATCGTCGTCTGCCATGATGATCAGAGAGGTCTTCACCCGGGGAATTGCTTCGCAGACTTGGATGCGCTTGTTTGCTATTGGCACATGATACACTCTGATGTTTGAAGCTTCCAAGGACTTGACAAATTCCAGGAGGCGTTGATACTTGTCAGAAGTGGTAACGAGGAGGAGTTCGCTAGGATGACAAGCCAGAATGCTTTGCAGAGACTCTCTCAGCTCTTCAAAGTTGTTATGAATAGTCGGAATGATGACAGTGATATCGCTGGCAGTGTAGGATGGGTTCGATGGAATTGGGACGGATCGATAGAGCCAATGGCTGATGGTATTTCCAATGAACCGCAGATAGCGATGAAGCCTACTCAGCAAAAGATTAGCATGGAACATACCGTTTAGTTGGCACAAGAATGGTCCAGGGCTGGGAAGATGATCGTCAGAAGTCATCACCCCGTCCCAGAAGCCATAGAATAAAAAGCTAGTACGTACCAAAGTATCCAAAAGGTCCATTGCCAAGTTGTAAGAAGTTGAAAGATCGACATGGTCTTTTGTTTTTGCCCAAAGGAGCAAGTTTTGCAGCAATTGTAGTTTCTTAGTTGGTTCGTTCACCAGGCTGGCAGTCCTCTGTCGTCGTTAATGTGTTTTGCGTCTGGTCGATGTCTGCAGAAGCTTTTGAGGGTTTTCGAAAATGCTAAACCGGCTTAAAATGCTCAATCTCGAAAGTGAATGCGTGCTGGGTGTTTCTGACGAAGGTATAGTTGGTCCTCAATCATGTGATCTGTGTCCCAAGCCTCCGCGGCTCTTGTAGCTCACTCGAGGCTTTTGCTTCTGCAGTGCTGCACGCCCCAGCAACAACCCAAAAAATCCTGTGTTGGCGGAAGCGATTACTGCAAGACTGCGAAGACAACCAGTTTCCGTGGTTTTGGCAGCTATTTTGTGTCGTCGTGAGGTTCCCTTCCCTTTGAGCACCAATATCGATGTTTTGCTGCTAGTTGCGGGAGTGACAGACTGCGAGCGTCGAATGTGCTTTTTTTTCCCGAACTTCTCTGCAGATAGGTCCGAATGGGGTTGCAATTGGTGACGATGTGTATCTTCACTGGAGCCAGCCGTGAAACTTCCCAAAGTCCCCGATCACTCTCCAATGTAACGCTGTGCGGTGTCCAGAAGCAATCTGCTTGAGGCTGCTATTGGGACAAGTACCAATTGCCGGCTGTCGGGCTCGCAGGTCGCAGATGGTGATGTGAAGACAACGAACGACTGAGAGGAAAGATCACCGAACGACTGCCAATTTCCATAACCCTGACTCAATTGATAAATATACAGCACCGCAGGGTGGGAGGAGAAACACCTAGAGGAGAGGATATCGAGATGTCATGCCGTTGGTTTGCGGAGCTCTCTCTGTTCGAGAGCAGGAGGAAGCAGCTGGATTGTACGGGCCCGCTCGAGGACTATATAGTCCAGTTCAGCCACGAGCAGAGGCAGAAGCTCCAGGACTAGCCGTGGAGGAGCAATCATCTAGAATTCGGACGCGAACCCGATCAGTCATTTTCTGTTGGTCGTTCGTTGACTTGATCAGATCGAGCTCCAGGGAAGCTTCGCCAGGGTTGGAGGTGGAGGTGGATTGCAAATAAGTGGACACAGGACGCTTTTCCGCACAGGCATTGGGGCAGACAGGCAAAGCGCGCGAACGACTCTTCATCGTTGAAGGATGATGCTAAGATGCTGGAGCGTAGCCACTTTTCCCGCCTGGAGAGACAATAAAAGTGTCCAGCATTTTCTGGCAGACGGCGCCAGGCTTCATTAGGGCCGCTTAGCATGGGAGGGGCGATATCAGAATGCAGCAGAATGCGTCGAACGCGCGCAATGGCACGTCAACGAGCGGTGCCAGGTGCCAGGTGCCAGACCTGTACGAGACCGGTGCCAGTCTGCCAGTCTGCCAGATCGTGGAGGATCCTCTCGTCCCGGTTCCGGCAGTGGAAGCTACTTCCCCGTCCTGCTGCTGCCATCGTCGTCGTCTGGAAAGAGGGTGGAAGGTGGTCGGTGGCAGGTGGGAGGCGCAAGGTGGAAGACCAGGTGGAGACTGGCGAGTGCAAAGTGGAAAGAGCGCTGTCGGTCGTGGTGCGCTGCTCATGCTAAGTGTCTGCATGCTGCCCGTCCCCGTCCTGCCTGCTGCTGCGAAAGGCCACAGACAGACAGCCTGAATGGCGCGAAGGGTCGCTTTGGTGGACCCTGGCCTGCTCCCTCTCTCTCCACCAGGAGCCCACCTGGCGCAATTCGCTTTCTTGCGCAACCACCGCGACCAGGGCCCTTCACGCTGCTGCAGACCGGGGCCAGCAGCACAGGGGCAGTCGACCAAGATGAGAGGGGAGCGCGGAGGGGTCGACGAAGAGAGAGCAACGAGAGCAGTCAAGGGTGTTCGGTTGATGCATCGGGACGAATCTGGACATTTTAGGTCGTCCAAAGGCCGTAGCTCGGAACTTCACGCTTTCTGCAGCACTTTTCCGGCCATGGCAGCGTTCTGGCGTGTGTAGAGGCGAAGAGACGAAGTGGAGGACTAAGACAATTCATGGCAAGCCAACGAACAGCGTCACGAAGCATTCAGCGCCATGTTATGGCGAGACGGGAGGAAGCCAGAGACCAGAGCTCCGAACGAGCAGCCCGGCCATGATTCAAATATATACTCGCCAGATTTCGGTCCCTTCTGTACAAGTAGCATCACCGCCTGGCGAGAAGACCGATTGGGGATACATACCGATCCTGCGCTCGAGCCGAATGCTCAGAAACGGGCACGTCGTGTGTGGGGTGCGGAAGCAGTGATCTGACCGAGGCAGGTCTCTTCCGTTTGTCACTCTTTTCTATGCAAGCTAATAAATCGGCCAGATCCAGTCGATGCTGTGCAGTTGCTAAATGGAATGGGGATTGGATCCTAATCATAATGCAGGGTTGGCAATGAAAAACGCGAGGGTGGAAGCAAAAGTATCTGGATCAGGATTATTATTGTGGCCCACGCAGCAATGTGACGGCCAGAGCTGGTAAGCACTACCGCTAGATATCTTTTTTAGATTACAGTACTCAACATGAGTATGACATCCATAGACTTCCCTCTATGATCTCCAATCTCCCATCTCGACACAGCACAGGAGAAAATAATACACAACGGGCGAAGCTTACAATCGGCGGCTGCCGAATATTTCCAAGGGGCCTGGGAGGGGAAGAGCTAGATCGTCCAATGGAGCTGGCGACTGGTGACTACTGGTTTTGTCCTACGGGTACGATTGCTCGTAATGACTAGGGCAATAATGTCATGTCGATGGCGATGATTCTGTCTCGAGGTCTCGCGCGGGTCTCTTTTTCTTAGCGATGTGACCTTTGCACAGACAGTGGCGCTTGGTCGTGCTTTTCCCCTCTCGCATCCATGATCCATCAAGCTTCAGCATGGTACCTCTCGCGAGCCTCCGTACCGCACAGCACAGTACGATGCACGAGCACAAGCACAGTACCCGCGGCTACTCTATTAATGCTGGCTGTTCAATGTTCATAGCTAATCTTCTTCGAATTAGACTACAGGTAGATCGGAGCAATCCTTCCCCCATTATTGGCATCAATGGTCTCTCTTGCAGCTGGCTGAATTTTTATGACTCTCCTCCCTCCTGGTGTGAGTCGTGTATCTACCACCCCATAAGAGCACAACAAAGAGCCGCAGGAATAAGGAAAATTTTACATCACCCAGGCAGGCTGTGTACGTAGTCTCGAGCTCTGCAATGAATGCGTTCTACCCCCTGTCTGCATGTATATTTTCAGGTCCAAGAGAGGAACAGGAAAGATTGCCTGTTGCAGTCAAATAATTCTCATCCCACAATTTTCGAGTTTAACGCGGCAAGATGACGCGAATTCAATTATTCGGGGCCGCATCGCAACAGTAGCGGGAACCCAAGCTACATCAAGCGTATTTCAAACAATATCATTGGGCTTGAGATGTTATTCTCCGAGCGGTAAGCGGAATGAATGTCTTTGCAACTCCGGAGACGCTTGACATGTTTTATATCACCTTGTACTTGTACTTAGTATTCCTATGGTTCAAGGCGATCATGTTGGCCTTTTGCTTCGAATCGCTGGGTCCCTTGGGCAAGACTCGACTCTTATTCGAGGATCGGAAGGTCCGATGCAGTCGAGTTCAAAGGTGTCTACGGATGTAGAGTGCATTAACAATTTCGACACTGGCTTGAACCATGATGGTATGAATAGACAGCCCTGGAAACACATAAAGTTGCCTCGCCAACCGGCCGATGGTGACATTCTCACATCGTCGAGGTCGGATGAAAGTAACGCATCGCTATGGGCAAAAGCTACGCCATCAGGTTCCGTCCTGATTCTGTCGCCATTTGGATGTTCAAACTATAGCGAGTGGTCTGGGTAAATTGGCACATTGCTTGGTTCGGGGTAGATGTTCTCCAGAACACTCCATGGCCGCCGTCAAATATCGGTACGGATGCAAAGGTCTCGTTCCCCTACGACGATTTTGCTGGGGGCTGTTCGCGACCATGTTGTCGACGTATGAACCTCATTCACCCGATGAATCCGGACATGGTCTGGCAATAAATACCGACTCGGTTGTTGAACAAACGACGTACGAAAGGCACATTGTGTAAACAAAACTGTGAATAATCGCCCAAGGCCTACAGCCGCGCAGCCGCCAGTGGAAGGTGGTGGCGCAATGGTGGGACGATGGGACGATGGGACGACAGAGTTTGAGGCTACAGTACGGAGGATCGCTTATCTCGAAGACCATCAGCGGGATTCTGGAGGGGTGAGACCCTTATCTTGTCTGCTTTGGTGTGCTACGAGACTGTGCTGTAGCATCCCGAGCATCCTAGGCGATGTTGGGAAACTCCGGGGGCTGGATTCCTCGAGCATTATTGGGGTGGGCCGTCCCTTCTTACGAGCTGCCCGTAATGGAACACAGCCAGGGGCCTTCTGTCATTATTTGACGATCCGATCTGTGCGGAATACTGAGCAACTGAGAAGTACGGAGTAAAATTCTGTTGAGCACTTGCGGGTCAAGATATCTCAGGATCGGTCACTGTGCAGCATGGCCTCGAGGTAGAAATAAAGAATGATACAGTACATGTTGCACTATCCCTCCCGCCGGAGACTACACTAGTATCCCAGTCCAGCCATGCATAGCAGCGAGTAATGCATCCGCAGTAGCAAGCATGCTACAGTAGGAGTACAGTACGAGTACTACGGAGTACAAGCACGAGCCGAGCCAAGTATCATACAGTACGAATATAAGCTACAAATAAGCGTCAGTACACCTGTGTCTGGACTCTGGACCCGCCGGAATCTTTCTGCATGTTGCAATTTTTTACCTTCGTGATGATGACATTGCTTTTCCATCTGTGGCCTGGGTGGTGAAAAGGCATGAGGGACATATGACCGGGAGAAAACGCTCGCTTGTAGTGTTATAGGACAACCCTCCCCTTAAGACCTTTCGAAAGCTCGTTAACAATAAAGAACAACAGGCTCATATCCTCTTGAAGTCGCCTATAACCGCTCAAGCGCGACTAACATGGAGAACATCGGCGCAGCAACGTATAGCCGGCTGTATGCAAGTGGTCCATTCCAGCGAATAAGTTACAATACGAGCTATTACAAAATCGGAGCGAGCACAACAATATCAATCCGACCACTTGAGTCGGTTCGCAGCGCTTCAGTTGAGTTTGGGCCGACTCATAAAACAGAATTTCCTGCGACGACTTTGGGGCTCCTGCTAGAAGTGCTGATCTTTCTTTGTTTTCCTAACCTTTCCAGCGAGTTCGAGCGTCTTTCACGTCTCTCATGGCCTGAGATTGGGCTCAGCATTTCAGCTTCAAATGACGTGTCAAACGACGTCCAATTTCCTTTCCTGGCAGATTCTGGCATGGATGAAACGTGGTGAGCCCGAGGGGGCTTCATAGGCTCAAGAGCGCGTGTATGGGGAGAAGAGGGATGGTTCCCCGACAGTAAAAACATGGCAATTGATACCGCCGATGCCGAAGCGAGCGGGAGGTTTGATACTGTTTAGTCGTCTGCAGAGCCATTGTTTCATATCTGCTCATGTCCTTAGGATTAACCATTGCTCGTTTGTGCTCTTCAAGTTGCTACCAGACACAAGCACGATCTGGTTCCCGGTTAAGTTGAGCCCCTGTAGCCTGAACGGAGAAGGTCGCACTGAATCTAATATTCCTATCGCACTGTTTGCATGTTCATCCTTCGGCAGCCTTGCACGTCGATCAAGGTGGCGAAGGAACAGAATATGCCTACTCGTTGGACCAGGCATGAATCCGAGGCGAACATGTATCGCTGTATAAGTCGACAGTGCCATTGAAGATTGTAGCGTTAAGGAAAATCGATTATCTAAACCTCAGAGCCATGATGCAGACCACTACTAGATAGGTAGCTTGCTTAGCAAAATAACAGTGGAAATACTTCACTGGGATTAAGACCGGCAACAATGAAACTGTCAATCTCCAAGGACAATGTTCTCCAGACACTGCCATATCTACGTGTCACTTGTTCGAACAAAGGTTCATCGACCCTGCAATTTTGACGGGATGGGCATGATCTCACTCTATTTTGATTCATTTTACACAAAGGAGCACAATATCTTCATGGCAGGAAGATGAGATACTTATCGATACTCACCAGTGCATTTCGAGTCTGACAGGGCCCTTAAATTATCCAAGTTCAATGATGTTTGGAAACCTACATTTCGACACTCCTTCCCCAATAAACATATTTACTACTAGAAAAAGAGACAATATGGAATGTTCATTCAAAAGAATTGAGCGAATGGGGCTTTTGGTGAAGTTTATCGTTACCCTACTATGGGGAGATGTCCCGTCAGACTTGTCCAACACTGGTGACTGGTGAAACCAAACGTCACTTATCAAACCACTCGGAGCGTTAGCAGTGTATCTAGATTGCTACATTCACATAGAAGCTTGGGAACCTTTAGCTCTATTTACTGCCTTTCTAAGTTCCAACTTCCATTTTCGGGTCTGAACAGTGTTCATATCCTCCCATTATTCGCGCCGAAAGGACTTTATATTAGGCTAACGAGTTTTTGCTATGATTTCAGTTTGCACGAAATCCTGTTGTAGACTAGTCAATCAGCTACAGCGGAAACCCTTCTAATTGCATATTGTACTTTAGACTGATGGACACTCATCTGACCATGACTTCGGTATTGTTCATGTCACTCAATCTAGCAATTCTCTAGACTTTGTGTGCTCGTAGGTAACTTCCGGCTCAAAATCGTTTGTAAACGCTAGCAGATCTGTGTCGTCAGGTCCAGTTATTAGTAAGGGATAGATACTCAGCTCTTTCTCCATGAACATTCTAGGGCTTTGGTCGCTTGCTAGTCAAAGGAATGAGGATAGAAATGACCACTGACCGAGTTAGTATAAAGCAAACGGAGAAAAGCACGGTGGCAGCCTAACAACCCGCCAAAACAAGCCGCTTGTCTACGCATTCATGAATGTCTACGTAACTGGGCTGGTTCGAGAGAGTCTGGATTTCGAATCGATTACCCTGTATAACCACCTCCACCATTTTGCGAGCACGAACCTCCCACGCATTCGAGTGCGCAACATTCGATCAACTCTTAACATTTTAGAGTCAGTGCTGGCTGCTGCTCCAATTTTCATTAAAAACTTATCTTCTTAGTTATCTGTCTAATTTTCGCAGATATATCTTTACTGGCTACCAAGCTCGCCCTGGACAAGTAACGAACGGTTCCTGTTAGTACTCTTCTATAAACCCTCCAGAAATAAGCTAGCATTGATTGAGCATGCCAACATTTAGACTTGCATTTCAATAGCTATAGCTAAAACGATTTCCTGATATGTTTTTCATTGCCTTGGAGGTGTTGGTGGCCCATTGCTTTATAGACTGATCCCTTTAGCTATAGGTTGTTATATACTTAACGCGTACAGCCTATGATTTTTATAGGCTGTACGTCAGTGGAACAGTACAATTGTCAGATCATAGTCTTACCTGCTTTCTTCCTGCTGCGTTGTGATTTTCAGCGGAATGTGATGCGAAGTGTCCGAGAAAAGGTGGAATGCAACCACTTCATCATCTCACGCCTGTCATCACCGAAGAGAACTCTAGATAGACACCACACGAGTACGTAGTACTACAAGTTCCTTATGTTATTATTTCATATGTCCGATACCCTGGCTGGATGCAATAGAGCCTCCCATTCCTTTCTGGCACTTGACAGCGTTTTGAATTATCCAGCAGTGGAGGAATCGGGAAAGATACATAGCTCGAATTTTTCAAATAGATTACAGGAGACTAATCTCGACCATGCCGATGTATTGTAACATCGAGTCGAAATATTGCGTTGAGCAGATATCATAAAGATACACCTGAACCCAACCTTCGGCGTTCGAAGCAGACCACTCAACAGTATCTACTACACAGGTGGATTTCCATTGGGTCAAAGCCAAAGCCGGCAAAAGGTGTATTAGCTGCATTGAAATACCCATCAAGGCCCGCACAAAACTGTCGAAATATGTGAAGTACACTCACAGAACTACTCAAACAGATACGTCAAGACGATTTGCTGCTGGGATTTAAAAGCTACGGAAAGACTCGACCGGTAGAAAACGTGGAACCAGATGCTAAGCCAACTTGCTATTCTCACCTGCTTTTTGTGGCCAGTCACTTACACATCGTATATTCTGCTGGAAGTGTACGTGTTAAGAATTATCGCAAACCTTATTTCTCTCCTCGATTTCGTATTGGTTCCCAAAGAAGTGGTAGAAGTGCTCGAGGACGGGCGATCCTCAAGCGACTGACCACAGATGTAAAGCGATAGCACAACCTTGACCGGATACGGAATGCTCTACTTGCATCCATGCAGGAATCTAAAGGGATCGACGAGCGACGCTCGAGGTTACCCCAGATTTACTTGCCAAGCCGTTGAAGGCTAGACCAGCAAAAGACCATCAAGTTGCGAAATGAGACCAGAATACAGTCACCATATAGTTCTCGATAAATAAATCTCGATATATCTCAATTCATCTACTAGAGGGGAACCAAGATCCGCCGATAATACATAGACGGACAGGCCAAGGAACAACCGCTCACCATACGTGGAAGGTCACCGCATCATTGCCAGTAACATGATGCGGTCGGAGATGTCGGTCCAAGTGCATTCGTCAGCCAAGTGCATCTGCTCTTTGTCGTCAGAATCGCCCTGTTGGATTGGCACCTCTCGCATGTCATATCGTTGTTGGAGATTCAAACTTGTCCATTGTTATTGATATTGACACATTCTCTGGCATTTACGTGGCGGCATGCTGGGGCTGATTGTTGTTTACTCGTATCACCACACCACTTAGCTCCTCAGCTGCATCTCCGCACTACCCAGATACCTACAATCTTGCTTCTACATAAAACCATCGCTGCGCCGCGCCGCTCCTTTACACCAGTTGATCATCGACCCCCCCCCGCGCATTCGATACGAGTATATGAACAGCATTGCTCGCTCCGTCTTCGTTGCTGCCGCCGCCTCACATTCTCTCCCCTCCCCGCTGCTCGCAACATACGCTCTCGGTCGAATGTTGTATCCGCGACAGTGATGCGAATCCTATGACGAGCCGGTAACCTGCGGAGGCCCAGGAAAACGAACTGGTCCCTTGCTCTGGCGACAGTTGGATCGGGCCCAATCTAGTGTACACCGTTGGACAGCTCCAACCCGGGTGATACGGACGAGTCTGTCGAGGCACATTACAATGTCGAGTTATCAGACCTCGAAACCACGGAAAAAGGTCAAACCCATACTGAAGAAACTGACGCAGAGTGAGAAGAACTCTCTAGACCTGGATCGGCCCTCGGGGGAACAAGATGGGTTCAGCGCGGGTACGGGACTCTTTGAATACAATTATGGGACGGCCTCTCGTGGTTCTCACGATGTGGTCTTCCAGGGAAGGGGGCAACAACATCGGGTAGGCCACACTCGAAGCACATCGGGGACTTCGCAATTCTCGACAGCGACAGCTGGGAGTTTTGTCCACCCGTTCCAGCAGACTCCCCGTCCATATACGCCTCCGCTGGTTGCGAGCTACCAGAATTCAGTTCGTGACAGTGAAATCTCGAACCATTCACCAGCATTCACTGAAGATGAAGCCGACCATGGCAGACTCAATTATACACTACGTCCCTCAAACACCGGGACGTCCTCTTCCCTTCAGCATCCACAATTGCGTCTTCAAACTAAGCAGTCATCCTCGCGGCTAGCACTCGCAACGTCTACAAGCTCGCTCAGCCATACAGGCCAACTTAGTGCAGAATACACGTCCCCTGTGGACACCATGTCTCCTTCCTCCCTTCGTACCTCTATGGACAAGGGATTTCGGCTGCGCAGCCGGTCCGAGGTTGACGGTCGTGGTCGCCATGAAACAATCGCCGAAGAACGACGCAAATTTCATGAGAGAGAACAAGCAAAAGAGGAGAAGGCAGCTCGTGATGAGGTCAAAGCCATAGAGAGGAGGAACTACAAAGAGGCACGGGAGCAGGAGCGCCGTCATCGCAGATCATCTGCTAGTGAAGATATCCGATCTAAGCGCTCAAAGTCGGATTTGACATTGCGAACTGAGAAGAGTGGCAACACAGTGGGGAGAGATTATGACAGTATACCAACCCAAAACACGCCTTCCATTGTTGCCAATCTGGAGGACGGCCCTAGGCGTGTACACAAGGAAAGTGCGAAGAAGAAGACGTATAGTGCATGGCAAAAGTTCATGATATGGTTACGTACTAGATTTATTCGTGTTAGTAATAAGAAATTATAAAGCTCTATAACCTATCTATATCGATATTCGGTCTAGCTTTTTACTAGATACTACGTAAAGCGATCTATAGAGATAAATTATATAATAAGTTATATAAATAGTACTTAGTATAGTCTATATATTTATATATATCTCTATATATTTATATATATCTCTATATATTTATATATAAAGAGAAAAGATACTATAACTTTATCTTTCTTTCTTTCTTAATAATTATAAACTATTATAAATAACTATATTACTTTAACTAAAAACTAAGTTTATTAAAATATAATTTTTATTTACTTTATAAATATAGAAACTATAATAGTTTTTTATACTTATTAATTATAATAATATATTATTATATACTTATATAGTAAAGAGATATAAGTTTATTTAATTAAAACTTAAAGATACTATAGTAAGACTTAGTATTAGCTTTATATAATAAATAGTAATAAATACTTAAAATAATATAGATTTAACTAGTAGTTTTTAAATTTAAACTTAAAGAAATAAGAGAAAACTAAAAATATTTTTTAGAAAATTAACTACTATATAGATATATATAGTAATATTTAATATAATAAATAACTTTAAATATTTATACTATATAAAAATATTAGTAGTTATTTTATAGATTAATAGTAAAGATAGTATAGTAATATTTATTTTATAGGTTAATTAGTTTATTTTTAAAGCTTATTAATTATTATAAATTAATTAAAACTTACTAATAACTAGCTACTAGTAATAGCTAGATATATACTAGAAAATATAATATATAAAATAGACTATTAGTTAGTTTAACTAATCTTAATATAAAAGTAAATATATAGTTTACTTTTATATTCTTTTAAATATTACTTTTTAGTATTTAGTTTTTTAGATAATATACTTTTTACTTACTTACTTTTATCTTCTAACTACTTTATACTAATAGTACTTTATATTAGTTTATAATATTAATAAGTAAAGTTTATATTTATATAAGAAAATAGTACTCTTTTTAGTACTTAGTTTATTAAGTAAAATATATACTTTATTATATATTATTAAATTATATAGTCTTTATTATATATTTAAGCTTTAACTTAATAACTTTACTTTTTAGTTTTAGTATATTTATATAGATTATTGTTAGATTTACTAATATATAGTAATAAATACTTATAATTCTTTCTTTCTTTTTACTTATTATTTAATTAGATCTAACTAGTAGTTTTTAAGTTTAAACTTAGCTTTAGTTTATATATTCTTATTATTTCTATTTAATAGAACTATAAGAATATTAATAGTAAGTCTTAGTAGTTTAGTCTATATATAGATATATATAGTACTATTTAATATAATAAAATACTTTATTTATTAATATTTAATATTAATATAAGTAGTTATTTAAGTTAGAAATAAGATATTAGTAGATATTTAGTAGATTAATAGTTATAAATAAAATATTAGTAGTTATCTTATAAGTTAGTTAATTTAGCTTTAAAGCTTACTAATAACTAAAGTTATTATTTATATAAAAGAATAGCTCTTCTCTTAGTTCTAAGTTCTTTAAGTAAAATATATACTTTATTATATATTATATCGTAGACTAGGTTAGTTACGTAGGCAATATAGTTTAGGTACGCTACAAGGGAGTAGCTTAGGCTACTTACTAGTACGTGCTAAGTATAGAACTATATATATTAAATACTTAGCTATCCTAAACCTAAGGAGTTAGACTTATTTTAATATACTAAACCTCTACCCTACCTATATACTATATAATAGTTATAAGCCCGGTATATAGCTCTATAGCTACGTATATTAACTTTATAAGTATTATAGTATAGAGTAGGATGTAACGATTCGGTTCTACCCGGGGTAGACTAGAGTTATTATAAGGTTAGTATATTAAGAAGTAGGCGTAAGATTATTACTTATAGATTTAGAGATCTATTTATTATAATAAGAGTAGGTTAAATAGATAATATACTATTACTATAATAAGTTAAGTATAAAGCTCCTATCTAAGAAAACTATAATTATTATATAGGACTTTCTACCCTACCTAAGTTTCGACGAGTTCGACGAGTTCGACGAGTTTAATAGCGAACCTAGCGAACTTATCGAACTCTTACTTATTACGTAATACTACCTAAAACCCGGGTATATTTACTAATATAAATAATACTAATATTAACTAAATTAAGCTATTAGACGGCGGTCCTAGAAACTACTCGATTTCTATAACCTCGCCTAATCCTAGGACCTTTAGTCCTAAAAGTATTACGACGCCGAGGCCGATACTACTCGTAATACTATCCTCTATTTAGACTAGCGGGTCTATACGCTTAAGTACGACTAAGAAATACGTCGGTTAAAGGCTATAGACTTCCCTTCTTTCTAATATACTCTCTAACTATACGACTAAACGTTCTAATATTATAGCCCTTAGAAAATAGATTAATTTAACTAGAAAAAAGATAGCGCCTTATTCTCGTTATAAAAAGATAGGAAAAGTATATATAGTTTTATAAAACCTAAACTATAGTCGTTATAGTACTTATACTACTACTAGTAAGACTTATAATATAAAAGAGGTAAACTAGATATCTATAGAATTCGACTAGAAGAGTATCGAGGCTTAAGAGGCTAAGCTAGAGGCCGAGGAGAAAGAGGTATAGGATCTTTAGTAGAAGGCGTAGGCGGCCTAATAAGAGGCTACTTCTCGCGCCCTATATATTAAGAAGTAGAAGTACTTTCTTTATAAGTAAAAGTAGAAGATAATTTCGACGGGTCTTAACTCGCTAGACGAGTTAGACGAGCTAGAGAGGAAAGAGTAGTAAGAAGAGGAGAAGAAGAGGGAGAAGGAGGAGAGAGAAATAAAAGTAGAACGACTACTAGCCTACTTTACTCTACCCGACGACTTCTCTACTTATAACCTATTACTACTCGATCTAAATTTCGATTCTAGGTCTTTTTAAGAGACTCTAGATACTAGTAGTAGAATCTCTTAAGCTACCTAGAGTAGTTAAGATTATTTATTAGTTTTTATATATTTTCTAAATATAAGTAGTTCTTCTATTTTATTAGATAATATAGTTTTCCTCTAACGAGTTTATAGTCTAAAATCTTCTTAACTTTATACTTAGTATTAGGGTTAACTAGTTCTATTTCTATAACTAGAGCTAGTAGTACTTCGGGTAGTACTAGTTCGAGAAGAGATATATAGAATACTAGAAAGATATTTATACTTTTTAGTAGAGCTAGTTTATAATTTAAAGGTCCTTTATATACTTTAATTTTAAATAGTTCTAGTTTCTTATTATCTAGTTTATTACTTAGTCGTTTTATTTAGATATTTCGCCTAACTAAATAAACTCTATCTCTCTCTTCTAGCGTAGGCTCTTAACTATACTTCTTATTATAGTAGGATACGTTTTATTCTAAGATAAACTTAAGTTCTTTAATAAGTTATTTATAAAGAGAAGAAAGGTTATTAATAAGAATTCTTTCTATCTAATTATTAATAGATACGTTATAAGGTTCTTAGAATACTATTTTCTTATAACTAAAGTTAGCTTTAAATAGCGATACTTATATTATTTTCGTAGTAGTACTATTATACGAGAACTAGGCTATTAGTAATAAGGCGACCTAATTATCTTACTTATAGTTTACGTAATACCTTAAGTATACTTTAACTACTTAGTTTATTCTTTTATTACCTCTATTTATTTATAGATAGAATACTATTAATAGCTTTCGCTTTATTTCTATATAGGTAGTTACGGCCGTCTAGAATTTAGATATAAATAGCTTATCTCGGTCTAAGACTATTTCTTCTAGAGTACTATAGTCTATAACTATATACTAAATAAAGGTATATACTAACTTCTTAGTAGTACTTAACTCCTTATATAGTATTAGGATTATATACTTAGTAAGTCTTTTTATTATAACTAGAATTATATTATATTCGACTCCTATTATTAGATCTCTTAAGAGTAGAAGTTTAATAATAAAGTTCTATAATATTATTTTCTATAGTTTCTTTAAAATAGGTATTTGTCCTATAAGTCTATAAGGTATATAGTACGTAGATTTATTTTAAATATAGACGTCGTATTTAGTTACTACTTTCTTAACTAAAGTTTATAGCTTATCGATATAGTATTACTACTAAATTCTCTAGAAGGTTCTTCTAATTTCTTAATAGCTATATTTCGGGGCTTTATAGAATTTCTAGATAAACTCTAAAGTATATAAGCTTAGTACCTTAAGTTTTCTATCTTTATATAGCGAGTTTCTCTTAGAAACTACTAGTTCTTTATTCTAGACGGCTATAATATTATTATACTATAGGCCTTAGATTTTAGTAAGAGTAGTAATTACCTTAGAGTTAAGGATAAGATTTCTATTCTTATCTTTCTTAAAGATAGCTTACTTTTTATAGATCTTATCTCCTTTATACCCTAGTTAACGGCTTAAAGCGTTAGCTTAGGGATTATCTATTTCTTTTACGTATTTAATTATAATATCGAAATAGGCGAGTTCTTTAGCCTATTATACTATTTATTAATTATCTAATTTCTTTATTATTAAGAATATTTATAAGTTCTTATAATCTATAAGGATAATAACTAGAAACTTAGCTTCTTAAAGATAAATCTTCTTATAACGATTTAGTTCTACCCGGGGTAGACTAGAGTTATCGTAAGGTTAGTATGTTAAGAAGTAGGCACAAGATTATTACTTATAGATTCGGAGATCTATTCGTTATAATAAGAGTAAGTTAAATAGATAATATACTATTACTATAAGTATTTAAGTACAAAGCTCCTATCTAAGGAAACTATAATTATTATATAGAACTTTCTTTCCTTAAGTTCGACAGGTTCGCCTAGCGAACTTGTCGAACTTCCTTTGTCACGTGACGGCACCCTAAACCGGGGCCTATCCGCTAATATAAACACTACTAACTTTAACTAAATTAAGCTATTAGACGACGGTCCCGGGAACTA